ACTGAAGAAGCCAAAGGATGAGAGTGCAATGGATATTGATGAGTAAAGCGACCTAATCGTGTTGGCCAAAAATTAAAACGATAGAGAGAAAAAGTTATATTCTGTATCTCTTATAGACTTCATCTCGTCATGACATGTCAATGTTTCAAAAATAGATCGGCGTCTATGTAGGTATGTACATGTACATGTTTCGAGTATACTTCATATCTTTCCGCTGTTCAACCTGCTCATGACATGGCATGGCATGGCGTCTTGCGCTGGCTTGTGTTGTTTGTTTACATCACTTGGGATGTCTTTGCAAGTTCCTGCCCTGCACCGCTCATGAACAGTAGGATGTAAATAGGAGTCACAAAAAAGAACCAAGGAATCCATATATAGAGAGTTTTCTTCTGAACCGCAGCAGTACTATGGTAGGGTATGTTTTCAACAAAAATAACGGAGGGGTATCAGAGATTATTTTCCTTACGGAATTTGTCCCAGGCTTCGTTCAGAGCACTGAACACGGCCCCGGCAATCATTCGTTGCTCGGTTGTTGCATTCGCTGGAATCTAAATCGCGAAAAAGGTTAGTCAATGCAGTCAATTACAAGGCTAGTCTGGACATCCATAGGGAAAGGGGGAAGATTGCTATGAAATCCAACGACAAGGGGACAATTCAACGTACCTTGTCAGGGTGCACTTTGGCAATTCCCTTCATATAGTGCACCTTGACCTTGTTCGGAAGGACCAATTCCGACATATTGATCTTTTTCCAGCCGGCCTCAGGCCACAAAATGCTGTCAAGGCTGGCCAGGAGCGCACGCAGATTATCTTGTTTCCCGCCCTTCCAAGCCGCTATCTTAGCGTCAACACTCTCCGTCAATGCAAGTTTCTCTTCTTCAACGCGATCGGCTGCTTCGTTCGCGGCCCGCAAGCGAGAGACAGCTTCAGTGGTCGACACCGGGATCTGGGCCGGGCCTCCAGCGAGGTCATCCAATGCAGACTTCTTGGGAGCAGGCGCTGCTTTCTTCGGCTGGGAGGGACGCGACACTGGGGTTGGTTTGCTGATACCAGCTGCTTTCTCACACCTGTTGCGTCCTTGGATACTGGTACTGCCGCCATGACCATTTTCCACAGCTTGTTTCCAGACCTTTGCCGCTTCCTCCCACCTCTCCAGCTGCTCCAGTGCCTCAGCCTTCCGCATGAGAGCTTTACCGAAAAAGTCCCTCATAGGCTTTGCGGGCTGCCCATTTCCAAGTTCAATCTCTTCTCCTTCCCCTTTCGATGGACCAATGACTTCTAATACAGAGTCTGCATCAGCGATTGCCGCCTTTGGCTCTCCAATTTTAAGTGCCGTCATAGCACGGTTGCTAAGAACTATGATCGTCAGCGGATGACCATTGGGCAGGAATGAAAGGGCCTTGGCGAAGGCATCATGGGCAGCGGCATAATCTCCCCGTTTATAAGCTTCATTCCCTGCCTCGCGGTGCTGATGTGATGACATGAGTGAAGAAGGCGAGACATGGGGCACGGTTCTAGCTGGCACCTTCGGCCTTGAGGGCAAGGGCCTAGGCGGCTCCGAGGATTGTGAAGGCTGGCGTGATGGCTCTGGAGACGATGAAACACCCGACGGCGAAGGTTTGGAACTCTCGAGCAGGTCAGGAGTAGGTTCTGTGGCTGGTTGTTCCTGTGCCGGCCGTCTCCTCCGGGCCGGGCTGACATACGCTTGTGACGATTGTTCTTCAACCGCAGCTCGGGTAAGTCGAGACTTGGGATCTCTAGCAGTGAATTGTTGTGACGAAGCTGGCTTGGTTTCATACTTTTCACTGGGTGCAGCTGGAACCGAAGTTGGATGTCGGTTCCCTCTGCTCTCTGGGACCGTCGGCGCATCTGCTTTCGGTCGCGTGGCATGTCGTGCCGGGCGAGGAGGAGGTTCGGATTCGAGGAGTAGAGCTTCATCAGTAAGGCCAAGGGAGGTATTTCCCTCCTGATTCATGGAATCATCACGCTCTGCCCGCTGGCGTCCCGATGGCTGAGATTCCGTACGCTGACTCTCCCTGGCAAAGGCTGCCTCTCTCATCCAACGGGGTTGGCTGGGATCGAACTCAGCATTAAGTTCTTGGACAGCTTGCTGGACCTTCTTGCTTCCTGTTTTCCACAACGAATTCGCGGTCTTGAAAATCTGATTGCCCAAATTGGCGGCTATTTCACTGACATCTCGTTCGCGGGACGCGGGCGACCTGCTGTCATCCCGACTCCTCGGATGCTGAGTCACATCTTCTCCCTTCATCCATGCGGGGATGCTCCTTTCCCGTCTCTCACTCTGTTCTCGCCTCCGTTCACGATTTTCCACAATCCCACCGGGCTCGTTGAGCCTCGCTGCATCCGCTTTGGCTCTGGCCTTTTGCCGGGATTCAGCATGTGCCTGATTCAGGAGCCATCCAACTGCAGCATGAACATCCAGCCCCGTGTTATCCAACGCTTGACCTGCTTTGTCTGGTGGAAACCCCATATCGACCAGTTCTGCTATTGCACGATCTCGCGGATCTCCGGGATGTGAAGATGGGCTGTGACTTTCGCGATCACGTGTATCCTCAGTTGCTTGCTTTTGAACCTGCGATACTTCTGACACTGGCTTCCCGAGCAACCCAAGGAAATCGTCATCATCGCCTTGAGCTGCAGGAGGGTTCGGTGCGGTTGTTGCTTTCGAGCTCATTTGTCCCAACCCGAATGGGTCGTCATCCTCAGGGAAATCCATACCAGCCGGCTGAGATGTCTTGTTCGAGGTGGAATTGAATCGCGGGTCTGTGTTGGAGGTGGGAACGGGGAAATGGGTCGATGCGTCTACAGGCGCGGAGGCATTGAAAGCAGCTAATAGGTCATCTTCGTCGGGACTCGTTGCCAAGGCTTGCTCCTGAGATGTAGTGCCAGCAGGAGCTGGCTTGCTTCCAATCTGTCCCAAACTTTCCAAGAATTGCGCATTCTGCCCCCCATACTGTGCTTCAAACTGGGCGCGCCTCTCCGCCTCTTGTTTCGCTCTTTGTTCTTCCAACCGTTTCTGTTGCTCGAGCAAAGATAAGTTCTTGTTGTTGGAGTTGGACGACCCAAAGGAGACGAGACTGGCAAAACTATCGTTGGCAGGGGTTGTAGACTTCGAAGACGGGTTGGACGTGGTCACGTTGCCAGAGACAGGTGTCGATTTACCCGAAGCGGAAGAAGCGCGCACGCTCGAGAACAGTGAACCGGAGTTCATGGGAGCAGGCTTTGGGGGATCATTGGGACCAGAGGTCCAACTTAACCCGCTCAGATCCTCCATGGAATATTTCAAGGCACCGGAGTGCGAAGCCGCGCGTTTAAGCCGACTGAATAGAAGTTAGGAGAATGGATAGAATGTGGAGAGTGCTCAAGTGGACCATTGAAGCAGGACGCCAATGAAGACTGATGGGCAGTTGGGAATCAACAAGATTCCATTATAATAGATTATTATTTGCTTTGCAAAAAGCTTGTAGACAGTGAATCATTCATCTAGACGGCACAAGTTGACTAGTGGTGTATCGGGGAGCTCATCTACATCCGTCAACACAGATGTGGCGGTCGGGCAGCTTGCGCATGTGCACGTGTGGCTGAGCTGCCACTGTGGCTTGACATCCCCCGCTTTGGAACGGAATAAATAAACTCCACCCGTCTCAGAATTCAATAGCCAGGTATCTGTATCCACAAGAACAAAGCTGTATTACTATTTCAGTCCCTGGTTTTACAAAATTTTACTGTGAATTAGATGCTAGCTAAAACTGACAAATCTAGTTTTCCTAGTCAAAAACTACATCATGCGAGGCAATGAGTGTGACCTACTCCGGAGTAATTAGAGTAAGTCGAACAATACGGTGACTTGTCGGATTCTCCCCGATGTCTCCCCCTCCAAGTCGACTATGACTACTCCGTATACTCCGGAGTAATGTTCGAGCCGATAGCAAATCATTGTTGTCTCAATTCTCGGTTCTTTATATCATTCACCAGATATGCCGGTTGCAGTGTAGTCCATTTTTTGAGCTGCAGGTTCGTTGCACATCTTGCAGCACGGAGGGGCTATTATTGCAATTTGCCGGCATCCAGTGCTAGACTTTTTTATTGTACCTACCTTAAAACCTCGCAAGGCGAAATGATTCGCTCCGATGGTTCATGGAGACACTAGCTGACTTATGCGTTATGCAGGCTTTAGCCTGTGCACCTGTCCGCTAATCGCTAGCACATAAAGAGTAACTGTTCGTAGGGCAATTTCCACGTCCATGGTATAAAAAAGTGTTCAATCAACACGAAGCATCTTCGAATCGCTTTCTGTAGGCACGCGGTGAGGATGTGATATATCTACGGAGTAGTGATGGACCACATGGGTGGAAAGTTAGCACGAGTCAAGACTCAAGCCTGTCAAAGTTAAGACAGTGTGTCGTTTGACTCGTTTCTCATCTAGAGCAGACCCTACGGACTACGGAGTCCGGAGTATATGCCCCAGGCTTGGTCAAGCTGTTTCACACAAAGGCTCTCCACCAAGTAGAGTTAGGAGACTCCGAGCTCTTAACTTACCCACTGGAAGAATGATACTGAAGGCTGTCACCCATGCAACGACATAACTATAAGATGACTATCGCCGTTCCTGGGTTAGGAGGGTGGACAGGAATCCAGCTCGACCCGGCATCGTGGCCTTGGGGCGTGCGTCCCGGGTAAGTTCCCCTGTCGGCTAGGAATTTGGACACAAGGAAATTCGGACGGTTGCAATTAGTGAAATTATCTCCGGTTGACTGCTACCGCTAGTTTCAGTCGGGTATAGCCATGCAGTCTGCCCTGCAAACGCCCGAAACGCGCAACAAGTCTGACAGGAGTCGGCACTTGAGTGCTCCGTAGATGCCATGTCGTATTTGGGTGCCAGTATCACGGACCACAGTGTCACATCGCGCGGCGATATGGATAAAATGAGGTATCAGCTGTCAATCTGGCGACGATGCAGGATTGTGATGTGCCAGCATCGAGCAGGGTCGAACCCTCGACATGTTAGTCTCGTTAGCGGGCGCGATCGTCTCGTCTAGGGCCCGGCGCTAAGCTGGCGGAACCACTCCCCATCAGAGGATTCAGAGTTGTGGCCAGGAGGTTCAGGAACCTGGATGGTCTGGGAAGACGTGCCCTTGCATGACGCGTACGGAGTACTCCGTAGACAGTCAGCTCATGAATCGCCACATGAAGGGCTTCTTGCGATATTTGGATCTGGACAGAGAGGCTGACCTTGAACGACCTGGTTGATCGATATGCCAGGAACTAGTCGCATGTGCAGGATAAGGAGTTGCTCTGTGCACCGGGAGTCTGTGCTCCTGTCTTTATCGATAGAGTTTTCGCATAATTTTTCCACAAGCAGAGCCCCAGAGCGGGACAGGCTGTTTTCGCGACATGATTAATTTTCGAGCGGCGGCGAACGTCAGCTAATTATTGGAGAGCCCTGGAACGTACCTGTCTTGTCCCTAATAAAGCTAAGACGGGAACGGCGATGTTAGCTTCGAATCCTTTTCGACAGCAAGAGCGCGACCCCGAAGTCAAATGGAGCAGCGTGGAGCGTCTTACTCCGCCCGCCTTCTCCTTTCCCTCCCAATGGCCCAAACAGTAATGCCCCCTTCCACCTAGAGTCCAGCCCTCCACTGCTCGTCGACGCCGCCGCGCTTCTCGGAAATAAGCTGAGAGGACAAAGAGCTCCTCTCTGAAGCGTGCGGGCTCTTTTCTCCTCCTTCTCTCTCTGTTCCAGGAGTAGCTGTTCTGGCTGTGAGCGTGTGAGGTGCTGTCGCTTATTCCGTTCTTCAAGCCCAGTACAACCTCGTCATCAAGCGGTTCACTTGTCGGTCCTCTGAAAAAGGTCCGGTCTGACTTGGTGGCGAAGATCATTCGTGGGGGGACAAGTCTCCCTTGGTTATATTTAAGTGCTTGCTGGTGGTTCTCGCGTTGCTCCTCCAGGAGAATTTCAATCTTCTGTTCTTTTCATTCTTGGTTACATCCGCAGCAGGATCTTCACCATGGGTCTTTTCAAGCGGAAAGATTCAAAACATTCCATCCAGAGCGACAAGGACGATCCGGATTCCTATTCTAACCACAGCCGGACTTCCACTGCGTCGCTCAAGTCTCCAAAGATCATGTCCAGCAGTACGCTTCCCGCGCCCATTCCTGAAGTTCCCATTTCAAAGCCTCCGGATCCCAGTCTTGATCCGGCGGCGTATCTTCGAAGTATCCATGCGGTTCGGGAGCGGTCGAGAATCGTCTTAGAGAAGGCGAGGCGGAACCAGTTGAACCATTTCGACGTGGACATGAGCAAGTTTGAAGCCACCGCCTCCTATGTTGTCTCTATCATAAAGGTTCGCCGCTCATTAATCATAGTCGGACGTTGTTCAGATCGAATCCATCTGCTAACGCATACTTGTAAAGAGAGACTACGCCCCTGACTACAAATCAATTCCTCCTCACGGCCGTTGGCAACATTTTGATGTAGGCGGAAGACCTCGTATCAATCAGCTTCTGCAATCTTGGCCCAGCACTATCGATGCGCAAGAACGGACTAGGAGGCTGATTGACTTGTTCGTTGTCTCCGTCCTGTTGGATGCAGGCGCAGGCACCAAATGGTCATACAAGTCCAAAGAGTCTGGCAAGATATATTCCCGCAGTGAGGGCCTGGCGGTGGCGAGCCTGGAGATGTTCAAAAGCGGGATGTTCAGCAGTGATCCCACCGAGCCCTGTCAGGTGGATGGGGCCGGACTGAAGAAGATAACGGTCGAGGTGCTCGCCAAAGCCATGCAGCATTCGGAGCAGAATCCCTTAGCGGGCATAGAAGGCCGTGCAGGACTCCTGGCAAGACTTGCGGAAGCTTTGAACAACCAAGAATTCTTCGGCGTCGATGCCAGGCCTGGAAATATGTTAGGTGAGAATCTCCCTCTATTGATTGGATTTCTGTGATTGATCATTATCGCAACTAACATTCTATCAGACTATCTTCTTTCGCACCCTACCACCCTCGCATCGTCTGTGCCTATTGTCTCCGTGCCTACTTTGTGGTCGGTCCTTATGGACGGCCTGTCTGGGATTTGGCCTCCTTCGCGAACGCAGATTGATGGAGTGTCCCTTGGCGATGCGTGGAGGTGTTCCGCCTTACCCCAGTCGCCTCCAGCCCAGCCTTGGGAGGGCATTGCGCCTTTCCATAAACTGACTCAATGGTTGTGCTACTCCATCATGGTGCCTATGACGAGATTGATGAAAATTCAATTTGCCGGTAGCGAGTTGCTTACTGGTCTTCCCGAGTATCGCAATGGCGGACTTCTCATCGATATGGGACTCTTGACCCTCAAAGAAAAAGACATGCAGCGGGGTCTGGAGGCCTACAGAGAGAATGCCCAGATTAAAGGCCAGCCCAATGTGGAAGTTGTTCCGCTTTTCAGAGCCGACGATGATGTTATCGTCGAGTGGAGGGCTGCCACCGTAGGCTTCTTGGATGACCTCCTCGAGGAGGTGAACCATCAACTGGGTCTCAGGGGAGAAGACGCCCTGTCTCTTGCACAGTTGCTTGAAGCTGGAACTTGGAAGGTGAGATCTGTCACCTGGCAACTTCCCACGATATTGATAGACTGACAGCATCCTTAGGGCGGCCGTGAAATCGCTGAAGTCTCGCGACCCAACACCAAGGAACCGCCGATAATGATATTGTCCGATGGTACCGTGTTTTGATCCGCAGCTGCGCCGTCAAGCCCTCGTCCAGTCATACCTTGTTGGAGGGGAGGCGGGCATACTTATTGGCCCCTCTCTGGGAATATCTCTTGTAATGATCTTAACGACCATATTTTTCTGGATTACGATGCTACGGGCTCTCACCGCATTTGGTTCAGACATGTAATTTCCTAATTCTTCAAGAGACATGCTGCAGCAGATAAAACCGCATTGATGATATCAGCAACCGAATAAAGCATCGATGTTTGGTTATGGCAACGACGGATTGAATTCATGTTCGGCTTGATTTGCCTTTCGTGGTTCGGACAATTAGAGCTGACATATGTTACTTATGTATCCAGAAAGGAAGTCTCGATTCTTTCGTTTACTTTTCCTGACTTATTTAGATGATCGAGTTCCCGGGGAGAACCTTCCTATCCGGTTACTCTGTTATATGTATAGGCAGTATCTAGCCCAGAATCAAAGATGTGTAACAATGTTTCGTGCCTGACATCGTCTGCGCAGGTAACTACCATTGGCATGATCGCCGTAAGAAATTGACAATATTAGATTGATTACTGTCTCCTGCTATCAAATGTCATTGTCGAGACGTAGGTGACGGTGTTTGACTGCCGTGTTGACTGACTACCCAATCAGGACATGTGACTTCTCGGAACAACATTGACCCAAGAGGGCTCCTGCATCTCCGCGGTCCCGCTCGCAGCAGTTCCAACTACGACAGTGGAGTACGGTACATTACCACAGGGAGCCTCGCAGCCTGATAATTTATCTTTTTCTCTGAGGCAAAGCTGTGGGTTTCTGAAATAGTGCTGTAATTAATCTTCTGTCTCAATTCAGAGTGCCAAGTGCTTATACACGGCAGCGACATCGGCACTCTCACGCGATAACGCTGTCACCATGGACGTTCGAAAGAAGAAGAAGAAGGTGCTCCTGATGGGGAAGAGTGGCTCTGGGAAGTCTTCTATGCGGTCTATCATATTCAGCAATTATGTCGCAAAGGATGTACGACGCCTGGGGGCCACCATTGATGTGGAACACAGCCATGTCAAGTTCATGGGAAATCTCACCCTTAACTTATGGGATTGCGGAGGGTGAGTTAGGACCGCCTATGGTGGCATTACGATATGGCTAATCTAGTTTGCAATGTACAGTCAGGACGCCTTCATGGAGACGTATCTGGCCTCCCAACGTGCAAATATCTTCTCGGATGTCGCGGTTCTTATCTACGTCTTCGATATCGAATCGCGCGAGGTTGAACGCGACCTCGACACCTATAATTCCATATTAGAGGCTCTTCATGAATATAGTCCGAATGCGCACGTATTCTGTCTGATACACAAGCTCGACCTGATTCAGTCTGAGCATCGCCAGCGAATATATGAAGAGCGGTCCGCTCTTATCCGAAGCCGCTCGAGACATTTCGAGATTGATACATTTGGTAGTAGCATCTGGGATCAGTCACTCTACAAGGCCTGGGCAGGCATCGTCCACAAGCTTATTCCAAACCTTTCCGTCATCGAGCGTTTCCTCAGCGCTTTTGCGAAGAAGATCGATGCGGAGGAGGTCATCCTCTTTGAGCGATCGACTTTCCTAACCGTCACGTCTTTCGCGTCGGAGACTGGAAGCATGAACCCAATCTACGATCGACACGAACGGCTATCGAATATTATGAAGGCATTCAAACACTGCGCTGCTCGAAACACCCATACCACCCCGGCTTCAGCTGGGTTCCTTGTTATGCACACAAAGACCCCGCAATTTAATGTCTTCCTGGGCCGGTTCACCGATAATACGTATATCTTCGTCGTTGTGCCCCCTGGCGAAGCGGCTTACAATTGCGCAGTCTTGAACACCATGTTGGCAAGAGAGGGATTTGCGAAAGCGGCCAATGGAGGGCATGGCGATGGTTTTCCATTACCCGCGACAGACAATGCTGTCTCAGGCGATACACAGAACGGCTCAGCAAATCCACAATCTGACACATCACCAGAGGAGGAATAGGGACATTTACATGTCTATTCCAAGACAATTACTCTAGTGATTTCACCATTGTCGCCCTCTAACGAAATCTGTCACGACTAGTATAATTTCCTTTATGTCATTTCTTTGTTTTCCCGATGGCCCCATGACGGTGTTCTGATTTTGAAAGTCCTTTCTGATGTGCGCAAGCAAGATACCCAGGACATGACATATATGGCGCTTACCTCGAGTGTATTGGGATGGAGGGGTTCTATTGAATGGAGGCAAAAAAAAAATACTAGGATTACGATCATCGTCTTTCCAATTCCTGGTCCAAATTGCAGAAGCTTGTTGCCAAGGGATAAGGTGCTTCAATAAATATAAGACCATCCCTTTTCATATGCTACCCTTCCGCGTAGGATCATTGTTATAATGATTCTCGCGTCTGGTCAATAGAATGTCGCGTAGACAGTGGAAACCCAAGTGCCAGGCAGAGAAAGTGACTGGCCTGGGCATTAAGGCTGTTGTTGTATTGGTTCCTCTCTCATCTAGGCGGTGAGGCCATATTACCCGGGCATACGGAGTACATTTGTGACCTAGTCACAGCCACAAGTAACTTGATAATTCAGAATGCTGAGGACGTGAAAAGCTTTGTTCGATGTTACTCTTGAAGACTGACTCGTAGCTGTTGACATAGTTGTCTCTTGCTCCTTCCCCAAGGTGAGTATGTAAGGATTATTCCCAACCAATCTTACCACTGACCTTCAATATTCCTGCCTATCAGCCTCAGGCCCCCATACCAATATCTCATCATTGGACATGCTAACATCGCTAGATATCATAAGAATGCGGAGATGGTATATATGTCAGGAATGAGTGTCAGATGGTGTCTGTCAAATCGAAACCGAAATCATCAACAGCGTATTATCAGAGAGAATATCACACCACAATTAGGACAAAGAAACATCCCTGCAAGCCACAAGGACAGCCATTGCCTAGCGGGTAATAATCCCATCTGAGTATTCTCAGATGCTCCGTCCACAACGACCTATACCATCTGATCAACGCATGTCCGCACGAACCAAAAATTCGACCGGTATCTGAACGTCGATTCGGCCGTCGAATCCCGAAATCAGCAATCTGCAGAGGCTATGTCAGCGCTTCTTGCATAGTACGGGATTTGCTTTTTTTTCGACGTAAGTGGTTCAGACCATTAATCCCAACTGCTCCAGACTCCCAGAATGGTCGAGACTGCGACCTGCATTGTCTAAATTCGGATGCTTATACAGAAGCCATCGCCTTACAGGCACCTGGGCCAGGGTCGTTGCATGGGGCATGGTAAAACCGGTGAGCGGGCTGTCACAACTCACCTCTGTCTTCGGGGGCCAGCAAGTTCCCAACATTCGCTGATTTGCTAAGACGGTACGATGTGACCGGTCACTTGGTCAAATAGCTGTGGCGAGAACAGTGCTGCTTGGAGGCGACCAAGAAGGCAACCGCGCGAGGCATCTGGACTAGCAGTCGCCCGGCCGCAGGGAAGTCACTGGCCAGGACACTTCATCCGTTGGTGAACTAGCAGTACTTAAGGACGACTCCTGCTGTCCGTCTTTTCAAGTCTTGTTGTCTCTTTCATCTCTTTTCTTTCTCGCTAAATTGATGAGGAGATAGGCATCATATTGGGGAATGGATTCATCCTGAGAAGAGCTCTCCAGGTTTGCGTGATATCGATTGGGACATCCCACCCGCCGCTTATGCGATCACACGTTGCAATGGCATCTTCAGTCGGTCCTCACCTCTTGGCCGTTCACCGTTTGAGAGCTGCTGAGTTCGCCGAATGGGTGGGGAGAAATTTCCCCGCCCAATTCTCGTCTGCCTTCAGACAGGACGAGTCTTATCAGTGATGAGCGCAGGAAAGAAGCGCTGGTTAACTACACAGATTACTTCCTCGGTCTTTCGATGATGTCAATAACGCTCTCCAATGACTCCAAGCACTCCTGCCGAAATTCGGATGATATTCCAACCCTTCTCTGTCCGCGACTTCGATTCTGAAGTCCAATCAATGTTCGCATCCTCACATTAAGGCGGAGTTGCTCGCCCTCACGCACGAGCACTTGACCTGCTCCCGTCTTCGGCCGGACCATAGGATATCTCCGCTTACTGACAATTGGGTGGTTCCCAATGGCCTGCGAGGGCTGTCCGCGGGCTCCTGCCAACACGACGCGAGTTAGCATGGTGTTGTGAGTTATCTTTGGGTATCAACACAGCTCCCCTATGAATATCCTACACCAGTATACGGGCATTGGGCAGCTTTTTCAGATGCACTATCGGATCACGGCACGCCATGTCATCCTGTGAGTTCCGTCTGCTAGCGCAATATGCAACCATTGCCATGTGAACAAAGCCAGCTTGAGCCTCAGTACGAACTTCCTTCTATGGCGTAAACGAAAGATTATCAAAATGGCCCATATGACGATCTGCTTGGGAGTATATATCGGCAAGTGAGAAATCAGAAACCAACGGAATTTGGTATCTTGCTGAACTTGGTGGAAAATCATACACCAAATTTTTTGAGGTCAGTTCCCCATGAATCTGTTCAGAGCATCCAATGACGAAAAGAAATCGATTGATCATTGACAGGGGTTTAAAGGCTTCTGTTCTTTCCCTTACAGCATCCAACGTCATCGTTTGCCAGGCAGTGTCTCCCCTATCTATGCAACTACCAACCTTGCGTTATGGAACCTGTTGCGCGTCTCCGTTTTCTCTTTAATATTACTCCAGTCGACATCAGAGAAAACCTTCCCGAACGACGAATACCCCCGGACAACCATTGGGCTCCTCCGTTGACCTACGACTGCTTCACCCGAGACAGAGAAAATAGTACTGGGTGGTGCAGGTGGACTTCGAATGGAGTTCGACAGCTCGAAAGCCCTCCAACAATACGTCCATCGGAAACCAGCACTTGTTCCATCTTCTTCGATTCTGAACGCAGTTCATTCCTTATTACCCGGGCAGACTGCTCACGACAGAACGTAAGTGACCTTGAACGCGAGAACAACGCACCGCAAGCAGGTTGGGGCAGGGTTGGCTTCAACCATGGTCGTACTCCAGACAACCAGACTCTCTCCATTGTATCGTTTCACCCTGCCGAGGCCTACACGCTGAGCGCTCGAGGATCTCCATACTGGATGCCGCAGTTAATTCCTGCCACCTATGACAAACCATACAGCGATACATATACCGTCCTTGCTGGGGAGTTATCGATTTTGCTGGGATTTGCTGCATTTACTTGTGAGCCGACGAGAGAAGAAATAATCCGGACAATTGGGTCGAATTTTCGTCTTCCTCGATGGATTCCTCATCCCGAGTCGCGTCAACTACCTTCCACTAGTAAGTCAGAAAAAGGATTTCTTCTTTTAACGTTATTTTGGATGACTGAGTCCGGCGCAGAAAGCCATCCGCGCTGTCACACCAAAGGGTTCATCGTGAAAATAGCTCCAGACCCATACTCTAACATCCGGGGGGCTGACTTAAACCGCTTTCAGGAGGGCGAATATGGAGCCTTGATTTGTTAGGAGTTAGGTTATAGCATACTTCTCCATTTAGAGAGAATGAGATTGGGAATCCTTGGTTTTTCATATTGTTGTTCATCCGCATTGTTTCTTCTTTTCTTTTCTTTTTCTGTTTTTCTTGGCATTGACTTCTCACAAAGTGAATTATACGACCATCGTCTCTTGCCGCCAGAGGTGGTGCGGGGGAAGACAGGGAGGGATGGAAACTCGGGGCAGTTTCCTCTTCAGATGAAAACGGAGACGTTCGTCAACACGCATGTTTAGTTTCATTGTCTATTCCCCATGTCCTTGTTTCGTTCTTTTCTTTCCTTGCATATTTGAATGAAAATATATGACGTAACATGAGCTCATGGACTTTATTTTATTTTTTTTCACCCCTTGCTGCATTTCTTCCAGAGGAGCACCCTCCAAGTCGTATCCCTACCTACCTTCCTACTTAGGCAGGATGTCCATCCCATGATAGGTAAATGCATATCATGCATGGGGAGGGGAGAAAACAGGAATAAAATGACTCTCTCACACACAGTCACACTCTCACAAAGTTCTACTACTAGGAATGCAGTGCGTGCTACTGTACAATACAACCATAAGGCATTTGCATACACTTCGGCTCTTTTTTTTAACCCTCCAAGTCCTGACTGAGCCTATGACTGACGGGGAATAGAATTTATCCCGATGTTTCCGAAGAAAAAATGAAATGAAACGAAATGAAATGAGGCTCTCTTGCTTGAGTCCTCGTAAACTTGGCTTGGCTAGATTGGTACGGTACGGCATGACAATTCTCTTCCTCTTTCTCTTCTCTTTATCTCTCTTTTCGTCTCTTTCTCTCTTTCTCTCTATGTACGCATGTAATATAATAAACGCTCAAATAATGAAGAATAACAGAAAAAAAGAAGAAGACATGACCTGCACGGTGCTACTGGCCGTATGTGTGGCCAGAAAGTAGGTAGTTGGTTGCTTGCTTGCTAACAGAGAAACTTTCGTATCGGAGGCTAAAGGGGGAAAAAGCAGATCACAAGGCAAGAGGGGGAAAAAGAGATAAAATGAGATAAAATGCATTATTACATCACGGATTCAACTAATACTGGACATCTGGCAACCGGACCGCTATGTCACCGGACTGGGTAATGTATCGAACCCACGGGAGGGAGGGGTATTGCAACTGGTAGGAGAAGGAGGATTAAAAGTTAGCATCATTCGCAAGAAAACAATATATGACCGTGACTGGTGGAAGATAGGGGGGGGAAATGCGCTCGACAATCCCGAGTCTCGCAGGACGATTGGGGGAAGAAATCCCTGCACAGTCGCCACATCACGACAGGGGTCGGACGTCAAGGGATAAAAAAGAGGGAACGGGAAATTCCTTCACCCGGTGCTCTCGCACCCCTGTGCGAGACCAGTCATGGTCGGCGAAGGGCCCCGTGGCATAGAGGAAAGGCAATCTGTCGCCTCGGCTGCTTCGAACCAGCGCGGACCAGATGCAATGCAATGCAGACACGATGGGTGGGGGGTATGATAGTTCATGCATAAGGACAAAGGAGGAAATTGCAGAACTCACCTTCGGCTCAATGATCTTCAAGTACCGGACTTGGATGCCACTCGTGGTGAAGTACGGGATTTCGAACTTGACATTGATGGGCCTCTTGCCCTTGGCTGTTTGGCCCGCACCACCCATGCTGCCCCCAAACCCTCCTGTCATGCCGCCGCCATGTTCGTCGTCGCCTTTGACCGATGGCAGGCCAAGCTCGGCACGCATCAAGTATTCTTTGCCGCCACCAAATTGCTTGATCTTCCAAATGATCGCCGACTTCTCGGGCGCATAATGCACCGATCCAATGTTCGTCCGGAAACGTGGTGAATCCGCGTCTTCCGGTACAGGAACCAGGATCTCCACATTGTTGGCGGTACTTCGGCGCTTAAACTGCGCTTTGGCCTGGATATCGAGCAGGTTTGTCAGATAGATCCAATTACGCTAAACTGCTTTACCAATAGCATCGCAGTGCTCACCTTTAGCATGTACTCAATCCGTGAACCCGAGTGCGATTCCACCAAGCACTCCACCCAGATCAAGGGTTTGACCTGCGTGTTTAGGCGGTAGCTCATGAGCTCGAATTCGCCGTCGGGTGGAATGAAGCTGATCGTCCGATCATTTTCGAACCTCGAGAGTCGCACACATTGGTGGAATTTGACGTCTTCCATCTCGACGGCTTTACCTCTAGTGGCCCGGCCCGTGGTTTCAAACATGACCTTATCGTTCAATCCGAGACGAAGCTCTGGCATACCACTCAGGTAGCACTTCATCTTGATCGAGCCCAGGATCTCGGAACGCAAGACGTTGCCATTCGAGGATACGAGAAGATTCAACGACTCGATGACGTCCAAGAACACTTCGTTCTTGCGATACCGGATGCCTTCACTTCGCCACGAGACAGCATTTGTGACAGCTATCGGCGGTCGGGCCTGGACTTCCAATTTGTGCGACTCTTGCGTGATATACCTGCGAGGCGGGAATGTCAGCCCAAGAACTCCGCTAGCTTGCAAGACAGGTTCGCCCTTACTCTTGCAATATCTTGCTCTCGGTGGTCTGGGGGTATCCGAAATCCATCATTTCGTCCAGCAGTTCATAGATGACAACAAAGTTGTCCCGGATACTCTCCTCCTCCAGCTCTTTGAAGTACTCCGTGAAGACCTCCACGATCTTGTGGAGGAAGAGTAGAATCTCGGTCGCATTAGTGTTTCGTTTCGTTAGAGCAAGAAGGTAAAGGTTATTGTGACGAATGTAGAGGTACTGCCACACAGGTACTCGTCAACAGCTGAAAAAGGAGGCAACGGTGGGGTTTGGCGTCGCAACGACAACAGGCACAGGACGTACATTGATTCCCTCGTGAGAAAAGCAAGGAGGTACCGCAGAACTCTCTTCTTCGGCTTCGCTGAGGAGGACAGGAAATTTCTCAACAGCGGACATGGGAATGTCGCCGCGATAATTGCGGCAAAGAATGGTCTGCGAAACACCGAACACGGGTCAGCACAGTTCCACGAATCACAAGAAAGATATCTTTTTTTTTTCTTTAACATAAATCAGGAACAATAATTTTTCGTCTTCAAATCTCTCTTTAAGAAATCCTCATGACGACATACCTTGCCCTTCAAGTCCAGGAAGAAGATGGCCGACGCCATGGCGGGAGTGTGGTGTGCGTGATGCTTGCCTCAGCGTCGGGCGATCAAAGTGGGCATTATTATGCGGTGTCCACGCGGTTTTTACAGAGGCATTGCACGACAAAGACTCGACGCTGTATCGACAGCAGAGATCGCAGAAAACAAAAGGACCCTTCTGGTCTGGCCGTCAGATATTGGGTGTCTGATATCGGGACTGGCTATTATCTGGTCTCGAGCGCTGCGGGCATCAATAATCAGCGTTCCCTTCCTCCACATGGCCGGTTCGGCCTATCCAGTTGCAGCAGCCCTGGAGAGATCCGCCTGACCGCCATATCGAGACTAGCGCCGTCCTCCTTCAAAATTTCGCTACAAATTGATTTCCGGTCCTTTCTTTTGTCCTTTTTTCTCCTTTCCTTTTCTTCTTATCACGCCCCTATAGACAGTGCAAGACAACAACCTTCCTGCCTGTCACTACTCTGGCTTTCTGTCAGGTAGTGTGCAGGCGACTCCATTGCTGACCCTTGCGATAATGAGGGGCGGAGAGTAGAATCCGTCGGATTGTGGGTTCCATAAGAGCTGGCTGTGTATTCTGTTGATCTGCCATTACACAGGCGGTGTCAGAGGGATCGTACATTACTTTTTATTCTTTTTTTATCACTCTATCCGTTACCATTTTGTAGGAGATCTAGCACATACTGTACATCTACAAAAAATCCCCGCAATGGTATATCAGCAGCCAATGCGACCCGAGTAAAAATACATATACAGGTTGGTGATGAGAAGTTTCCCAGCGAACCAAAAAAAAATATCCAGCACAAGGGGAGAAAATAGAGCAGAAAAAACGCCATGAAATGCTCGGTCCACCATCAATGAATTTCAGATCAAGAAATCGTTGACTTCAAGCCCAAGGGAGCCAGTATCCGTTCTTGCGCAACCTTGTTGGCAACCAGACCACCCTTCTCAAGCGCAATAGCACCAATGATCGCGTACATGGTGTGAGCGAGAACGACGTCGATTCCCGAGGCGCGCAAGTCGTTAGGCTGGAATTGCCTTTGTTAGCACAAGACAGAGTGACTTCACGGGGAATGCAAGAATTTACCATTCTTGGGCACCATCTGACGACCTTCTGCAGGTCGTACTTCTGGGCCAGCTCTGAGAGTTTTATCTTGCTCGTAAGGAAACCCTTGGTGTTGCTGGAGAGATTGTTTAAGCCGTCCAGGGCAGGGTGTGTGAACGGTTGTCGTCCATGAGGGTCCTCCGGGACCTTTCTTGCGAAATTGCCCGCATCTTGCACCAGAGCCAGGGAAGCCTGTAGTTGGACTATCCGCTTGCCTGTTCCGTGAATATGTCATTAGCAGGTGCCGCGAGTGGTAGGGGAAAAAAGAATTCTCTTTTTCTCTTCCAAACATACCCAGAAATGCTAGACGGTCATTGAATCCTCTCCGTCCCTGATCAAAACTCTTGTGCGTAACAGCGAGCCATTTGATCTCTTCGGAAAGAAGCTTGTCCCCCCCATTTCCAAGGAACCGAATGTAGAACTGGTCGAGAACCGCAGGATCCTCGTTCACGGGGAACTCGGGGCGATTGGGATTGTATCGTAACCTGAATGGCGCTTTGGCGCCTGGAGGAGTGTACGACCAGCGGGGTTTCGCTGTCTCATTAGCCTGAGTGCTCTCCAGCGATGACTCCGTCGACAGTACGCGTCTCTGGGATACGGCGGTCGATAAATTGGAGGCTCTAAGACATGTCGAACGAGGGCGCACCGAGGACGAAACAGCTCTGAATGAGCGAGCAGGCAGTTTCGAAGCCATTATGGGGATGGCGTGAGGGTGAAAATCGCGAAATTTCGCAGAGAAGGTCAATTTGCCTGCACTTCGGCGTCGAGTCTGTCCGATGTTGAGGATTGGATCAGGTGTCACGCTAAACCTTTTTGGGCTGGACTGGCGATGGATCGTCCGCCGCCTGTCAGGAACACGGACTCCTTCCATTGTCCCGAATAGAGGATGAATAAGACTCGCTGCGATATTTGATATTAAAATGAGGCTGTTATTGAGAATTAATGCCTCTAGTGGTCATTATCACTCACCAGGACGTCTAACGTCTCAGTTTGGCTAACGACACGCAGCTGGTGTTTCCATACCAATTCTATCAAGACACATGCTTGCAGTAAACAATTTCAAGCTTGAATGTATATATGACTCTCTGCCACATGCTCTATGAATTTCACAACCTTATTTGAACTAATACTTGAAATACATGTGCAGTTTTCTTTGTGCACGTCATATGCTCCCGCGGCAAGACATGGTAGGCGATATTTCCTACATCCCGTCTCAAGGGATACTCTGGACAACTACTAATCAAGAAACAAAGTGGCATTTGTTGGGACAGAGCATATGCCATATGTAAGGAAAGCAGTTAGCTTTCATCCCAACAAATGTGGTTTACACATGCACATGGTACAAGACGTTGTAGCCGTTCACCCGAACCATGCAACGACATGGGTGTTCAGAGGTAACACAAGCACATTGCGCTTCATTGTACTGTGGGTAGGCACGTTCTTCAAGAGTTCCAAAGAAGCAGTACTGTGGAGTATCAATGCATCCCCTATGGTCACACTGTACCATTCATAACCTGCATGGGGGTGAAGGATACTTCCATGCTTTCTCTCCATGGGGAATCTAGAACGCACAGGTATGATCTGGTTACTCAAGATTCTGACGTATAGTCGGCAGTGTAAATACTTTACCGCGGCTGGAAATGATTTCCCTGTCAGACTTTGATAGAAGATCTTCGACCTGCCAAGACAGAAGCGTCTCGTCGTAAGTCCTCGTCATACTGAATGCCACCAAGGTACTCTTTGACTCATGCAATTGTAGAATGCCTGCAATGACAGAATAGGATAATGCACGTTTAATTTTCCTGGTTCTTGCCTGTTGTTGACACATGGGTTTGTCGGTATTTCAGTCGTTGATTTTTTCGTTTAGTTCAGGGAACTCCCCAGTCAAGATCAGAATTCTCACTCCCGTATAGCTGGGTATCGGATGCTCGTTTCGTTTGGACCCCTAAAATCCAACTTTCTCGAAAATTCTTTGGCTAAACAGCGTTGATTTCCATGTTAATTCGGCCTTACGCTCTCTCTCCGTCTCCCGCATGTGACGTTGCTTCGCCGTCTCCTGTCATTGTTCCGTCTTGTTTCACCCAAAATCGGGCTGACTCCCCCAGAACGAAACAGCTTCCTCGAAACACGTGCTAATGAAGGCCCAAGCCCATCTACTGGAGCACATGGGTGACAACTGCATCCCGTGGTTGAGGAGATCTCGGCTCTGGATCCGACGGGTGTCACTTATACCCGGGGGCCCATTGGATATCTGCAGAAGAGCTACGGCCCAATTTTGACCAAGGTCGCGACTGACGGCGATTCACTTAAAGGATCCCCGGGCCTACAAGTGAGGCATGCTTGCTGCTCTTCTTCCATTGGCAGAAAGGTGCCGCTGTGAGGAACCGTTCCTGCATCCTCAGGTTTCCCCGGATTGCCGCGGAGGCCACATACAGAAAAGTGACGTGGCTCAATAACGGGCAACTTCTATGGGCTTATTCTCTATCGGGAGCACCTCAGTATCCGAGTGCCTATTGAATAGAACCATGCAGGAAGGCATCGGAACGGGTCACAAACGTCGGCTTTAACACGAACAGACCAGCCGGCTGCCCTCGGTCGGGCCCTTGCAGGCCGCCCAGACGACCGTAAGGTGCCCGTTTCCGCTATATCTTTTCGATTAACAGTCGCGTTTCCCCGTACAATTCGCGTATCTTCTCCCGAAAACGAGGCGAGCATGCCGCTGCTTTCCGTTTGATGCGAAACCCAGTGAGATGGCGGTGTATCTCTGCAGAGGGACAGCTCAGGCGGAGTAGAAACTATATAAGATTTCAGGTTGTTGGTCATGCATCAGAATCATTAGAACTTTCTTCAAGCTTAAAGCGCAAACCAGTCTTGTTATAATCTGTGTCAAGCCATTCTCGACTTCCGACCTGCAAGGAAATAGCACAAGAAGGCCCCTTCCTGACTCTTTCGACGCAATAGAGTCAATATCGACAAAAGAAATCCATTCGATTAACTCAACGAAGATGCTGCCTCAAATTGTTGCTGGATTGACCTCGGTGGATCATCACGTTTTCATGATTGCAAAGAGGCATCGACACAATGCAGTTTCTCTCCCTGACACCGATTTCATGTCCGGAGCATGTGGGCTGATGCCTCACTCTGTAAACGATCCGCCATCGCCCCAGCCTTTTCCACCAAATCCTCCTCCGAGCCCTGCTAGCCGTCCTTCTGTCTAGCAAGCATGAGAGTAATTGCGAATGGCCATGTGGTATTGTGAAGGTAAGAACAAAGCCAGCCCTTTTACACTGCACCTCCGTCCTTTTCCATAACGCAGTTTCCAATATCAACCACCACGCCCTTCAGAGGGAGTCCATCTTTGCGTACTGACAGCATCTCAGATTAAGAACTGGTGGCTACCTCGATTTGAACGTTTGCACCATCTGTGAAAGTCGTGTCACATTAAATCCTCGAATACTCGAAACTCAACCTCTTCTCTTCTCGTCTCTTTTCTTCCCTTCTCGCACCTTCTCTTCTGTGTCCCACTTCCCTTCATCTTCAGAACGGCTTGGGCGTTAATCAGGAAGGGACGTCATAGATGGCGGGTGGGACACAAAAAGCGATTAATATTCTGCACGGCATACTATTAGATTAATTGATTTTGTCTTTTCGCTCTCTTTTTCTTTTGTATCGGCCCTGGGACTTGGATGACGTCGGGTTAGAAGGTCTGTAATCGGGGACTAGAAGAAACTTTGTTAGCTATCAATCATGGATCCTTCAAAGTTAATAATATTAGAGATTTATTTCCTTCTCTTTTCATTTTCTTCTGCCTGTATTTGTCTCTTCTCCAGAAAAGGATATTCCAATTCTGTTCGCCCCTAGACTATCTAATCACAATATCCACCTAAGCACATATAAATCAAAGTAGTATGGAAATAGGAAGAATAAATTAATCGCCAATCCTGTTTTGATATTCCTAGGACTTGGAGCTCTTACAGTAACTTTAGACGACAGAACCGGAAAGAAAATAATAGATCAGTGAAAGACACTTTACAACAACGCAAACAGAAGAGCGGTGGACACGCTGAGCCCCACCACAGTCCAACCAGTCCTAATGACCTGCTTGTTGGTAAACTGGCGACCCAGATCCCAGATCAAGTGCCGCACGCCGTTGAAGCTGTGGAAGGTGACAGGAAGCGCAAGACCAAGCTTGACAAGGAACTTGGCAGCAATGGGCAGGGCACCAAAAGCGGCAGCAATTGAGGCGGATTCAAGGTGCCAGCCGAACAAAGGCGCCGCGACGTAAGCAGTCGCGAAGGCGTACAACCCAGCTGACGCAAGAGTACCCGTAATGCGGTGCAGAGCACTAAGGTACCAGGTAATCTGGGGGCGGTAAATAGACAGGTGCGGGGAAACCGGGCGGTTGAGACGCTGCTGGGCAAGGATCTTGGTCGGGTCGGTGGTGTTCGTGGTCGAAGAAGTTGGCCTATATTGGATTAGATATGCTGTTTTCGAGCAGGCAAGGTGGGTTTGGGAGATAGGGTAGAATCGCGCGGATGACGTCGATTACACGCCAGAACCAGGCGAGACAACACAATGGGCAGAAAAAGGTATTCAAGAAAGAAGACCAACCTCATCTGCATGTATCGTCCAGTCGCAATGGCAGCAGGGGAGGCAAACTTAGTCACGGACGAGGTCAGCGCCGAGGACGGTTGGACGGCCACTGCATTGCCAGTCAGCGCAGTTCATACCACAGGAGCATCAATGGACAGCAAACATACACCGCCGCAGCGACTGCTGCGCAACCTTCTGGGAAATCATGATGGAGACCTCGATCCGTCGTGGCACAGCGAAAGAAAGGTCTGCGGCAACGTCGATGTCGTGATCTAGTCGAAGTAACAGGAATCGGACATTCTTCACGCTTGTTCGGCATCACGGGGAACCTCGGATTGAGAGCACCCGCATAGCCGCCCGCAAGTCACGGGACTGGCCCTGTTTTGGCCAATCATGTCTTTGCAATTACAGTCAATTACCGGCCCGGAATAATCTTGTTCCTTTGCGTGCTCTCGCCAAACAAGTCATTATTTTTTCGGCTCGCTCGCTCCCTTTCCTTCTTCTCATCACGGGCCTCACACCACGACCTTAACTTAACCAGCTATCCATTCGGATCTGGCTGGCGTGATAAGATCGTGTCTAGCACCGCCTCACTGGTTTCGGCTTTCTGTCGCGACCGCAGAGGCGGCTCAAAGGCCCTGAGAAGGAGAGCGGCCCGTTGTTAATCGCCCATTCATTTCTTTCAATGAAAAGAAAGGGTTTCATTCGCGGGTTACATCATCTCCAACACATTTGTCGGGAAGCTCCAGCTTTATTTTCTCCTGGTATACCCTCCAGAGCTTCTATTAACCAGAGTATTCTCGTTAATTTGCATGCAAATGGCGTCAGGCCTTTCGTAGGTAAACAATGGGACAATGCTTTTCGAAGTTGGAAAATACACCCGTTGATTCAATATCCTAATCTAACAAGACGAGGGGAGGAGAGTATTGGGGGGAAAAAAAATTCACGGTGTATCGGCATCAGCATCAACAAGTCAGAGATACATCATACACGTAGGCCTTTTTAATTCAGTTTTATTCCATAAACCAGCAGAACCAGAACCAGACCCGACCCCATTTAGCGAAATAAAAAAAACCCGCCAGACCATCCGTGTCGTTTCACATATCATTAATTAATATCCCCGGGTTTTCGAGAGTAGAATGTCCCCTTCTTGAATTTCATACCACGCAAAGCGCCTTCAACCCTCGTGATAACTTTTTTTTTTTGATGTGTAAACCGAACACTGGATGACTAGCTCAAATCGCCGACATCTCCATGCGTAAGGCAAGTATTGATGGATTAGACTGTCGACAAGCCTCCCTTCTTGCATGTGACAGATATGGCTTCATCTTCATGATCATCCCCACACGCGAAGTCGGGTCATCTCAGGACGAAGGTGCATCGATATCTCATGGAGTTCTTTGTCAACCCGCAAAAGCGTTGCTGAAGCAGAATCAACTGAACTTTGGCAATTCCATTCCAGGAATTCACTTGTCAGCGAATCGCCTATCGAAGTATCGCAAGACTCCCATGACGCTAGCTGCCTCAACTTCCATGGCCGGTCTGTTGCCAATATTGTCCTTTAGAGAGACATCACGTGGTTTAGGTAAGGTATGCAGTTTTGGCAACCAAGTGGCCAGCTCGTCACTAGCCCGAGAAAAGTTCGGGTGCCGTGACAATGTCGTGTATGCATCAGCACACGTGAGAGTCAGGGGCGGTTTGCCATTAGACGTCGAGTTGCGGGTCGACGACCGTGATTGACAGCAGCCTCCATCAGTACCCTTACCTCCACAGCAGCCGCCAGACGACCCATGGGCAGCGCGCGCCGCAGCCAGGCTCTTGCAAAAGAGGGTGCTTCGTGGATCGGCCAGGCATTGGGCACAGGTTCCGGGACCGTTGGCGCAAGGATTTGTCGCTTGGCTGATGGAGGGCAGCGTCAGATCGGAGCAAACGTCGCCATCTGAGGGTGGTGGGGTAAATTGAGACAGATTCTGAATGGGAGCCAGTCGGTTGTTCTCGAACGAGTCTTGTTGTTCCGCTTGGTCTGCCATCTCCGCGCAAATGCAGGCAGTGCCGTCTTCGCAGAACCCGCAGCGATCAGCAGGAGGCGTGGAAGCCGCACGGGACTCACTTGCTGTCTGGTTTCGCGGAGCTGCAAAGCGGGCTGTGAAATCGATTTCCATCTGTTCCGGTTCAGGCTTGACCTGCGGCTCAGCATGATGGAGTTTGGAACTATCATCCTTGCCAGGGGAGTGAGGGCGCTTAGGAGAGGAATTGTCATTGTTGTCGACCAGATTCGAAATCTGGAAGGCGTCCTCAAGGCACTGGCAACGTGTATTCGAGCAGCTGCCGCAGCCTGATGGAACTATCTCTTGTCGCCCTTCCCTGGCCTCAGTGGAAGAGATGATAGAAACACTGCGGCTTGTCTGGCGTTCACCATGCTGATTGTCATTGGTCGACCTGCGGATCGAAATCGGAACCGTATCCTGCTGAGAGGTATCTGTAGATAACCGGGACTGCCTCTGGAGATTCTCCTTCGCAGTTCGTTCGAGACTGACTTCTTGCTCGAGCGAGTGGCATCGGGTCTTCCACCATGAAATCTCCCGCTGGCATTGCTCTAGCTCTCGGTTCAGATCCGCAATCTGCTCCTTGAACTTTGTTGACTGAGCCTCATGCTCTAGCTCAATCTTCTTGATTTGTTCCTCGAGCTCACCCACGCGGGCGGCACGCCTCTCACGAAACGCTCGCTGCGCTGCGCGATTCTGAGCCTTGCGCTTGGTGGGTGGTGTGTCCGTGGCGGGCTTCCGTCCAGGCTTGGGTCGTGGTGGGATCACCCATTCCTTGGTAGTCACCGAACCTGTAACCCCGGGGCTCGGGGACGCTGCAGGCTTCACTTGCGGTGCTGGGGCCAGCGCTGGTGCAATGACAGGAGGTGAGCCAGCCGACGACGGTGTCGACACCGACGTCATGGCTGTTCGAAACTGCGCTCGTTAAAAAGAAAAAGCAGAGTTTTGAGAGAGGTTGCTTGATGCCTGTCGGCGCTGGTTGCCGGAATTGGTCTCGGGAAAAACTGGGCGCCGACGCTGCAAGGCCACAGCTTACTGACGTACCGTATCGACCGGGCGCACGGAAGACGTCCAACCAGATGCGTCGAAGGCAGAAGACGAACGGCACCTCTCGCACGCGGGCAATTGAACGCGTGGGCTCCCTTGTGGGAGACCCTAGATGACAGAGAAAGGAGAGGAGAGCCTTCGACGGGGTAAGAAGGACGACGAGGTCGAGAGAGAGAAGAGAGAAGAGGGAGGAGATCCGGAGGGGAAGAGGCAGGATCAGATTAGATTATCTCTGTGCGCAATCCACGTGATATCCACCAAAAGCCCCGACTTCCGGACCGATGTCGCTCCCACGTGACTGGGATCGTACGATCCGGCAGCGTTCTTGTCTTATCTGATCGCGCTAAAATCGCCGTTTCCCCACTCTTGCGCTCGCTGCTGCACGCTAGCAAAGCAGCTGGAGCGGTTGCCCACAGTGAAAGGACGACCCGGCTCGCTGATCAACGCCATTCCCCCTCCAAAAGAGCTCTAGCAACGGGCAATTCCAACCGTTGGAATTTCGCTAAACCAGAACTACCATCGTTTTGAGTCATTGGCACCATGAATCCGTTGTCCCACCCTCCTTTGCCTCGAAACTCCATATCCCTTCCGATTCGGACGTCCAGAAATGGGCAAATCGGCGTGATAGCATACAATTTTTCCTCTGCGGATCACCTCATTCGCGAGCGATGATGACGGGACTATTCCGTATGCTCAATTGCTTAAATATCGGAGCTATTACTCTCGTTGATAGCAAGCTTGCTAGTTTTTAAGTTTAGCGTTCGCGGCTGAACAACCCTCATGAGCTCGAGCTCATAAAGTGGATGCCGGGCTTGAAGCAGCTTATCATTCGTCAGTCGTGTATGCGGCCCTTTTCCGAAGGATGGGATTTTCCAACACGTTGCGTAATTGAGATTATCAGGTGCGGGGACTTGGGATTATATTCTATTCTATCCGCCCTGTCCGCGTCTCAAATGCATTGGAACCACAAGAGTGGCCTAAGGGCCAGAACGCTCACCCTGCATTAATGGCGTTACGGTCAGAATTTACAAATTATATCTCAGAAAAGGGAAGGCACATTCCTGACCAGCGCAGGAACTTTCTCTCTACGGTATATAGGAGGGACATTTACCGCCAGAAAAAAAAAGAGTTTGTTCTTCCAGAAACGTATTGTCAATTTGGCCATCTGCACTAGCAGTAAATTTTACATAATTAGAACCAATGATTCGGTCGCTGTATATTCATGGTCTCAGACATTGTTCTTCTAGGTTCCTCAATCAAACCGGAATTGTCCGTTCAACTGACCTGGCATCGTTCTCGTTCACTTCCACTGTAGAAAGAACCACGTCAACTGCCAAATGCATTATAATACGTCATAGCACTCATCAAACATATGTATATTAACTTGGAAAAGGGGGTAGAAGCTCACAGCTCCGTTAAGGCTGGGGTGCCTGCTGAAGGGGGTGCGGAGAATTTCGTCTGGATGAAAACCTTCTGCAGGCCAGGCTCTCGCTTATTGAACAGGGAGTACACCTTCTCCAGGTCGTCAAGCTTGAAGCGGTGGGTCACCATGTCTAGAGGACGGATCTTCTCCTCTTGGACGAGCTGCAAGAGATACTCCCAGTACTTGTGTATGGGTGCCTGCCCGTTACCGATCAGGCGGATTCCTGTCTGCATGAGGGAACCAATGTTGAAGTGATTGCACTAAAAGTTCAACTGATATCAGCCAAATTGGCACACTTCCCCAATTCGATGGGGAGAAGCACTACATACGAAGCCAGCATATACACCAGTGATACCGCAACGTCCATATGCCCGGACAGAAGTAATCATCTCGTTGACAAGCTCGGACGTATCTGTCTCCATACCCAGCATGGTTTCAAAGTAATGGGCCCATCCTTGTGTATATTCGCCAGCGGCGCATTCGATCGCAACATCAGGCCCGCGGTTGTCACACATTTTCTTCAACGTCGTGCGGACCGTCTCACCCTTGGGCAGCTTCGTGAAGTCAATGGTCTCGAGTTTGGGTGCGTACTTCTTGACAAAGTCAAGCCGCCATGCTCCCAACCCGCCGTCTATCAATATCACCCTGCTGGCACCATTGATGAAGCTGAATTCTGCTGCCATCTGCCCAACTGGACCTGCACCCCAGATGGCCACCGTATCGCCCTGCGTGACGCCTGTATCAGTAACTGCGTTCCACGAAGTACACAGCACGTCAGACAGGTAGAGTCCTTTCTCATCAGGAACATTATCGGGCAGCTTGAGGCAGTTCACATCGCCGTAAGGAACGCGGACGAATTCGGCCTGCCCGCCAGCGAAGCCTCCCGTGATGTGAGAATATCCGTAAATACCTACAATAGCATTCAGAATACCGTATTTCTTATCGGCATGATGGCCGAGGGAGTCATCACAAGAGAAACGGGGACCATACCAGCCGTCCGACGCCCATACATCGAATTGGAAAGCTGGTTCGCATTTGTCCGCTCACACACAGACGAGAGCTTCTGCTTGCAGTAGTAGCATTCGCCGCATGCGATCTGGAAGGATACGACGACACGGTCGCCAACCTTGATCTTCTTGATGCCGGGTCCCACGCTCTCGACAATGCCACAAAACTCGTGGCCCAGGATATCACCCTTTTGGAGTTCCGGAATAGTGCCTACGAACAGGCGTCCAATGTTATGTCAACATGCATTCTAAGAGCAGAGCGGCAATTATGCGCAGGAAACATCCAAACTAAGCGAAACATACCATGGAGCAGGTGCAAATCGCTGCCACAAACCGTGCTGCCAGTCACTTTCAGAATGATATCTGCATCATCGATGATCTTTGGTTTCACTGTCTCAACTGTACGATAGCGAAGTCAGAGATACATTAGCAAGATGTAGCTCCTGGCATCCTGATAAAGGTATGCTAATCATGAAGGCCTGGAATAACTTGCCCACTTTCACACAACCCTTCCCCTGCCACATGAGAGCTTTCATCTTGTGATCAGGGTCTCCATAGTCATCGGCAGAGTAATTGGTGATACCGGTGGTGATTGCGGCTTTCTCGTGACTCATGGCCTTCTCCACAAGATTAGCCGCTCGAGACGTTGCCATTTTGCACAACAACGTAGTGTCTGACAACGCGGCAATTCGTACCAGTTAATATACGTACGTAGGAATATAACAGCTCCTTGAAGCTATTTTCTAGTATATACTCAGATGGGCAGATCCAGGCTAGAGAACTTGATTTCCGATCGATTCCAGGGCCAAAACACAGGGTCGCCACTGGCGAGGGACACCACATCTATTTATGAAAATGTCCCCAACTGTCCGGCCAGAAAGACCGAATGAGTCGTGCAATGACATGCTACCTCTTCCTTCGTCTTGTTGGCGTTGCAGGGAACGTTGAGCGCTCAACTGCCCTGACATCACTGAGCGCTCAACTGCCCTGACATCACGGTGAGGTTGTTACCCCCGATCTCGGTCCTCCAATCACATTTGCGGCTGGAGAAGTTCATGGATTTTCCAAGTCAGACCAAAAAGATAGAAGCCTTCTACCGTGAGACCAGTTTATCTTTCTGAAAATTCAGTAAATCTGCGTCTCATAGGCGAGGAAGACTTGCGGTCTGCAGTCTGGAAAAGTTAATCGTAGTTCATTCCGTTGTCGGCGTCAAGTTGGCAGTGGCTGCCCAGGAACATAACCTTCTCGCAATAACAAGTGACGCCCGTTGGCTAGTGAATCTCGTTTTCAGCTCGATGGAGTGCTTTGTAAATGTATCGATCTTGCTATTGATACACGGATGTGACTTTCCATTGATGTAGGCCCAACCCTATATTGAAAAGATGAAGGGATTCTTCTCTCTAGTGTATGGAGCCATGGAAATATAAGAGGAAAAATGCTAGTAACACAGGGAAGTATTTGACAGCCCACTCTTGTCGACCCGGAATTTTGGTCATAATAATAAGAAGAAATTGTACCACACATGTCCCAAAGACTCCTTAATAATTTTACAATGCCAAATTCGGAATCGAATAGATTAGGTTCATGACTGTGAACCGTTGTCGCCGTTGTTGTTATTGTTATTGTTGTTGCCGTTTTGAGATTCAGATTGGCCAGTCAAGGCGGATTTCTGTTTCAAATAATTCCGCACAATATTATCAACACTGCCAATATCGTGCTTAGGTTGCCTGGTTTGCACACCACTGATTAGTAGACTGCGCATCTCCAAGACAAGAAAAGGTACGAACCGCATGTAGTAAAGTCGAGCTCTCCTCTTCCTCTTCTCTGTTCGCTGCACGATTTCCACGCTCTCAACATTTGGACTGAAGACCTTGATCCACATCTCCACTCCGACCCTGGTCAAGTGGTTTCGCAGCAGGAACGCTGTGTCGATGCCTCGCAATCGAATGCTTAAACAGACGCCAGAAAAGGGATCGCCGCTCTTGAAGGTTACCCGGAGGATATCGCCAGGCTTCACACTTCGAGGATTCCGTCGGTAGTCGAAGAGAGCTTTGCGCTCACCAGTCGGGTCTAGGACAGCCATCTGCGACTGCTCAACGGCAGCAACCGGATCTTTGCAAATTTTGGCAGCTGATGGTGGTGGCGGGTAGATCTTTAACTTCTTTTTTTCTGTACAAGGCCGGATTAGCATCGACTTCGGAAGGCATCACGCGAGTGATCACAGGACAGGAGTGGTTGGTAGCCTCGGGACAATAGCTACGCAGAACATGCAGAAATTACCTCTGTCAGGCCTCAATCTCTCCGGCAGCTGTGAATAGAATTGGGGTGGTAGGCCTTGAGGGAGAGGCTTTGGCTCTGGCTTCGGGGAGTACACGGTCGTAATAGATCGCCGACCCAGCTGCGGCTGCACCGCTGCTCGAGTCATTGATCTCAGCCAGCCCAGTGGCCGCATCACCGGTAATGGCGAAGCCATGTCTCTGGACAAATGGCGGGAAGAAACGTCGTTCCCGGTCGATGATTGACAGCGCAAAGTCCTGATAGTAACGAGTACGGAGTAGAGTCAAGACGGCCCGAGCGGCGGCAGAATTTCCGCCAAGCCTGAGTTGCCCGCTCGGGCTACCCTCGATAATGCTTCAATCGCAACCACGAGGAACTTTTCTATCAGCAACAATCGACTCCGGCATTTGCCTTCTGCCCTCCATCCATCTTGTCTATTTTGGTGGAGGATCTAAGCGAACCTCTGGGTAGTTTTGCTATCCACAATGGCGCAAAACGCCGTTGGAAGGCTCTTTCGCTGCCAAAGCTGTTTCCGCCAGCCGTTGACTTCATTCACTCAGACTCGGAATTACGCCCACGATGGTGAGATAGAAAAAGAGAATATATGTCTTTAATCTACTTAAATTGTCATTGCTAATTCATGGTCTCACCGCAGCCATTCCCAAGTTCTCCCCTACGTCCTCTCCGGAACTGGATCAGATGCTGAATCGGTTCCGCGAAGAGCTTTTCATTCCTTTCGGTCTTGGACAGCAGCAGAGGAGATTGATGTTTCGACAGAAATATGCGGACAAACTTGAAGAAGAGCCTGTGACGGTTACGATTGGAGAAGATGAAAAATTTCAGCTTCGACCCATGGACCCGCAAACGCGGCCTAGGAAGGAGGAAATTGTGCCGATCGTGAAGTTGATGAAAACAACCAAGGACTGGCAAAACATTATACCATTCCTGAGTGCACTGCGAATGTCGCGGCGGTATCTTAAGCCGAGTCGCTTGGAGTGGCTGGTGCGAAAGGCAGGAGACGCGAACGCTCTCGGAATAATCCTCGAATGCGCGAAGCAGTCCGAGCGGACGGGAATTTTTTTCAACGAAGCTGACCTGGCAAAAAGATTCTTCTTCGAGCTTCACGAAAAGGCACAAATGGCAGACTTCCGTGGAGAAGCTACCAGCAAGGCCCTCGGCCTCGCCCGACAAGCTGTGTTGCTGATGGAAGCCCCTGAGCACAGCAACAAGGACATCCAGCGGGATCCAAAACGCCAGCCATTCATTATCGGCGTTCTATTGGAACTCAGCGCTGCTCGTGCACTTAATGAATTCGGGGGCAACGATGAGGGTGGTCATGTTCGCGCTTACGCTGAGCGACTGTTGGCAACCTGGCAGTTTGGTTCATTCGACGGAGAGGCCCAGAAATGGGCTGACATTGACCACCTGTTGCAAGTGAATGTTCCCGTTTGGAACGGAATAAAGCTAGCGCTTCAGGTCCATGGTATTGCAGGCAACAAAGCTCTTGCTACGTCCCTGAAGGCTCGTCTGGACGAGCTGAGCAACCTCATCGCTAAGCAGCAGAGTCAGGCCCCGGAGAAGGTCCAGCAGCAGCCATCGATGGGTTATAAGCAGGCCCAGCTCTTGTTTAAAAAATAGGTTGTTCAACCCCGTATCATTTTCGCCAGGACTTCTGTATATTATCAACTAGTAGATCCAATTTTTACTATCTCTTGGCATCTTAGACGCGTGGGAGAGAAAAGGATTATTAGTTCGCGAGATTTATCCATGCATAAAAATGTGTATGTCATTCCCATTGCGACATGGTTAACTATCCAGCTTATTGTACGCTATACATTTTTCAAGATTTCATGCATCCATCATCATTTACACACTGCAAGGGTGTTGTCATTACGGAAACGTCCGCGAACAGACAAAGACACTTTCTTGGAGACCACAGCGGGCCCTGCGACGGTGATCTAGTTCACAGGTTAGGAAAATTTGTGTTCAACAACTAGGAGATCGAAGTACATACCTCTCCCTCAACGGCTCTCTCAAGACCCGAATTCTCAGGATGGCCAGTCAGGACGATTTCAACACTGCTCAATGGGGGTCCAAAGTGAGCGGGCCCTTCGTGTCTTCTGTAATCGAATGGGTGAGTCTGGGCGATGGCTCCCGCCACTCCTGCAGCGGTCAAAGCATAGACCACGCGAGCGCCGGTGAAAATTCTCAGGTCTGTCAATTGCTCAGAGCTCAGGAGGTTCTCATGAGAGTCATCCACGCGATAGGAAACAAGAAGCAACCGCAACTTCGGCAAAGACAGCTCAGCAGTCGGTGCAAGATTGGCCAGCCGGCTAAGGAGGTTCTGTGTTGGCATTCTGCCTGCGTCAAGGCTTTGGGCCTGGAACTTGCGACCGATTGTGGAGAGCAGTCCAGTGTGGGGACGCATGAACTTCTTATGGTAGTCGGACACCGTCCGAGAAGAGGCGATGACGACCGTTGGCGATACACCGACTGTCGCAAGCGCGAGATCGATGCCTTCTCCGGAAACAGAATTGATGGCCACAGACGCGTTGGAGAAAAGGGCGACCATCACCCAGCACAGTGGATAAGAACGAGAGAGGGAGTCAATCGAAAGGACAAGGTCATCGGGCGTCAATCGTTGGTTCCTTGGCAGAGAGTTACCCAGGGCACCAATCGCAGCCACAAGGTTCTACATATCATTAATAATGAGTAATGAAGTCGGGCTCCAGATTTCCGCAGCGACTCACCTGAGGCGTATATTCCACAAATTCAGCAGCACCCGACGCAGATGGCCACACAGTCGTAATAGACGGAGTCTCTGACTTCGGGTCCAGCGGCGGAACTTCAGTTCCCACGGAGTGTTTCTTGTCTTTAACCAGTTCATGCCAGACAGACACCTCGATTTCTCCGCCAACGCCCGCAGGCACCTCGTTCCAATCCATATGCCTGCTAACTGGCTTTGCAACCCAGATGGCGTGGTTCAGTTGCTTGTTGCCCTTGGTGACAGCAGCAAGATCGACGGTACCGGCCTCAGCAATCAGTACTTGAGCTTGCGACTTTTGAACGTAGTCTGCCAGAGTCTCTGGGGCAAGGTTGTGCGGGACAATCACGACATGGAAGTTGTAGAAAGCGCCAGCTGCCGCTCAGCATTAGAAAATGTACCCCAATTTCGGGTTGAGATCTCACCAAAGATAGCAGCCAGGAGCTCCACTGAGTCGGACAGAGACACGACCACCTTTTTGGCCTGCGACTCATTGATATACTTTCCGATGATATTGATCTCCTGCGTAATATCATCCAGATCATGCTCCTCCAAGTTCTTCCCCAGTACGGTATAGATCTTTCCCCGTTTCCCAGCGGGCGTGCCATTCTCACCCACCGATCCCCGGACGGCAGCCCTCCAGATATCGCGGAGGTCTCCATTTCGTCCCCCTGTCCATTTCGGTGCGTCTGGATCCTTCACATTAAGGCCCGTCCTCAAGGGGAACCCGTGGGGTGTCTCTAGGTTTCTGAATGCCGCGGACTCGCCAGGTTGTCTGACGGGCGCCTCTGTCGCCTGCCTAGCAAGCAAATATGGATGAACATCTGGTTCTCTTAAGCTGAGCAACAACGAATATCCAGCAAGGACCACTATGGCTCCGGCGATCACGGTCGAGTATATGTTCCAGTCGGCCAGGAGGTCGGCCAAGATAGCATCGAGCCTTTCCAAGCCGGACGTCTCCGCAGTCATCTTGAGAACTTCCGGTCGCTGGCAGCTCTGTTCAGGTTAGTAAAGAGGACAACAGAAGGCCACACATGAGGAGTTGCAATGGGGCCTTGGAGTAAGACGGGACATGTGGAGAACTGCCTTCAGCCCGCAGTTACGCCGGGCGATAGTTAACGTAATTCCCAACCGAACCGGACACCCGACCGAGCCGGACACCCCATCCAAAGTCCACGCGTTTAGGATACTGAAGCTATTCAAACAACCACCATGCCACCAAAATCGCGTCTATCGTCTCGAGACTTGGTGGAACAAGAGGGGAGGATCCAACTCGCGATTTCTGCTTTAAAAAACAACGAAATCCCAAGTGTTCGTCGTGCAGCGGAGGTTTTTAATGTGCCTAAATCTACACTTCATGACCGACTGACTGGCCACCATTTTCGAATCGAACAACGTGCCAATGGCCACAGGCTATCTCAAACTCAGGAAGATGCTTTGATACAATGGATACTATCTAGGGATTCACGTGGAGTACCTCCTAGGCCTTCCCATGTACAGGAGATGGCTAATATTATTCTTCGAACCGATAATCCAACTGGATACACACCTATAGGCAAGAACTGGGTATCAGGCCTTACCAAACGCCGTGACGAGATCAGAAGTCAATTTGCACGAAAATATAATTACGAGCGAGCGAAATGTGAGGATCCTAAGGTTATACAACAGTGGTTTGAGCAACTACAGAAGGTTCGATTACAATATGGTATCCTAGATGAGGATATCTTCAACTTTGACGAAACGGGCTTTGCAATGGGCGTAATAGCTACTACTAAATAGTATCTATGTCCAATATGCCCTGGAAACCTCATCTTATTCACCCAGGCAATCGGGAATGGGTGACACAATCGAGTGTATCAATTCAAGTGGTTGGAGTCTTCCTTCATGCATTATCTTCAAAGGAAAGGTCCATATTGAAGGATGGTTTGAAGAAGGCCTTCTACCAAGTGATTGGAGGATTGAAATCAGTCAGAATGGTTGGACAACAGATGAGATAGGCCTCCGGTGGCTTCAAAAGGTCTTTATTCCTTCAACCAGCAGCCGTACAGTTGGTCGATATCGATTGCTTGTTTTAGATGCCATGAAGCATCTCACACTGCTTTGATAAGCATGCAGCGACACAATATTATAGCTATCTGCATGCTCTCATCTCTCATCTCTACAGCCTCTTGATGTTGGTTGTTTTGGTCCTTAAAGCGGGCGTATGGAGGTCTTGTGGAGTCAAAGATGCGCCTTGGATTCAACCATATTGACAAGCTTGACTTTCTAAAGGCCTATCCTATAGCTCGCCAGGAAGTCTTTAAGGCTCAGAACATTCAAAACGGCTTCGCTGCAGCTGGTATCTATCCTTTTGATCCACAGAGGGTGCTTGATAAGCTTAATATTAAGCTATCTACTCCTACCCCCCCAGGAAGCCGTAGCGGGCACTCTACAAGCTCCTCAACGCTAGCTACACCTCATACAATCCGTCAACTACATAAGCAGGCTTCCTCAGTCAAGAAGCTACTCAAAAAGGGTTCTCAAAGTCCTTCAACACCTTCAAAACGGGCGCTACAGCAGATAATAAAGGGTTGTGAGATAGCTCTATACAACGCTGCTATTCTAGCACAGGAAAACCACGATCTCCGTATGGCAAACGAGAAAGAGAAGCAGAAACGAGGGCGATCAAGGCGCCAGATGTCTCCTAATCAAGGCCTTTCTGTACAGGAAGCGAGAGATCTCATACACCAGAGAAACGAGCAAGGAGATGAGATACAGGAGATAGCTATGGGTTCTGCATCTCTACCTTCCAACGCGCCAAGACGTGCTCCACCAACATGTTCTAATTGCCATATTCAGGGACATATTAGAACTGGTTGTCCTACACGTCTAAATATATAGAACTCAATGAAATACACGTGTTTTGGTTGTTGTGTATAGCTTCAAGTTTTCGACCGCGGTCAGAATTCGATGTTGGTGTCCGGTTCGGTCGGGTGTCCGGTTCGGTTGGGAATTACGTTAAGTTCCGGTGCTTGGTCAGCCTTGGCGGCCGGGACCCGTTGAGCGCAGCACGGGCGTGTCCAGTCTTTGTCCCCTCGCTCCGCTGCCTCTATCAAAACAATCCCAACCTCTGGCCTTCAAACTATGAACTCCCTCTCCGCTCGGCCATAGTCTGCGCTCAATGGTCGTGTGACGCGGTGAAGGTGATCTTCAGCGGTAAGTTTGGTAAGTATTTTCTCTTTCAGGTGAGTCCTCCTTCCTTTCTCTCCGGCCTGTTACCTTGAGACGACCTGGTGACACCCGTCATTCAGCACCGTCTTCCTGTTCATTCTGGTCCATACGGAGTTTCTTTCGACTCGATGGCATCCTCTCCACTTCCGGCGACCCCGAAACCAGCTCCAGCCGACGACAATCAGTCCCCTGGCAAGTGGCGGCATCCGCGCCTCAATGAAATCGTGAGGCGACAAAACGCCGCGATCTTCGACGATCGCAACGTGAAGAAGCTTGTGTGGAATGGCGGAGCACTTTTTGCAACCGTGTTTCTCAAGAGCACCTTGAAGACTTAGTAAGAGAATCCGATACGTTGAGAGTTGTCCGACCTGTCGGTTTGCTGACTAGCATCTAGTGCTCATCGATTGACGCTGCTCTCGCAATTCTCTATATACCCCGACATTATTATCCTCCTTCTACGCCTCATCTTTCTAATAAATATCTTCACTGCCCTGTACCCTCTGTTTCGGCCAAAAGACGACCTCTCCGACATCCCTCTCACGCCTACCCAGCGGGCTCTCCTCGGCCTTGACCCCAGGAGCACCCCCCCAGCGACACCTGGCACACAATATATTACGCCACCAAGGTATCGGCTCTCCTCCGGTTCACGAGCGGGAAGCCCTGTCAGTCGCAGCACGTCACCGCTTTCAACGGGCGGCAGTCCCGCTGGGCGCAGAGCATCTTTCTCACCGACAGCAAGTCCTCTATTTCAGAAAGCAGTTGCAAATGGGAACAGAGAAGGCGTGCGTAGGCAAAGCTTTGGATCTAGTTCTTTAAGTTCGTCTCTCAGAGATTCGACCATATCGCGGCTCCCTGCGTCTCCGTCGCCGGTGGGAACCAAAGGAGGTAAGTTAGGTTTGAGCAACAAGTGGTTGTACGAAAAGAGCCGAAGACATTCTTCTGGGAACGGGCTGATTTAATGACTTTGGCTTGGCTTTCCATTTCTGCTTGCCTAGCTCTGCATTTGTAACAACGTCCTTTGTCTTACTTTTTAAGGCAGCATTGCGATCATACCATGTCTCTGTTGGGAGTAAGGAATATAAATGTTATGGCTACTTCACATTGTTTCTTTTTTCGTTTCGTTCTATCGGCCTTCCCATGCTTAACACTATAGTCAACGCCGTAAGCGCCGTATAAGCATCCGTCGTGACGTTGCGGATTGTGGAGAATCCTGCTTAGAGCTGGCGGAGAGGCTTCAGCCTCTTCCGCCTCCGCCTACCCGCGGGCTGCGCATTCAAGTTCCCGCGACAGCTGCACAGACAAAATTAGATTTATTTGCGAAGCTCTTGACATCGATTCTTCCATCGCAACAAGTGCGACTGTGTAACTGCCCCTAGCTGAATGACGACGGCCTTGTGATCAATTTGCTGCTTCCGATATGGGAGCCTCGGAGTCGAAGCTTGTCTTCAAGCAAGGCATCTTCCGCCTGTCTGAGGATAAGGACATACCGGCTGACGATCCTTTCTGGGCCAAAGTGCGTATTGTTTCTTTCTTCCTCGAAAATGGCACTTGTTGGGGGTTTATTGTCTCGCTGACTTCTCTGTGAATAAAAGTTCTGGGAGCTCCCCGAATCGACCGAGGATGTCTTCAGTATATTTACTCCAGCGGACATACGACGAACGCGAGATACTGCATTAACAAACCTCGAAACCCTTTTACTCGCAGTATGTTCTCGCCTTTTCGTCCTCAAGAACCATCCTTCTTTTCCCGACCCCGAACTCGCACCAGACAGGGACGCCCTGAACTGCATTCGCATTCTCACCCGGATACTGCCATTCATCTACGAGGCAGAGCACCTGGAGGAATGGGAAGAGAAGTTCTTTTGGGGACGGCGCAGGAGGAAGACTCGCCAGGCACAGGTTGCAACAGAGGTTCTCTTCGATCAGGCGCATGGTGAAGAGCAAGAGGCGCAGGCACGACCGCAGGACGGCGATTACGAAGATGTGAAGCCATTGGCAGAAGAGTTGATAGATACGCTCCTGGACTTGCTGTTCTATACGGGCTTCACGATTCCAAAGCTTGCGACAGCAAAGACAAAGGTGTCATATTCGATCTGGCAGAGCGGGGTGGGCTGCAACAGCGCAATGGTCTCGACAAAGGAACATGAAAATAATCGATGCGAAATACTGAGACTATTACTTACTCTGACCGGGAAGTCAATGTATATGTCTCCGAGTGAGTTCCCGCCGACAACAAAATTTGTACGAAGCGACGACTGACAAAAGTTCAGCTATTCTGCCTGTCAAAGGAGTTAAGGCCCTTACATACATTGCGACATGCCCCGACAAACAGATTGTCCTAACTTTGCTATGTTCATTGCTGAATACCGTGAGTAGACATCTATTGACTTACAGTTAGTTACTAAAAATTTATATCCAGACTATCAAATACAACCCCGCCATATGGAGGGTGCCATACGACCATGTTGTGTGGAAAGATCCAAAGCAGATCCTTGTCATGTACTGCTTGCAATTTCTTCTGGTAATCATTTTATATCCTATCCCTGAAGACGGACGTGGTGTTCCTCCGAAGAACTATTACCGCCACTACTTCGGGCGGCTGCATAGACCCCAGGATTTCCAATTCCTTGTCGACGGCATGACCAGGATATTGAATCAACCAGTACGTTCATTTTTTTTCAGATCTCTTCCCAGGCTAACACTCTACGACTAGATGCAAGCCACGACATCATACCTACCCGGGAGCCAGAAGTCGGTGAAGTGGGCTCCAGAGATGCTCATTCTGTTTTGGGAAGCGTTACAGTGCAACAAACGATTTCGATCGTTCATCATTGATTCCAACCGCTCGCATGACTTTGTCATCCTGTGTCTCTTTTATGCAATTGAGTACCGAGGTGATCCCTCCAAACAAGGGGTCGTGAAAATGTGCATTTTTATTCTTCAAACGCTGAGCGTGGAGCTCAATTTCGGGAAGAACCTGAACAAGAAGTTTACAGCCCAAGATACTCTACCGCAAAGCATCCGTATTCCCGGATTTCGAGGCACATATGCAGATTATCTCATAATGGTAAGGCAGCCCGGACGGAATCAATGCGACACGGGACTAACCAGTACAGTCGATCCACACTCTCATGACCACGAGCAAAGGAAAGCTAGATGCAGTTTACCCAGCTCTCCTGGCTATCTTAAATAACATAGCTGCTTACGTGGAGGGTCTGTCGCCGGCCACTTGTTCCAGGATACTCCAATTATTTACGTCAATGTCGGCTCCCAGTTTTCTATTGGCGAACGAGACAAATCATACCCTCCTTCGCTCTTTGCTCGAGTTTATTAACGCCATTCTTGAGCACCAGTTCACAAGTACGCTACGTCCTTCTGAACTTCGCTGTCATGTGCGGGTTGCTGACCAGCGTCAGAAAATCCGTATCTGGTTTACGGTATCCTCAAAGCCAGAAAGCGGTTTCAAGCCCTTCGAACCTTCACTCTCGAAAGCGGACAGCAGGAGATTGAACGTCAAAATCAGCTCAGGAAAGCGAACTCTGGCTCGAACGATGGTGTCACTAGCCCCACGTCGCAGTCGGTCGAAGACCTTCGGAGGTCATCGGGCACGAAATCACCATTGACTCACATACCGGAAGAGAACAGCCCCTTCGCCATCGGAGGGGATGATTCGGATGATGAGGCAGAGGCTCCAAACACTCCATCGCAATCTTCTCCGTCCCTTCGTAACTCACGCACCCCTTCGATATCGTCATCAGCCGACGACAACGTTCCCCCCCAGTTACGAGGGATGTCGGAAAAGGCGCGAGGCAAGATGCCTGCTGGGCAGATGACATTTTCAAGACAGAACAGCGTCACCAGTCTAAGCAGCCATACAGCAACGATTCCGTCTGCGTCTACCCATTTTACCCCCACATCAGCCTGGGTGAGTTAGAGATGATCGCTTCTACTTATTCTACCTTCTCGCTGACAACATTTACTCAGCTCGAGTCGTGGCTGGTGGAGCTTCCTCTTCACACGATTCTCACGATCATTTCATCGATTTTCCCCCATATTCCTGAGAGTGCTTTGCAATCATCATCCGATCCCGAGGCTAGAACCCTGATCAACAATCTGCCGACTTTCGCAGATGAGCCGAATATCCAGGCTCTGTTATCTGAGCCGTCACCCATTCGCGTGCACGCCTTCGAATGGTCAGCACTCGCCCTAGGTTGGTACGAATCTTTGCTTTGGGGATTTATTTTCGCCAGCGAGATGGTCGTCGGGTCCGCATCCAATCCTACCCCTGGCACGGTTGGAGTCTGGAATGGAACAGGCATCAAGCTCTTTAAGGTCCAAGAGACGGCCGCACAGGGACCTACGCTGTTGGCTCCGAAGGGCGCGGTGGACGCCGTCGGAAGCAGCTTGGTACAACGCATTGGGAACTTGAGCTTCCGGGGTCGAACCGGAAACTCTCAAGAGGCATCCAACAGTTCTCGGGCACCCAGCGTAAGGGAGGTTTGATATTGATGAAACGAACGTTGAACCTGTCAAACGAATTGAGGCTGTTTATTCTTTTGTATTTTGCCGTCACAATACTGCTTCTCACATTTTCTAATTATCTGGCGTTGGTAGGCTGGGACCATGTCCGGTTGTCGTATAGGGAAAGGATATATATGTATTATGAAGGCAGCGCTCTATTTATGTCTATATTTTACCCGAAGCAAGTCTGTATATGTTAGATGCTTCTTTTTTTGATCAGCTTATTATGAATTTTTCCAACTCTCTATTGATACACCCGATGGTACGTGTTGGAACTAAACGACCAGCTCTTGTAGCACAATCATGTCAGTTCTTGCAAATCGTTTTGCATGTGCAAGGTTTCAGATAATTAACCCCTCCCTGCTGTCAAATCATTATTATTCTCCAAATAGCTAAACGCTAAGGTCACTAACCTCACCGACCGGCAGCCCCTAGGCGGGTGGGCCGGCGATCTGCACGTGGAGGAGTCGGCGCCGTCAGGAACGTGATATTCGCCTCGCAAGCTTCAATTCAACTTAATACCATCAATTGTTTCACGAGCATTTGTCTCTGCCTCTCCAGGAGGTCTCCATGCTACTGCTGCGAATGATGATGTTTTCTCGGTCGATGTCGTCGCTCTCACTGGCTATCTCAGCTGGGCTCTTGATCGGAAGCGAAGCCCCGATCTCGTCGAGTCTCCAGAATATTTTGAAAAATACCCATGGCAGCCCAGCTTATGAGTACCCCACAGACTTGACAAAGGGAATCATGCCCGTAAGTTTTGTGCTTGTCATCGTGACCGCGGTAAAAGGAAGGGACGCTAGGTCCCTTGGTTTTAAGGACAAAGCTGATACATATCCTGCAAACTTCTATCGTGTAGATACCCGTACACTCACATAAGTATGCCTGTCTCCACACGTCCAACGGCTGAAGAATCCAGGCTTTCCCCCCCTAGGATGCTAACGTCCTCAAGTGACTATTGGAGAGATCTGCCATTCTACACCGGTATGAATACAACGACCAGGAGATGGCAACGTCTCCGAACGCGACTAACGTTTATGAAGCTCTTTCAAAGGGCTGTATCTCAACTGAAGCGGATGTATGGCTGATCAATGGCACACTTTACGTACGTATATCCCGTCGTGTCTTGTATAACTTGCTGCTTTTGCGGAATGCTTAGAGTTGAACAGGTGGGACATGACAAGTCATCCTTGACCGAAGAAAGGACTCTCGAATCTCTCTATATCAACCCTATTCTCGATGTGCTGAATCGCCAGAACCCGATGACTCGCTTCGTGACTTCTAAGACCAAGAAGTAGGCGCTCTATCTGCCCGGCACTATATAAAGAAACCTCGTTGACCAACAATTCGGTATTTTCTTGCAGCGGGGTTTGGGATGTCGATCCTGAACAGACGCTCTACCTCTTTATCGATGCCAAAACCTCCGGTCCGGACACTTTCCAAGCCGTCATCTCTGCCCTTGCTCCCCTGCGCGAACAGGGTTACCTAACGACACTGAAGGATAACAAGACTATCATCAATGGTCCTGTCACAGTGATTGGAACGGGTAATACACCACTGAGCATGGTTGGTCCCGTGGCGAATCGCGACTACTTCTTCGATGGCCCTCTCGAGTCTTTGGGTGAACCGCAATATGCGGACATCACGTCCCTGATCTCCCCCATTGCGTCTACCGACTTTGCAGCTGTTTTTGGGACGTTGAGTTCAGATGCGGATCCGGTCTTCTCGACTGATGAATTAAGTATGCTGCGACAGCAGATTGCCACGGCGAAAAGCCGGGGCATCGGCGGCCGGTACTGGGGTACGCCATATTATCCCATTAGGAAGAGAAATGAGGTCTGGAGGACCTTATTGCGAGAAGGAGTCGCACTTCTGAATGCAGACGACTTGGATGCAGTGTCACAATACTTCTGAGGTCCCTTGTGATGATGACTGTTTTTGATTACTAGACTTGCACACCTTAATATCTGCATTTGCGGGTTTCAGATACGAGCACGACGAGGAGATGACATTGATTTTCTAATCTACCGCTATTTCCGATGGTTATATAAATAGCTTTAGTGTCTACATAAAAGATCGTGCGTGGGACGATCCAGTTTACTTCCTTTATCAGACCCACTATAATTCAGTCCGATGGAGAAGATACATGTATCTGTTCTAAATCGCATACATGACCGCAAAAGGAGCTGTATCCTGTTCTCTGAATTTATCGATGCTGTGTACATACAAGGTCATTGGTTACAACTCACGTGATCACGTGATTGGTTTTCCACTGTACGCGCTCTGTGCTGCGCGCGCTGCGAATCAAGGACGCTCTTGACAAAGCAATTGCACACGCACAACTGGACCGAACATACTAGCTCCAAACTTGACGGAGTTCCCATGTCGAAACAAGACTTGGGTGACCTCCTCGCGGAGGTCCTGCCTAAAGATGCCAAGGTCAATGTTCGTCACATCTCAACGCCCCCGACGCGCTGCGAGCCTATCTTCTCGGCCCCACCGGGCGAAGATCCAGAGACAACGTTCTGTGAAAACCACTTTCTAGTCATCACCATCAATCGTAATGAGAAGATCGAAGAAGAGATCGCGGTGTTTGCGATCGAGGTCCTGATCTACACGACCGATCGCCTTACGACGCTGTTTGTCTCCAAGGCAGACTCGACCGGGTACCTGCATCTGCTGCATGTTCCCCCCAAGACTTCGTTGCTCAGGCTGATTTCCACTACGTTTCTGTCCTATCTAGTGCAGACTCACCAGCGGCCAGGTGTCAGGCTGGTTCTCTCGTTGTTTGCTCGCGCTCAGAACCAGTATCTGTTTCCTGGCAGCGTTGACAATGCAGGGAAACATGTCTTGGATGATCGGGGGCTGATTAAATGGTGGTGTCGAACGATTGATCCTATTCTACGAGAATACGCACTGGAGTCGCGAGACTCTGAGAACAAGGGTCTGCTCGATGAAGCCGTGGAGACCAGCAAGAGTTCGGCCACGGCATATCTGCTAGTCCCAGGCTGTGATAAGTACGAGACGAGAGCGTTCTTCCCAGACACGGCAAAATCAGACGACACGAATCACCCGCGATGGCGTAATTCTTACCCTCTCCATCAAATCTGCAAGCATCCTGGGGCACCTCCCAGATGCTTAGTCCCGCGGTTTCCAGATGACCCAAAGGCACGCTTTCTGATTGATTTGGACGATGAGTTGCCAGAAGTGTCAAAGGCGGATGGCGCTTCAACGCAAGGATCGGGACAGTGGAGAAGCGTTAAGACTTTGGATCAATTTTGGGAGATGATGTCTTTTCGACAGGAATGCTCTGCCGGGAGGCTCGTTGGATTTTTGTGGTTGGTCATTAACCCTCCCGGTTTACTCAATTCAGACGACCTGTCGAACCAGATGCAGGGGTCGCGAACTTCGCAAACCGACGACACGAGCCGCCCAGAAGAGGCGTCGACGAGAGAGACTGCGGCGAAGAAAGCTGATGCCGAGACAAATAACAATCCCTTCTTCTGGCCGGAAGGCGGACGTGGGGAGGTGATTCTGGATGATTCAGGCTACAAAAGTGCAATGGAGTGTCTTCTCGAGCAAGACTTCGAGAACGAGGAACTCGCCATGACTAGCACGATGACTTGGGTTCGCAAGGTCGCGTCTCTCGCAGACCTGTTATGGTGGGGTAAACCTATCACAGGAAAAAAAGATATCTCCGAGATAACTCCCAAGCCTTTGACCACAAACAACTTAATGGATTCGGGCCTAATAGTCCGGAAGAGGAAGAAGGAAAATCAGGAGGCCGGCAATGAGACGACTCCTGATGGTGTCAATCCTTTGGTGGAGCAAGACCAAGACCGCGCAGACGAGGCTCAGTCTCCTGACAAGAGGCAGGCTGAGAAGCCAGCAGAAACCTCCACTCCTGGAGTCAATGTTCTCAATGCCAGCTTTATTAGAAAGAAAAAGAAGACTTGACGTTCCACTGTAGACTAGATTCCACTAACGATTGCAATGTGCGGGGTTTTTAATAAATGGATACTGAAATGGTAATTCATTGCTTTCACCGCATATTCCATGTGTCAGTAGCAAGTATATGCCTTCGATGCTGCAATCTTGAATTGCATGATCACTGTTCCTGGAACGAGGTAAAACCAAGTGTGACACTTAAGTCTCAAGGGATACGGAGTACTCCGTACATTTCTTCCCTCCGGTTGGAGAATGCTATGTTGATAATCTGAAAGGACATAGATACATCCAGCCACTGTCGTAATTGCAAGACGTTGAGGCCGTTTGTTGGCTGCAGATCTGCTCCATTTGCGGGCCACTAATCTGGCCTTCGCAGACTATGGCACGGAGCCCACTTCTTCGCAACCAAAATAGACAAGGCAGCCGGCGCATCCGATGACAATCCACTGGTTCTGTGGTTCCCATCTCTGGCAGCCTTCTTAAAGATTTCTTTGTCTTTCTCTTATTCCTTTTTTTTCTTGTTCTCTTAGAATGGTCTCGTCATTGAGTGCTTTCTTCTGCGTTGTTCCTTCCCGCCCATGCTAGGGGTCCAGCTGAGCTCGAGCTCATCCGTTGTTGTCCAACGTGGTGCCGCCGCTGCTGGCAGCAGCTCGGTACAGACCCCATCGTGGCTGGTTAATACCCTGGGATGGGCAGCTCTCGTCTGGTACCTGACGGTTGTGGCCGTCTGCGCTCTGGGGTATTTTCAAATGTGAGCCAGGTTTGCCTTTCTCTTCTCGTGAATCAATGGCGAAGACTAAATAAAGGGATTGAGCGCATATCAGATGGAAACACTACTCCAGAACACCGTCGAGGTCCGTCTCGTCGACGTCCCCTGATGCGCCCCATGTCACGGTCATTCGACCCGTCAAGGGCCTCGAGCCTTATCTCTACGAATGTTTGGCATCGACATTGCGGCAAGACTATCCCCGGGACAAGTTAACGACCTACATATGTGTTTCGACACGCAAGGACCCCTCTTTCCCGACGCTAGAGAAGTTGCTTGCCGACTTTCCGGATTCTGATGTGCGAATCTTCGTCGAAGAGGAGGACCCGTTGCTTCAGGACAATGGCGGCTATTCGTGCTTGCTGGGCCCCAACCCCAAGATCAGGAACATGAGCCGGGCATACAGGGAAGCTAAGGGAGACATCGTATGGATCATCGACTGCAATGTCTGGGTCGGTAGGGGCGTCTGCGGGCGGATGGTGGATAGGTTATGCGGCGTCGGCCAGAGCGATGGGAAGAAGTACAAATTCGTCCATCACCTGCCCATCGCGGTGAATGTAGATGAGGATGGACTAGGGGAGGAAGGTCGATCACTACTCAATGGCGACGCGACCCGAACGCCGTCGATTGTCGGAACGAAGGAGGGCAGTCTCACCTCTTTGCTACGGGACGGTGGTGGCCGTCTGGAGGAATTGTTCCTCTCCTCATCACACGCCAAAATGTACACGGCGATTAATACCGTTCTCCTGGCGCCATGTATTGTGGGCAAGTCGAATATGTTCCGCCGCTCTCAACTGAACTACCTCACTCGTCCTTCGCCAGACAATCCCCGCGCGCGACATCCTGGCATTGATTACTTCTCCGACAACATCTGCGAGGACCACCTGATTGGGGACCTCCTCTGGAAGAAACAAATCCGCGAGGAAAAGGAACTCGGAGAACGCTGGGGGAAACATGCGATGGTCTTTGGAGACCTTGCTATTCAGCCTGTGGCCAACATGAGCGTCAAAGCCTATATCGCACGGCGTGTCCGCTGGCTGCGCGTACGGAAGTTCACAGTCCTTCTGGCGACCCTTGTGGAACCGGGAACGGAGTCACTGGTCTGCTCTTTATACGGCGCATTCGGTGTCACCACGGCGCTGGCTGGGCTGCTTCAGAACCATGGGAGCGTATGGGGGTCGTATCTGAGCACCTGGAACGCTTTCTTCACGTTTTGGACTCTGAGCATCGTGATCTGGGCCGCCTTCGACTGGACGCAGTATCTGAAACTCCATTCCGCTGCGACAGTCGAAATCGACGAGCACACGGCACCATTCGCGCGGCCGATACCGAAAGACCGGACCGCGAGACGCCCATTCCTCCACTGGCTCGCCACCTGGATCGGACGCGAGGTCCTGGCCTTCCCGATCTGGGCGTGGGCCGTTTACGGCGGCACGACGGTAGTCTGGCGAGATCGGTCCTTCAAAGTCTCCTTTGACGCCAAAGCCCGCGAAGTGGACGTTTCCGCGCCGGTGAGACTTCGTCGGGGCGTGGTCGCGGATTCATCGTACTCGAGTGGTGTCGTTCCTGGTAGCAGTGGTAGTACTGCTACTACTACAAGAAAGGACGACCGGAATAAAATCCGGCAAGATTGATGGATAGGGAAATGAATGGATATATGCAATGCAAGTGCAATAATAGAATTGAATAGAAGACTCTCCAGGTAGCCCAGATATGATACATCATGCATCTATGTGTTTGGTTGGTGTTTTTGATGATAAACAATGATAACATGACTCTTTAGTTATGTATGTATGTATGCAGGTTACGAGAAGAAGCCTTTTTTTTTTCTGTGGCTTAATTCTAGTATTATTTATCTATCTGCTTGGTATTTATTTACTCACCTCCTCTCCACTCCTTCGTAGTCGTAGCAAAAAATCGCGTTCGTCCATCCGTCCGTCCGTCCGTTAGGTTAGTAGTATTGTGATGATTATGATGTCGTCGTCGCCTTCGTCTCTTCAACGCCCTCCATCTCATCATGGTTCTCATTCTGATTCTGATCGCCCTCGGCGGAATTAGTCCCCGCAGGCTTCTCGTACCCGGCTCCCTTGTCGCAACCTAGCAGCCACTCTACAACCTGTCGCGCTTTGGAGACTGGCACTTGCACTGGTTTGGCTGCCTCTGCCTCTGCCTCTGCTTCTGCTTCTGCCTCTGCCTTCGCCTCCGCCTCGCCATCTTTCTTTCCGTCCTCTTCTCCGGGCTCTTCCGTCGAAGACCAATCCACCCGCTCAGCCAGGAAGAGCGCGTCGTGGCCGGCGTCGTTCTTGGCGCTAACATCGGCGCCCGCTTCGACCAGGGCCTTGACGCAGTCGAGATGTGTGTTCAGGGCGGCCCAGTGGAGAGGCGTGTTGCCGGAGAGGTTGCGGTAGTTGATGAATGCGGCGATATCTTTTTCCTCGCCTTCCCGCTGAGAAGATGTGAGCGATTGGAGGAGGAAGTTGAGGAGTTCTGTGCATTACACTCGTGTTAGAGCGTCGAGAGTTGTAATAATAATGTTTATGTCGGATACATACCAACATTGCCATTCGCCGCTGGCCAATGCAGCAAGCACGCGCCCGTTCCGCCCTCGCTCTCATCCTCCGTGTCGATCGCAGACTGTATTATCGCCGAAGCCGTCGTGTTGTGCTCTTTGCTCAGCTTCTCGATCTCGGCCTGCAGCGCGTCCAGGTCGCCCAGTCGGGCGTCGTAGATCAGTTCATCGACCGCCTCGAAGGAGAGGGCGACGGGGGGTGGTGGGTTTTCTGGGCGAGTCGCCATTTGTGTAGGCTGTTCTCTCTTGCTCCTTTTTTTGTCGGTTTGTCTTTGTTTGCCTCCCCGCCCACTTCGTAATCTTTCGGGAAGTAGGTAGGAGGTAGATGTATTATTTCAACTGAAGGGACCCTTTATTGAAGAGTCTATCAAGTTTAAATACGTCTGTCACGGTGCTGGCGAACTATACAGTCGCTCCGACAGACAGATAGTAGTAGACTCCTTGATCAGGGGAACAACGACTAGCAAGGAGGTCAACCAAAGAAATAAATATGCAGTGACTTCTGTCTCAGTTCTGTCTGCGCTGTTGAAATATGCAATACAAGTCGATTAGACAGCCAGTCAACTCGGTATCCTGCTCTCCGGTTAGTATAAGTGTTGGTCTCTTGGACATTTTCCAAATTCTAGTAAGAAAAGGGGGTCCAACGGAATGAGCTGAGGTACAAAAACAAGAACAAAGATAACACCAAAAAATGGAGAAAAATCGTCGATGGTTAATCAGCTACAATGTATGGCGTATATGCAATCAACAGGATTCAGCTTGCAGGCTCGACATCTGTCTCTCCCCTGGCTCGCTCACTCTCCCCCGCCCAAAACTTTCGAAAGAGAACAACATAATCAAGATATATAATTTCGGAACAACAACACTTCTAGAAAGCAGCAAAAATACAATGCTAAATATACCCAGCATCAATGCCGAAATGTAGCTTTTTTGCAAGTTGTGCTTGATTTTCCCATTGCCCATTGCCCATTGATTGATAGATAGCTTCACATTGGGTAGGTGGGTGGGGGAGGCATAAATTTTTATAAAACCAGAATATCAAACTGGGAAGAAAAAAAGGGGGGAAACAAAAATCAAAAAAGCACACAAGTTCAGAGAACATAAAAAAAATTATAACTCACCGAAATGACTATAAAAAAATTATCTAAAGGGTATTCCTTGGTGTCTTTTTTGTTCGTTGAGGGGTGTGATCAATAGCTACCCAATAAATGGTTCTAAGAAAAAGACTCTACGGGGAAGCGACTATCACGTGATCTTATATCTGGGGACGACAATCTGTCAAGAGTGAAAGAGCCATTTGAAAAAAAATACCATTGACACCACTTAATTCTGTAGTTGTGGCATCTTTGCGAAAATCAAGATGAAATTATGAAATATATAAACGAAGTGGTCAGAGAGCTACTGAGTGGAATGTCCATGCCTAAGGCTAGTAATGATCATTACATGTATGCATGTATGTACATACTTTTACCTACACCTGCCTTATTAGGTCCATGGCTGAAGAAACACTTGAAAACTCCTTTATATGCACAATGCCTGATAGAAGCGCCCAGTCAAAAGAAAGAAAAATGCACAATGCGCCGCTCAGAGGTATCATCGCCATAACCGGAAAGCCCCAAATATTAAAGCAAGACCCAGGAACGGATGAAAGAATAAAGGGGAAAACAAAAGGATTCAATCTCGTAGCCATGCTCTCCGCTTTTCTTCTTTCTTTATTCGCCTCTTCTCCTTAAAGGCTTTCAATTCCTTCTTTGTGAGCCTCCTTGCACTTCGCTCGGCTTTCAGACTCCTTCCATCATGGCTATTGGCAGCGGCGTCGACGTCAAAATAAGCGTGCATCTGTCGTCGAGCCTTGTTTTCTTCGTTGAATCTCTCCGGCGTTAAGGATGTCGACTGCCACTTGCCTGTGAACCGGTTGAACGCTGCGGTCGCCGTATACATTTGACTCGGGTCAGTCCCGGAACCATTGCTGGCGGCAGCCTGGCGGTCCTGCTCATATTGCTGTGCATAAGGAGCCGTGGGATCATAGTCGCCATGAATGGCGGGATTGTAGCCACCGGCCACCGGCCTTGATTGCGACACCTGCTCTGCCACTCCCGACGCGCTCATCGAGGCCTCCGGCACGCGTGGATTCTCCCACTGCGACACCCCCGTAAACCGGTTGTAGAAATAGTACGCTTGGAGATTACCATCCCAGATCGCTTCCCATCCATCATCCTCCTGGCCTGGCGGCGCTTCGTTGGGGAGTGGCGGGGCCTCGTCTGGTAAAGGTGGCGCAGCTGAACCCTCTCCCTCCTCTTGCTCCTCCTTCTTCTTTTCCTCACCTTCTTGATGTTCTGGCTTTTCCTGAGCGTTTTCTTCCGGATTCACTGACTTATTCTCGGTGTGCTTTTCGTCTTCCAATTCCTGAGACGTCGTCTGAGGTGACGACCCGGGCTTCGAGGCGTCCTGGTCGTCCTTGGGAGGGCTGTTCCCGGAGTTGGAGGAAGGGTCGGCAGCCATACTGTATTAGCACAGATGCAGTCTCAAGAGGCGGAATGATGAAGGGAAAATGATGGAGGATGTACAGGAACGCAAGGTCTACACGTCTTTGCCCGCAAAGAGTGTTTCGGTTTCCGGGATGCGATGAACAGGGAATCAATCCTGATCGGCGACGGAGATGGAATCACGCACCTCTTCAGCACTAAACTACTTTGGGACTAGCCGCCCCGCACGATGACCTCAGGGGGCAACTGCGAAAGCACGACGACTTGGAATTATTATAGCAATCTGCTCGAAATTATATAGTTCCTGTAATTGTTTTTTTACTGGATTATAAATGAGAAGTAGTTGAGAATGTTTATAATAATATTATAAAAAATATTAGGGTACTTTTGTGGAAAAATATGTCGATATATATTAAGTCTTAAGTTTAGGTGTAAACATCAAAAATATATATTTATAACAGTACTTCTATTTTATACACAACTACCTTACTCCTCGACCATTATTATGATACCATAAAAATATAAAAATTCAAGTCCCTTTTCCTCACATGCAAATCAATTCACACATATTAAAAAATCTAAGTAATATCTATGAGTAGAATTTTGACCTTTGGTAGAGCTCGTAGGACATAAAATAATTTACTACCATCAGACCAACAAATGAGTAGATTAATAATAAGCCTAAATCAGCTAAAGGATTCACACCGTGATTTTGAAACTGATAGTTTGAAATCACCGAAGGTATGTATTTCATTACTCCCAACTACATGTGGTCACAGTAGATCAATTGTATCTCAACTGCAGGCAGGATTATGTGTTACAAATGGTTAGGTGCAGTTAGGCATTCCGACTCGTGTAGTCACCCAAAGTTCTAGAGAAGTTGTCGTATTCAGACTGCCCAATTTAACTAGCAATCAGGCAAATATACTTATCATCAGAGGGAGAAACGGCAATCTTCGTTATTACATATAGAGGCACAGTAGTGGATTGGCCGTCTTTACGGGTTCCCAGACTGTAAGCAACGCTTCTACCAGAGCTAGCGGCAAGCGGCAATCGGCGAAAACTGATTATTCGCCGTGTAGGTCTGGTTCTGGCGAAAGTGCTGGGCTTCGTTGGCAGTAGCAAGATGCCGTCACGCATGGCACGGCCCTAGCCCTTGAATTCTCTTACAATTATCCAGAGCCGAATGTCCCGTCAGCTCCATCGTGCGGCAGTCGTTTGGTCAGATTCCGTTCCTTGGAAACCCTGGTGATTGCTGATAATAACATTAGCTGGATCACTTCCTCGCGGACCTTCCAAGGGCGGGAACGGAGACTCGGCACGGAGTACATACATAGATAGGTTTTCTTGACAGAAGAGAGATTCAGGAGACTATTATTGAATGCCCTCCCATTCCTAGCAGCATTGGATGGGACCAGTGGATAGCTCCAAGGAGGCAATATCGGATTCAGAAGCAAACGCCGAATCTATAGTTGTGAAGAGTTGATCATGATGAGTAGAGTCTGCGAATAGTTTGTGGAGCGCCTTCCTGTTCCTTGCGGGATCATTCCCGGACAATGACTAAGCAGCCCTCTGCTAGTCCAAAACGCCCTGAATTCTCCTCTAATGATGCCTTTCTCTAAGAAAAAAAAAAGGCCTTGCATGTTTTGGGGAGGAAGGCTTCTCCACAGGCTCCATCGTGGCAGGTAAGGTCCAAGCCTTAGGACCGTTCCCAGCAGGCGCGCCCCCTCGTGCGCCCTTGCAGATGAAGGACATTCTGCAACCCTGCATTCCCCGATGCTTGGCCTGCCACTGAGCCAGTCACAGCTTTCAGTGCTCGAGATCTGGGTGTTTATTGACCTGCCGAAATAGATTATTGGAAGAAAAAAAAATCCACATGAAGACTGGACGGGCTGTTTATCCCAAACAAGGAGGGTGTAAGGCCGTTCAATGGGTGTAAAGTACTCCATCTCCAGTTCAGGTTTCCTCAGGCAGTGAAACTCATATTGACGGCAGGTCCACGTGCCTAGAAGGGCATTCCCAACTCCCATCGCGATTGGAATTAGGGAATGAATAGCTACGTGAAAGGGCTTGTTTCCCCGACCATTGGTATCCACCAAGTGATCAGTTCTGATGAGGTCTCGATCCTGAGATCGCCCCATAGGTCTTATTCTGATGGCCGATCGAAGAATGGCAAAAAGATTCAAATAGCGATTCTATTAGCGGATCGAGAATGACATGCCGATGGGCGGGTTCCGTGGCGCGATGTTCCTGCATCGAAGGGCTCGTGCGGTGCGCGTTTCTGCACGGCTGGCGGCAGATCCATTCCTGCTGCCATCCAGGGAGCCTATCACGGAACTCAGCAACAGAAGTCGTCCCTGTCTTCCTGAATGTTGCATTCCAGGGCCGTGATGACTTTGTATCTTCAACGACGAATATGGTCCCTTGGGCCGAAAAGGGCCAGGTGATCGTATCAACACTGCCTCCACCTCTGTCTATATAAACGTGTCGAATCAACACCCTCGAGCTCTTCTCTCCATCATTATCAAACAACAATCACTCACTCTCCTTACTCTTCTCTTCTCCCAGAAGCAGCAGTCTTCAGGCTAATCTCTCAAGCCATTTCTTTTACAGAGCTTTAATAACTCGCCTTAAACATCCAAACCTCCACACACATTCAAAATGAAGTTCACCGCTGCTATCCTCGCTCTCGCCACCTCTGTGGTTGCTCTGCCCAACGTTGGCCCCAGCGGTCAGGGTGAGGCCCACGGCAAGGAGGTCAGCAAGCCCGGCGCTCAGCAGCCTTTCTGGCCTCTCCAGCAGGACGTGAGTGTCGAAGAGGCCAAGGCTCTCTGCGGTAACCAGGCCCAGGTGGCCTGCTGCAACGACGTCGCCTACACTAGCGGTGACACCACCCAGGTCTCCAGCGGTCCTCTGGCTGGTGCTCTCACGGACCTTCTGGGCGGCAAGAACGGTGCCAGGGGTCTTGCTCTATTCGACAAGTGCTCCAAGCTCAACGTCGACCGTAAGTTCTAACCTCTAGTTATGGACCTGGATCAGCCGCTGACGACGCTACAGTCCTCATTGGTGTCAGCGACATTGTCAACCAGCAGTGCAAGCAGAACATTGCTTGCTGCCAGAACGACAGCGCCTCTGCGGTAAGTCGCGTTGTTAGACCGGTGGAATCGTATCGATACTGACGGTGACCACAGGACGGCGATCTCATCGGTGTCAACATTCCTTGCGTTGCTCTGGGTTCTCTCCTGTAAAGCATCCGAGTTCTCTTCGTCCTTTCCCAATGATTGTCTACGGTGAGGCGATGATCAGGGTGACTTGATTTACACGCACCTGTGGAGGGACTGGAAATGTCAAGAAGACTACAAATCTGGGTTTCTTTTTGTGTCCTTTCGGTTTGTCTGTTTTGTTACCTAGAGCACGCAAGAATGTGAGCAGGGATGTCTTGCATATTGCACTGCATTACTATATCATCTCGCATAATATGGAGTACACTCTGTGAACAATAGAGTTGCTTTGCAAGTTCACTATCACCTTTTCAATTCCTAACCATCATTGAGTGCGTAACTTAGGCACCTACCTGGCCAGTCATAGACAAACAAAGCAACCAAAACAAACATCAGGCATATCACTCGCAAACAGAGAATCCCCATAACGAACCAGGGCTGCGATGGTGCAGTGGTTAAGTAGCCTAAGTCTCTTACACCTACTAACAATCCGATGAACGGCCTGGGTTCGACTCCTTCTGGGTCCTTGGACCCTAATATTAAAAAAAGACAGGTGATAGTAAAACTCCTGCCCGCCAAAAGCATAGGTGGGGGTTTTCGTAGCATCAGCGGGTCCCGGGAGGGAGGACCCCTGGTGTGAGCTTTTTTTACTTGCCTCGGACGCGAATTGTATGAGGGGACTCAGGTGAGCGCGATGTTTCTTTCCTTTTTTGGAACCGACGATCGGTAGGCTATGACTCCACAGAGTGGATGTATCGCTATATGGCGGATCTACTCCGTACAGTAGGAGTCTTTCTCAATGATAGACTGACTTCCTCCATTTGAGAAATAATCTCGCTTGTTTGTACTGTACCGTACCTAGTCCGCGTACTGACGTACTGCTGCAGTGCTGCTAGCAGTACGTATCTGCTTGTTTTCAATCCAGAAAAAAAAATCTATCGTATCGTATCGAGGTACTTCATCAAATCTGGTCATTGCGAACAAGTTTCATTGCATTGCTCTCTGGAAGTTTTTTTTTCCCGCTTCCTTTATCCCATCCTTTCTGTCTTCTTGAGGATAAAGGGAAAAAAGGTATGAATACTGCGTGGTCTTGTGATTATATCCATTATTATCAATCCTATTATCATTATCACTTGAGTGAACAGGACCAAACAAGAAAAACGAAAAGTAAAAAGGGAAAATGAGGGAAAAAGAAAGGCGCAGCTTGCCTATCCAATAGCATTGCATCCAAGCCAATCCAATCCAATCCAATCCAACAAAGGAATAATATATTTCATCAAGACCAAGTATGTACATACATACACACAAATATATGGGGAATAAATGAACGAAATCAACGACCTTAATAGCAGTACAGAGACTCATTATCCGAATTCTCATTCCACTTCCGCCCTTCGAGCCGGAAATACATCGACTCGACGCTCTTCTCGTTCGCGGCGCTGCCGCTGCCGCTGGCGGGGGAGGTAGGCGTGATGGGCGATATCGACGGGTTTTGTGTTGCTTTCGTCCTCTTGGATGTGGTCCGCGGGATTTGCAGAATTGGTCGTCCGGATTGTGATTGGCGTTTGCTGAAGATTCGGACTAGGGATTTTCTTCGGCTGGTCTTTTGTTCTTGTTGTTGCTGTTCTTGTGGTTTTTGTTCCTGCTGTTCTTGTTGTTCTTCTTGTTCCTGCTGTTGCTGCTCCTCCTGCTGCTGCTGATCATGATGATCGTCGGATGTCGTCGGGGACAGGTCGGGAACCAGATCTGGCACATTGGCCTCGTCCGTGGATTGCAGCTTCGTCACCTGCTCCTGCTCCTGCTCCTGCGCCTCCTGGGTCAGGTGTGTTTCAGCGGTCGAAGATTTCGTAGTGCTGTTGTCTGGCTCTTTTGCTGTCGCGGCACCAGTCTCAGCTCCATGGCTGGCTTCATTATCCGCATCGGGAGTAACGACTTTCTCCGGCGATTTCTCGTCAGGGACATCTTGTGATCCTGCTGCTGCTGCTGCTGCTGCTGCTGCTGCAGGCTCTGGTTCGGTGGAAACATCTTTTTCTTCTTCCTTCGACGCAAGATCATCGTGTGGCTGAGAGGTCTCAGTAGCAGTCGGTGTTTCTTGCTCGCTTGTTTGTTGAGGTTCCCCTGAGGTCTCCTGTGCCACGTCTGCTGGAGAGGATGTTTTTGCGGGCTCTTTTCCCGTGCGGTCTACAGCGTTATCTGGCGATGACACTGGGACAGGTTTTGGTGGTTGCGACTCAGCTGTATCTCCAGTAGCTTTCCCAGACCGCAGGCAGGGGAATAATGCTGAAAGGAAACCCATGATGCCACAAATATAATAGGACAGACTCGCTAAAACAAAACTAAATTCCTTTCCGTGAACGAGTGAAGGGAGACGGGTGTTCTGTATAGGTAAGCAGAACAAGCCGGTTTCCAAGATCAACAGGCCCTCGGACGGGACCCAGATGACTGAGTCCCTAAAAACAATATATAGAACACGAGGGCTATGAAAAAGCGAATAAATGAAGACTAACCCGTCAGTAGCTTGTTAATAAAACGAGCGTCGAAAACACAAGAGGATATAAGAGGAATACCACAAAACAAGCTTAACCTAGGAGGGACCTACTGACAATAATATATATGCCCCGGACTAGAGAAGTCGGGTAAAGGAGGGGCGGTTCAACCGACTATTCCACCAGCAAGCACCCTTCTCCGTTTTTGAGCAAGAACAAGAGTCAGTCGGACCCTGACTTCGAGTCTATTCCAGGAAAGGAAGTCCTGAGCGTGAGGGTACGTAGTAGTAGTGAAGAGCACGCTGCACGCAAGACCGGTGGACGCTAGCAAGGTAGGGTAGGGTCACTAATAGTGACTCTCCTAATAGTGATAGATGGAGGGTGGGAGGAAGAGAGGAGTGGTGACTGGCGACGAAGCCCGAGTCAACGCCTAATAATAGTCCAGACTCTCAGCTCAGACCGGAAATGCAGTCAGCCAAGGTGAGTTAGGGCAGAGGTCAACCTTTTCCGCTTCAAAAAGAGGGCAAGCCCGGTATAGAGGAAGCCTGCCTAGTCAGGGAAAACAGGCTGAATTCGGGCAGTCAGTCAATGACACAATCCCTAACCACCACTTAGCAATAATAATAATTACTCCGTCGCAATTATTATTTGGACATGCGCATACCTAGGATTACCAGGGACGTCATCCTCGGCACCAGTTTTATAGTCAGAGATATTTTTGTGCCGAAAGCCAGCATGCGGATCGCCATTGTGTGCAGCCACGGCTGTGTGCTTGCCATACTGGCAATACCGTCGAATGCCATCCATGGTTCTCTCCACATGCGCAACGACCACATGACAATAACGGATTGTTGGACTTGATGCCCGTCCGTCCGAGCGCCTCCCCACAAATTGTTTGGCGCCGCGCGGAGGTTCCCCAGAAAGCGAGAAAATGGCGAATTGGTCGCTCGCCCACTTGCAGCGCTAAGCACGGCCTAGAGACGCAACTTTATTAGCTACTGTTGGTCAGTCGAGCAGCAGGCCAGCCACGGTTTGCAAATTCAGGGGCTTACTCTGCACTCTGTAATGACAGGCTGTGCCGCTGTCAACTCCCATTCCTCCGCACAACGGACGGAATACTCAGTGCAGATCCCGTCATGGCGTGCTGCATTGTGGAATCCTGGTAAATTCCAGGTTTGAAGGCCGTATAATATTATATGCTATGTTTTGTGACGATCCTCATTCGTTCTGGAATGTGCCCCTCGGAATCAAAACAGGGATGGTCGATGTGCGCTGAAAAAGCTTGATCCCCGTAGTAGCATGACTAGAAGTCCCTAGTGAATGACACTGCACGGGTACGCGCTGACGCGGTACATCGGCACGGCACTCCAGCAGGATCTGGATCGTTCGATCTACAGTCTGGACCAGCACAGCAGCAGACTAGCAGTCAGTCAGTCGAGTTGCAGTTGACTGTTGCTCAAGTCACTTTCTGAACGCAGGTGAGAAAATGCGGGTGAGCGTTGGAAATTGGAATGGAAGGACTCGATCAAATATGAGTGGGAGAATAATTAACGGGAACAATAATGATGCGTCGCTGGCTGATGGACGTAAATTAATGGCATGGGCAGTCTGCCGGGGTGCAGCTGCAGTGCAACAGCCATGGCTTGGTGGCTCACATTAGACAACTGGTAATCTCGGGCATTATTAATAAACGTCCTTATTAGTTAGATCCGACGACCGTGCTCGTGATGCGTTGCCCTTCCCTGCCGAGGAATCACCAGCCTCTGCCAACGCAAGTCTGCAGCCCACGCTGACTTAATTGCTTTCGAAAAAGTAATATCTCTTACCTAATTTAGGTAGCCATCCACAGCACACCAAATGCATAGAGAAGCTAGTCATCTGTCTGATTTGGCACTGCGACGGTTCAAGGCACACAGATTTATGTCGATTGCCTCTAAAGCTTTACTCTGGGAGGTGTTGTCTCGTCTCTCACTGTATTACGATATAATAAAGTTCCCAGTTCTCTTCTTGCTTGTTTATTATAATTTGCTGCACTCTTCCCTTCACAACCCAAGGCCCAGGTTATGCCCAAACTATCCTAGAAGCCTGATCGTTAGGAATTCAATGCTAAGATACTCAATCCAAATCTACTGATATGAAGAAGTTCCGCTGATGTATACTCTAATTGATATGACGAGGTATTGAAGATCTAGACAAAGCCCTGACTCAAAGCTTGCTCTGAACCGGCGTGTCGGTGTACAGAGATCTCGACTTGTCCAAGGCTTCGACCGCTTCCTTCTCGATCCGAGAGAGCAACTCTTCACACGTCGGGATGTCATGAATGAGGCCGATCACTTGACCGGCAGTCCAGACCTGCGTTGGATAACTGTCAGCTACGTCCATATTCATCGGAGGGATTAATCGTTGCTGGAAACGTACTCCATAGTTAATGTCTCCATTCAGAAACACCTGCCGACCTCGCTGGCCACTGACATACGGCGCAACCTCCTTGAAGTCGCCCGTCTGACTTTCCTTCTCGATCTTCAGTGCGTCCAGGGCAACTTTGTTGCCATACAGTCGGGTCGTGTTCTTCCACCGGCGCAGTACCAGCGCGGTGTCGGTTTCCTGCGCCTTGACGATGGCTTCCTTCACGTTCTGGTGAATAGGCGCTTCGACGGTGCACATGAAACGGGTCCCCATGTTGATACCCTCCGCGCCCAGGGCCAGCGCTGCCGCCAATCCCTGGCCATCGGCGAATCCACCAGACGCGATGAAGGGGACCTTGAGTTCTTGTCTGGCACGGCTGAGCAGGATGAAGTTGGTAATGTCGTGCTCTCCCACGTGACCGGCGCATTCAAAGCCATCGATTGACAGGAAATCGACCCCCAGCCTGGCCGCCGCCTTGGCGTGCCGGATCGTAGTACACTTGTGTAGAATGATCGTGTTGGCCTTTTTGAGCTTCTCGATCACGGGGCCCGGGTTATTCCCGGCCGTTTCGACGATGCGGACCCCTTCGTCGATAATGACCTGCGCGTATGCTCCGTAGTCGGGCGGTACAAGGGCGGGAAGGAGGGTCAGATTAACTCCAAAAGGCTTGTTGGTCATCGAGCGACACTTGCGAATCTCTTTCCGGAGATCTTCGGGGGTGGGTTGCGTGAGAGCTGTGAGCTGCATGCAAGTCAGCCAGAAATGCAAATCATCGAGACCAAATACGCTGATTTATATAGAATATTTCAAGAATCGCTGAGAAGAGACGTACAATTCCAAGACCACCAGCATTGCTGACCGCCGCAGCGAGCTCTGCATATCCCACCCATTGCATGCCACCCTGTACAACAGGGACTGGAGAAACGCCCATTAACCAGAATAATTCCAGAAGAACGCAAAGACATTCTTACTTCTGATCCCCAGCTTCCTGGTGAGAGCTGTGTTGAACGGCATTTTGTATGTCGTCCGTCTATGTACAGTACAGTACTCAAGGACCGCAGTCGGTTATGTACTGTACTTCGTAGTGAGCGCAGTTAACAAGACGACGTCGCACAAGGAGAATTGCTCTATCAGACAAAAAAGATGAATGAATGAGAAGATAAAAGAGTGATCTTATAACATCATCGTATATTTATCCTCAAGTCAGCAGAAGTTGAAACTGGCGCGTTGAAGGATGACAATTACAAAGAAGAGCAGCTTAGCCGCGGAGGTTCAGATGTGGGGAACCTGCCGAGGTAGTTCTTGCAACTGTCGACTAAATCCAAAAATCATGAATGGCCCGATCGGCCAGTCGGCGATTATCGACATATGTATTCCCTGCACACTGAATTATCCATTGCTGGACTGGATTGTATATTATGGAAAGAATGGTTTTTCTACGTACTTGTGCCCAGAATGCTTTACTGTGGTGATACTCTTGCTCTGGACGGAGTACGTTGAGAAGAACACGCATGTGATCGCCCTTATCGATAGATAGCAGATTGATAAGATATCGCATATCCGCAAGTATCCATGGATGTCTTCGCGGCAATGGATTGAACCTATCTCTATAAAGAGAAGATAAAAATAGACAGAAAGAAAAACACAAATATCACAGCGTATCACTGCCTATTCAACCTCGAATCTCTCCGCGCATACTCATGAATTCTCAGTAGGCAGTTCTATACAGCTTTAGTTTTATCGTCCCACGGTTACGAGATTCTTGAAGTGCTGATAGAAAATAGTACCATACAAAACAAAGCAAACAGTTCTTCTGCAGCTCTCTCACATGACATGCCTGATGCTGAAGTCTGGCGCGGAATGATCTACCTTTGCCTGCAGGATAAATATCACAAGAACATTGTCCTGTCAGCAGAACCTGGGGCCCCTAGCAAGCAGAATCTATCGATGTGTATAGATATGACGTCTACCTTCTGATTAGCCCACAGCACCTCGTGATTATAACCACACAGTTTGAGAAATTCTTTCCTGGCAGTAGTGCAAAGTCGTGTATGCAGCTAAGACGACCCCAACATTGACAGAAATATACACCAGCGCTCACCATTGACCACGAGAAAAGAGGTCTCAATGGACAAGAAGAAACCCTGCATCAAATTTCCAAGGAGTTCGACTGTCTGTGCCGGACATGGATGGAGGCTAATAATGGCTGCTCTCCCAATTTGGTTCTTGCTTCCGAGCTCCAGCGGAGCAGCATCGGAGCTTTCCCCTCACGGCTGCCTGTTTTGGCAGGTGCGTCGATAAGCCAGATAGCAGTCTATCTCTTATCTCAACTTTCTTTTAGGTGATGTATATAACTCACAGAATCCCGCGACAAAAATAAATAATTTTACTGTCACGAGTCTACCAGAAAGACCACGAGGAACGGGTGCGGTTTGTTTTCTTCAGAAAGAGACATAGTACTCCACGCAGAACAATGGCACCAACCTCCGAACCATCCCCCATCGGCAAACAGCCGACGAACCACTGGACCTACGATCCTGACACCGGCCTGATCGATCTTTCTCGACAGAGCAGCAGAAACGGCGACGATGGCCCAACAACACCAAAGAAAAAGTTCCTGACCCTCGAAACCGCCACCAACCCAATCCGCTTCGACCCCGCCAAATCCGCCCTGGTCATCATCGACATGCAGAATTTCTTCCTCTCGCCGGCCCTGCGTGGCGGCGGCCAGCAGCAGCCTAGTCCGGGTATCCAGGCGGCCAACAAACTGCTGTCTACGGGTATCCCAGCGGCCCGGAAACACGGGATACGGGTGGTATGGGTGAATTGGGGGTTGACGGACGCCGAGGTGGAGACGATGCCGCCGGCAGTGATGAAGGCGTTTGGCGTTTACGAAAGTGTCGACGACGATGCGATCGACAAAAATGGAGAAGACCAAGGTCAAGGTCAAGAAGAGGTGGCAGTCCCGCTGAAGACGCCGAGAAAAAGGAAAAATCGAAACGTTTACAAGGGTCTTGGAGTCGACCTGGGCCCCATCGACCTCGGAGACGGGAAGATCGTCGAGGGCGGACGCATTCTGATGCGCGATTCCTGGAACGCGGCGCTATATCCGCCTCTTGAAGAGGAGTACCGCAGGGGCTCTTCTCAAGCACCGCCAGACGTCTGGATCCACAAGAACCGCATGTCAGCGCTTTGGGGCCAGGGAACCGATCTAGAGAAATTCCTGCAGAAGGGGGGCATCACGACGCTGTTCTTCGCTGGCGTCAATACGGACCAGTGCGTGGGCGGCACTCTCATGGATGCGTTCAGCAAAGGGTACGACTGCATCCTGCTGCGGGACGGAGCGGCGACGAGTTCGCCGGGTTTTGCGACCGAGGCCTGGGAGTGGAATTGTGCTCATACGTGGGGGTTCCTTACTTCCTGCGAGGCGTTGATGAATTGTGTTGTTGATAATGGCCGTACTGTAGACAGGTAGCCTAGAGGTGTTGAGCTAAAAGTATTTAGATAAGATCAGATACCCAGTCTTGCTGTATGTAGACGTCTGCAGACGTAGAAAAAAAAGGACAGAGAGAGAGAGAAAGAAAACATATATAACACATCACATTCACACAAAATCTCTATTAATTACCAAAAAGACACAGCGTAATACACTACAGTACAGTACCGTGGAATCAATCAATCAATCAATCAGAAACGATCTAGTTGCGATTTCATGGCTTCTTCGGGACATACACCGTATAGACGGACAGAACTAGACGCTATTCTCATCATCAAGGCTGAAAAATACAGAGTAGATAGATTATGAGATACGAGGGGAAAAAAATACTAATGGTATACATATAATATATATAGACAGACAGTCAATAAAAAGAGTTGCCAAACGCCTAGTTTTCCTTGTGGTGTCCCCCCTTTTTCGCCAAAGATAGATAGATAGATATTGTTGGTATCAACTTGTCTGTCAGTTTAGATGACAAGTCGTCCACGTCGAATAGAGACATAGAACGAGAGAGAGAGGAGAAGTCTAACAACATAGTCATGGACGGCATTATGAATTCTTAAAATTAGGGCAGGAGGTTGAGGCTACGGCCTTGGATTTCTAAAACGGCCGCGCTTTCCCTCGCCCTGCTCCATGTATTCCTGACGCCGACGTGGACGTCACGATATCCTCCTCGCCGCCTCCCATGGCGGCCCCGAGGAAGCCTGCTCCCCAGATGCCTGCCAGACCCCACATGCCTACCCTCCAGCCGCGATAGAGACCCTGGATTCCTTGCCCTGGTCGTCTTCGGCGCTGCAGTCCGCGTGGTGCGTCCTTCCCAAGTACGTCTGTTTCCGATGGTCCAGGAGCCACTCCTTCTTCGTACACGATGCCCCACATCGTTCCCAGGACACCACGGTAGGTTTGCGGAGTGGGCACGATGGTCTCGATCTCTGGCGTCTCTGTCTGGCTTTCCGCAGACGTAGGAGTTCTGGACGAACCCCTTGTGCTCTTCGCTACCAGACTCTTCTGGCGGAGAGCTGGAGAGGTGAACGTCGCAATCTGAGCCCGACGCAGGACGGTCTCAAGAGGGAAGCGAATGCCCAGTTCCAATCCCGACGCGATGAACGTGAATATGCTCCACGTGGAGGGGTTAAGGACCGGGTCGATCGAGAAGTAAGACTTGAGGAAAAGCGGAGTACTCAGGCTCAGCAGGGTAGGTAGACTGGAGTGGAGAATGGTGATCGGAACGAGGTGAGGGGGGATCAAGTAGTTCGGAGACGGAAGGAGGCGCAGAGCTCGCAATAGAGAACGGGGCCCATGGGTCAGCGGTGTGACAATGAGGAACGTTCGAGCAGTGTCGATAGGAGAGAGGATAATAGAAGACAGCGCAGAGGAGATAAAAGACAGGATTAAAGTAGTGCTGGGCGAGGCCACCGTGAGGATATCCTCCGTCATTGACGACGCAGTTCCATCCTCGGGCAAGCCCAAGATGGCCGACAGAAGGCTCCGGATAAAAGTGTTCAGAGTGGGGTAAAGAAGAGAGTAGATGAAGGTGGCATTGGTGGCCTTCCATATCGACGTTGGTCCGCTGGTCGACCACAGTTGCGAAAGGACTTCCATGAGAGACGACGGATTTTTTATCCGCAGACGGTGTTTCGGAGACGCGGCAGGCTGCGGGAGGTAGCCACTCCGGTCCGTGATGTGATGTCGCGATTTGCGAGACTTGGGAGTCGAAGGTGACGAAGTGGCTGGGGCAGGAGAGCTGAAGTAGTTGCTTTCATCGTCTGATGACTGCGAGTCCTAGACGAGTTGATAAGTACGTTGACCAATATGCTACCGCAAAGCTCGACACACCTGCTCCATATAGCTGTCTCGATACGACTGGCTCTGCTTTCGCCGGTCATCGAGCGCCGTCTGCCCATCCTGATCATCCGGCACGACATAGACCTGGAGGATCGTCTTTGCGACATCGAACGGCTGGGCCATCAACACGCTCGAGTATTTCCATGCTGCGCGGTTCAGCAGGTCCTGAAACCATTCCGACACCGACGGCGACGATTCCAGATAATCGGTATAGTCCAAATCCGACAAAAGCTCTCGAGCAGAGCCGCCAATGGTCGTCCGCGTCGACGCGGCTGAGGCAGCGTGTGCAGCAGAGGCGGCGTTGGCGCTCTCGCTGGGCGGCAGTCCGATGGAGGGGGGAATGTAGTATGGGCGCAGAGGGTTGGGCCCTTCACGGGACTGGGACGACGCCATGATGCGCGTTGCGCTCTGGGTGAGCTCCGTGGCCGTCCAGTCTGGAGCGAGTCGTGGAGGAGGAGTGTTGATCGGAGTGAAAAAAGAGCTCGGAGGTGCAGCTGAGGCCGATGCGATGGGCAAGCAACGCCGCCCGAGCCTAACGCTGAAAAGAGATGACGCTTCCGCCCGCGCCGCTTTTTTCTCGTTGCCCGCAAGTAAAGCCGCGCCAGAGGCCCTTGTGCCTGCGATCCTCGACGATCCAGACTGTCCTTTTTTTTTCTTGCCGTCCCGTTCTGCCCCCCTCTCTTTCACAGGCAGCAATTCCACCTGGTTTTCTCTTCGCCAGAGATTTCCGGTGCATGTCCGCCACAATGCTGTTCTGGAGGGAGGCCGGCCACCAGCTCCGACAGGCGGGTTCGAGAGCGGTGGCTGCTGAACGATTGACCCTGCGCAACTCGAGGCGAAATTTCAGCCACGTCTCGCAGCAGGGAGAAGCTGTCGTTGCGTCCTCCCGGTTATATTCCGTCACCGCCAGGAGGGGATTGCTGCGTCCAGAGCAAGTCCAGAGCTTTGCGCGGTCACGACGGCGGTTCTCCGCCACCGCCGGCGTTGCACACGGCCATATTACGCCGCCGAAGCCCGGAGAGGAGTGAGTACCTGAGACCAGCGGTTTGTTCAGGGAGCATACTGACAGGAGGCAAGGATCAATGTGTCCTTTATCGACAAGGAGGGCCAGAAACACGATTTCCAGGTGTCTGAGGGCGACAACCTGCTGGACATTGCGCAGGCCAACGATCTAGAGATGGAAGGTGAGAAGAATATCCCAGCAATCAAATTAGGTCAGTCGTATTGACTTAATGCGTTCAAGGTGCCTGCGGAGGCTCTTGCGCCTGCTCCACCTGCCATGTCATTGTCGAAGACCCCGAGTACTATGACCGGATGCCGGAGCCAGACGACGACGAGAACGACATGCTCGACCTTGCCTTTGGCTTGACAGAAACTTCGCGGCTAGGATGCCAGGTGAAGATGACCAAAGACTTGGACGGGTTGGTGGTCCGGCTGCCTGCGATGACGAGAAATATGCAGGCCAGCGATTTTGTGGAAAGGAAGAAGTAAAAAAAAAGAAAGCGCTTGTGTATTCTATCATTGGATTCTGGAAATGTCTCTCTTCTCCCATTGCATATGGCAGACGCCTTTCATGGGCCACTGTATTGTAGATAATGTAATATCACGAGAAAGATGTTTATTCAGACCAGAGATATTTATGGAAAAAGGACCTGACTTATAGACAGTCGTGCTTGATTTCATGCCATGACAGAATAACATTACAAAGAAGAGTATGAAAAAAAAAAGACCCTTTTTCACCAAACGCCAACAATGCAGAACACGCAGAAGAACAAGATGACAGTAACCCCCCTTCAAGCCTCTTCAATGGTCACTGGCTTCCCTTTCTTGCTATTGATGAGCTCCAGGAACCCTTGCTTGCTGACCTCGTTAACGGTCTTCTTCCTCTCATCCATCCCGATCGTGCCCTTCCGCTGTTCCTCCTTAGCAGCCTCCTCTGCACGGACCTGTGCTGCCCGGACGGCGTTGAACAGCTTTATCACACCGCGCTGGGCGATCTTTCGCAATCGCTTCTCCTCCTCGGCCGTCTCACCGGCCCGCCCACTCTCGATGCCCAGCACGTCGCGGATCCGACCCCGTTCGAGCTCCTCCTTCTTCTCGGCGCGCAACTTGGCGCGGGCCTGTTTCTCCAGTTTCTCATTGGCGAGTTCTGACGTCGTTTGTGCAGCGGCCTTGCTGCGAGACAGGACGGGATCTGCGCGTGCAGACGTGGGTAGTTTGGTATTCAGAATCTTCGAAATGGAAGTCGAGAAGGCGGCGGGATCATTGCGTTTGGGAACACGCCTCTGGTTGGTATTATTCTTGTCGTCGTTGGTCTTTCCATCGTTGGAAGACTCGTCACCGGAGCTGTCGTCTTCAGGGGAAGCATCCGAGCCGGACTCATCATCGCCATCGTCGTCGCTTTCAGAGTCGTCTCTCGAGGCGTTCGTATCACTATCATCATCACTGTCGTCTTTCTCTTCTTCCTGTTGTTGCTGCTGCTTTTGCTTGGAAGGCTTCTTCGATATCGCTGAATCTTTGCCAACTGTGGCTGACTTGTCGCTCTCTTTCTTCCCCCCTGCAGAATTCCCGTCCTCTGCGTCCGAGTCCAGCAAATTGACTGGAGCGAAATCGGCTTTATTATCTGCGGTGGTCTCCTCCTCGTCGGAGCTGCTGTGATACTCGAGCTGTTTCTTGATCTTCTTCTTCGGTCGCGTAATCTTTCCATTCATGCCATCCAGAACCTTGCGTTTTTTGGAGGATAACGGCGGCGGCGCCATTTTTCTTTCTGTCCTTTTTCAAGCCGGTTCTTGCGTGGTTTGGTTTGTCTGGTGATATTTTTCTTGCGGCGGCAGATAAGAGCTTAACTTTTTCTGCCATCAAAATCAAAGCGGGAGGACAAGGCGCACTCCGATTGGCTGAATCTCCGCAATCCGCAGCTCTGCACTCAGAACGTTTCAATCGAACTTCGCCAGTAATAGACCAATTGGACAGGAAGGTAATGTAGCATGCGTTGGCTTTAATGAGAATTTTGGGAATAGATCTTTTATTGTTTCTCTTATTAAACAAATGCAACTGCAAAAAAATCTGCGATTAATCGTTGTTACCTGGTCTAAAAAGCGCGGTACATAATCCTTTTAAAGAGCTTAACAGGCATGAAGAGAAATTGAGGAAGACTAAAAATAAAAATGTAGACTTGAATGGTCGAGATTCGAATGTAGATACGGACTTATCGGCCAAATTATCATTCGAAGTACCTATTTTGAAGGTCTGCATAGCTCGTGGTTCTGCGCCACCAGCTCCGTCTATTCGCGCTAACCAACGCTCCAGCCACATCACACTCGAACTGGCCATTCTCCAAACGGTGGCCACTCCGCAATCCCATCTCCGTTCCCTCCCTCAGCGACTTGGCTGTCGTCCCCTCACTCTGGGAGCTGTCGTGAAGGGGTTTAAATTTACTCTTCCTTTAGTGGAGGCTTCTTTTTGGGCACTCTACCACCATGGTTCTCCAAGATCTGGGGCGGCGCATCAACGCCGCCGTCAGTGATCTGACCAGGTCAAATAATCTAGATGAAAAGGTCGGCATCTTTTTCTGTCAAGAAATACAGAATTGCAGCTGACACGACCTGACCTCCAGGCCTTCGACGATATGCTCAAAGAAATCTGCGCCGCTCTGTTGTCCGCAGACGTCAATGTCCGACTCGTACAGTCCCTCCGCAAGTCCATCAAAGCTAGCGTCAACTTCTCGTCTCTGCCTCCCGCCGTCAATAAGAAACGATTGATCCAAAAGGCTGTCTTCGATCAGCTGGTTGCGCTCGTCGATCCTAAGGCGGAACCGTTCCGACCCAAGAAGGGCAGGTCGAATGTCATCATGTTCGTCGGCTTACAAGGTGCCGGAAAAACTACGACGTGTACCAAGCTAGCAAGACATCACCAGATGCGCGGCTTCAGGACGGCGCTGGTCTGTGCGGACACGTTCCGTGCCGGTGCGTTCGACCAGCTGAAGCAGAACGCGATCAAGGCGAAAATCCCGTACTACGGTAGCCTGACACAGACGGATCCGGCCGTGGTGGCGGCGGAGGGCGTGGCACAGTTCAAGAAGGAGAAATTCGACATCATCATCGTGGACACGAGTGGTCGACACAAGCAGGAGGCGGATCTGTTCGAGGAGATGAAGCAGATCCAGTCCGCGATCAAGCCAGACCAGACCATCCTGGTCCTAGATAGCACCATTGGCCAAGCGGCAGAAGCCCAATCGGCGGCCTTCAAGGAAGCTGCAGACTTTGGAGCGATCATCATCACGAAAACCGATGGACACGCCGCTGGAGGTGGTGCCATCTCCGCTGTGGCAGCAACCCACACGCCGATCATCTTCTTGGGAACCGGTGAGCACCTGATGGATCTGGAACGGTTTGAGCCCAAGGCATTCATCCAGAAGCTGCTGGGCATGGGCGACATGGCTGGACTGGTCGAGCACGTCCAGGCCGTCACCAAGGATTCCGCCGCAGCCAAGGAGACGTACAAGCACATCACCGCCGGTATCTACACATTGAGGGACTTCCGCGAGAACATCACGTCCATTATGAAGATGGGGCCTCTGTCCAAGCTCTCGGGCATGATTCCCGGACTGTCGAATCTTACAGCAGGCCTGGACGACGAGGACGGCTCGATGAAGCTCCGGCGGATGATCTACGTGTTCGACAGCATGACGGCAGCGGAGCTGGACAGCGACGGAAAGATCTTCGTGGAGCAGCCCAGCCGGATCGTGCGCGTGGCCTGCGGCAGCGGGACGACGGTGCGGGAAGTCGAGGACCTTCTGTCGCAGCACCGTATGATGGCCGGGATGGCGAAGAAGGTGGGCGAGCAGCGGAAGCAGATGCAGCGGGCGCAGAGCATGCTCAAGGGCGGAAACAAGGAGCAGCAGATGGCGGCGATGCAGAAGCGCATGGCGTCGATGGGAGGCGCCGGCCTGCCCGGCGGGCTAGGCAGCATGGGCGACATGGCGAAGATGATGCAGATGCTACAGGGCAGCGGCCAAGGCGGAGGCGGAGGCCTGCCTGGGCTGGGAGGCATGGATCTGCAGAGCATGATGAGCCAGATGAGCGGGCTGATGGGTGGAGGAGGAAAGAGGCGATGATACTGTAGCAGCCCTCGTCTATCCCTGCACCTGCTCGCCTCGCCTTTTTCACCTACTTATTTTATTTTTACCCTACATGTAGTATATTACTATGTTGTTTTTTTTCTTTTTTTTTTCCAAGAAAACTACCTACTTTTTCATGTCATGATCCATGCATGTCCCGGCCTAACTAAACTAGTTAGCATAGCCCTTGAGGACGGTCTCTGGTCGGTGTGTCGGTGTGTCGGTGTTTCTGGCGTTGTCGTGTACTGTATCTAATGAAATGAAAGAAATGAAATGAAACGAATCAGGTACTGAATGTATATCACGATTACTCGTTTCTTTTCTATTGTTTTATTTTTTTTCTTTAGAATTACTATCCGACAATCCTAACTGAATGCCAAAGCAAAAGACCTTCTTCACAGTCTATCTAGCCTAATCTGTTTATATATATAATAATTTACTTTAATTTAATCGATTTAACGATTTAATCGATTCTCTCCCCCTGCCTCACCTTCTCCAGCACCGGCCAGAACTTCTCTTTCAGATCGTCCCATGCACGCGTAGCCTTTTGCGCAAACGAACCGATTCTCTCCCGCAGACGCTGCCATCCTGTCTCGTCGAGGAGGACCTGGCCTGGTGGGAGGCGGGTAGGGGTAGGGGCAGCGTCAATGTCTCCCCCGTGATGGAGCGGCACAGAGAGTTGGTACTTCCATACGATGACGCCGTCGACGTAGAGGGAGTAGGTCAGGACAGACGAACTTGATGTTTTGTCGTGGTTGTTTTCGTGGTTGCTGTTGCTGACTACGTCAATGTCGATCTGGCCGAATTTGACGTTGCCGTCCGGGGCGTATTTGACCATGACGTCTTTGTCGTCTGTTTGGCGATAGGTTCGGATCGGGAGGTAGAACATGTTCAGCGGTCCGACGCTGAATTCGTGGATCCCTTCGCCCGCGGTGCCTGGCGCAAGCTCGTTCGCGCTGAGCTGCAGCTCCGGGTCTGGAAACCGCGTGGTTGCGAACTCGTGGCGATCGCCGCTCAAGAGCACGATGCGGACCCCCAGGTCGCGCTCCGCCCGCCACATGGCTTCGAAAATCGTACGGCGCTCGTTCAGGAACCCGCCCCAGGTGTCCTGCGTGCCGATGTGCCAGTTCTTCGTGAAGGGCACGCTGGAGGCGACGATCTTCCACTTCACCTCCGCCGGCTCCGGTCGAGCCAGAAAGGCCAGAAGGGACTGCAGCTGCGCGGATCCGAGCATCGTGGAGTTGGGCTGCAGAGGAGCCGAGCGGTAGGTTCTCGTGTCGAGCATGAAGAACGACGCGGGTCCGTGGATGAAGGAGAAATAGGTCGTGTTCTCGGGGGTCGCGAACGGCAACGGAGGGATGGGAGGGTTGACGCTGACATGATACAGCGAATACGGCTCTGCCGCTGCCGGGTAGGGGGCCGTCGTATTCCCCTTGGACCAGTCGTTTGCGATCTCATGATCGTCCAGCGTATGGATCCAGGGGAGGTTGATGGTCGGTTGTTCTTTCGGTTCGTACCAACTCGGGGAGGAGTACACGCGACGGTACTCACTCCGGTAGTGCGATTGAGAGGACCCAAACCGGAGAGGCACGTCAATGTAGATAAAGTCTCCGAGGAACAGCATGAAAGAGGGTCGCATAAGGGACGGGAGTTTGGAAACCGCACGCGAGACCAGCTCGAGCCCGCGGATGCGGAGAGGATGCGAGAAAGGGCTGTATGGGAAATTCGGCTTTATACAGCTCGAAGTGAGGAAGGTCAGTCGATTGGCAGCCTGGGAGCCGGGCAACGGCGCCGTGACAAAGCTACCAGTCAGGTTGTTCGACAGGGAGTAGCGGTACTGTGTCGATGGCTTGAGGTTCTTCAGCGTCACCGGATAGGTGAAGTCGGTCGAATTCCCGAGTGAATAGATCTTGCCTTCTTCAATCCACTTGCCCGTCTCATCTTCCCCGGCTTCCCGATAGGAGACAATCAACGGAAGCTTGGCGGGATCAGGCTCGCGGACGAGCAGCTTGGCCGTCGTAGGGGACACGTAGCCAACGCGAGAGAAAGCAAGGTCGTCTGTGGGATAGAAGATCAGAGCCCGGAACAGGAAATCCGCCGTAAACAGGGCCAGGAGCACGTTGATCGCAACAGTGGTCAGCGTCGATATCTTCGCATTCTTAGACGGAAGACCCGTCAACAACGTCTTCAGGAAGGACGAATCGGCGCAGTCTTCGGACTCGATCTTTGCACGAGACGTGTCCAATACGGATGAACCAGCATCGCCATTCTTCTCTTTCGTATTCCCCTTCTCTTCACTTCTGCGGCTCAGGGCTGCATTGGTCGTAGGCTGGAGCAAGAACCACAGCGACGCCAGATAAACGGCCAGGGAGGTGAAAATTATTGGGGGGAAATGATGACCGGGTATCTGCAAATCAATATTAGCTTAAATTCTATACATGTCGCAAAAAAGAAAGCCAGTGAAGGAGTTATTTACCCATCGAAGGAACCCAATGCCAGCCAGTCTAAGGAGTGCCGAGCTCGACGCGGCAGCTACACGCAGCAAGGTGGTCATATCCAGGAGGACGTGCCGTCGCTGGGGACGGCAAACTGGTAGCGGTCCGTATATAATTGCCTAGACAAATTTCCTGAGCTCAGGCTGGTCCTGCTAGACGGTGGACATGGCTAAAGCGTTGTTTTGGAAGGATTGCTGCCGGAGTCGCCAGCTATGACGACATGCCGTGCAACCAATTCACGTGCGACAGGAGCCACGCCCCATTGACTGATCTTATCAGATTGCTATAGGAGTAAAGATCTCACTAAAAATTGTCAACCGGCAGCTATCAGTCATTCTAGGGGTTCACTAGATAACCTAGGTTTTTCTTTTGTGCCCAAGTTTGTTTGACAAAAATCTACAGCCATACACATCGAAAGTGACAAGTCTTCGTAAATCGTCTTCATTAATGGGTATCAATTCGACTGACAAAAACACCTCCACCAACGTCTCTTTCTTTTTTCTACCCTCTGATTTGATTCGCCAGCAGACTCATCAGACTCTGCGTCATAGCATTCACCCCAATCACCGCCTGAGCAGCCGTGAGGACGTCCTTCATGCCCATACTCAGCGACAGCGCCGCAGCCCATTGCCATGGCTCCTCGACACCACCGGGCAAAGAATTGAAGTACTCCCAGCCCATGACGCCGCCGAAATCCGGGAACTGGGCGATCAACGCCGCGAGGACCGGGCCGATAGTCGCTGGAGGGACGTACCCCTGCGACCCATTGCCGGGACTCGTCAACAGGCCCAGCACGACTTTTTGGGGGGACCAGCCCTGCGCGATGATGGCGGCGTACATCCCCGGGTCCTCTGCTCGGCCCCAGCCGTTGTAGAACTGCGCGTTGTACCAGCTGATCTTTGCCCCCCGGCTCTGCTCCAGTTGGCGGTAGTCGAAGCCCGACAGGTTCCCTCTCCCGACGAGGGCGGCCGCCACGGGCGCCAGCGTGATGATGAAGTCGTCGCCCAGATCCGTCTTCAGACGATCGATCAACCGGATGATTCCCGCCAGGGACATGGCCTCTTCGACGTCGAGGTCCAGCCCGTCCAGCCCGTGGCGACGGATCATCGCCAGCAGCGGGGCATAGTATGCCTCGAATTCCGCCTGCGTGCCGTCCAGCCGCTGGAAACTCCCGATGGCGGCTCCGCCGAGCATGCCCATGACTTTGACGCCGGCTCGTTGCACGAGCGGCACCTCCTCCCATAACGGGGCGTAGATGGGACTGTCGGGCGGATCATCGTTGAGCGTGATGTCGCCTGGCCGGGCGTTGATGTGGATGGCGGCGAGGATTATGTGCGTCACGCCCGTGTTGTTCTGCACCAGCGGCAGCATCGACACATAGCCCCGATCGCGGGGGACGATGGTCTGGTGGTAGCATACGATGCGGCGTTGGTGGGCGCCATCTGGCCTGGTCAAGGGAGGCATCCCAGTTTGGGGAGGCCAATTGCTCCCTATCAGACAGACAGACAGACAGACAGACTAACGTATTTGTATTGATTTGGTCTGAGCCAGCTAAGTAACTCCAATGTTGCACTCTACTACACTCCGTAGGCGCTTCTCCGATACATGATGACTAATCACAACAGGTATCTCATCACGTGATCATGATATATGCATGTCCAAGACAGGAAAAAAACTGGGTGAAGAAACTGGTAGCTACTGATAACACAGCAAGACAAGAAAATACACATTTACCCAAGTCATGAGATATTACAGATATATTACAGATACCATTCAGGAAAGTAGTCGTTCCCCCGGCCTATTACCCTCGCAATCCACCGATTCCGAGGTTGACATAGAAAGCAACTTCTACACTTGATCGATATTTCATTTCTTGCATCGCCCAACTCATTCTAGGTGCGCTTGCGCTAGTCTTGTCAGACCTCGCGTACTGACATACACATCTCCAAGCAGTGTCGCCCTTATACCCAGGACCCGTCACAGTCACGCCCTTTGCTTCGACAGAGAATAGGTTTACCCTATACTTTATGAAAAGGGGGTTATCACAATAGATGCTGGCAAGATGATAACAAGTAAATGGCAAGTAGATGGCAAGATGGCAAGATAATCAAAGGCAACAGGCCGCCTCCGTAATCACGCCTCAGGGGATATTCCAGGATATTCCAACTCCTGTACGTCGAAGTAAGAAAGATGCCTATAAAAAAAAACTGAGGGAAAGAACACAACGCGGTCAACGCAAAATCAATCGCAGATGCCAACTCCACACGCAATATAACATATTATTCCTCTGGTGGATACATGGACCAGAGGGTGAAGGTGTGAAACAAAACATGCTGCCTAAAAGGAAAAAAAAAGAGAGAAAGAAAAGAAAGCCTCACAGCCTGCCATGTAATGACTCCCATGTATCAGATATCAGAACAAGAAGCCGCATTGACAAAAGCTGTTACGACAAAGCCGCAAGGACGACCCAACAAGAAACGATCGTTGTGGAATGGGTATAGAACAGACCAAAAAAAGTGTCAGGGGGAAAAAAAGAACGCCAGAAAAAAAAAAAAGTCAGCTCTTTATACGATAATCAAAAGAAGGTAAATGCAGAACGCAACAGGACGCCTAAGCAAGCGATTCAAACTCCTCTCGCTCCCGTAGCCGATTCCTCGCCAGTTCATCCCCCCCGTTGGCCGACAGCTGCATCCAGTGCAGGGCCAAACACATGCTTTGTGGGTCGGACTTGGAGTCCTTGTCCCGACGATACATCATCTCCGCCTTGAAGGTGTCTCGAGGCAACGTCAGCGGCAGCGTCACCCGAGGGAGGATCTCTGGATGGGTTAGATAGAGAATGGCAAGCTCCCGCTGGGCAACCGGGTTGCCCTCCTTGGCGGTGATGATCCACATCCCCGCCGCATCTTCAATCGCGTTTCGAGGCCGCGGGTTGCTCTCATGCGCCTGCGCCGGCGAATGGCGACGGCTCAGCTCCTGAGACACAATCCGATCGGCAATCTCTACCATGCTGTTGCAAACCTCGTCCTTGAGGGACAAGGCGGCCAGCCCAAAGTGGAGGAATGCCGTTCCGCTCTCGGTCTTGTTGAGAGTTTCACTGGGAACAAAAGCCGAGACAAACTGCAGGTCGCGGAACAGCGTCTTGGGTTGGATTTTCCGAATCAGGTCCTTCATCGTTTTGATCACTTGACTTTCGGCCGCGCTCAGATCGTACGATGGCCGGGACCCAAACTCAACCGACTCCGGCACCGGGGACGTGGGCGTCTGCAGAGACTCGTCGTCGCGGAACGGTTCTGAGAAACTGTGGCGCGCGCGCTTGTTTCTGTCCATCTCTACAGTGCTCAACGTCTGAGCCGTGACTTTCCGGTCGGGAGTCGATGGGTATTCATTGGACGCATTCAACGATGCAATAACCAGCGCTCTGAGATCGCGGAGCGCCTTGAGCTTGACAAAAGGATTCGCGTGACGTGAGAAAACCTCCATCAGCTGACGGAAGGCGGTCTCGTAGGGGAAAGTCGGCTGCGGTGGCTTCTTTTCTTCACTGCCCGCGTTTTCGGATTGAGTGCTCGACTGGTCGGCTTCCCGTGGGCGGTACAGGACAGGATCGGCCGACTGACTTCTCCGATGACGCAGATGCCACCGTCCAGATGCTGGCCTGCCAGCGCGACGGGCGGGCCTGGACTCACATTCGGCCAAGAACTTTTGAATCTTCGCGCGCTTGTCCATTTGGGCTTGGACCCGTTTCTGGTTCAAGAAGTTGGTGAACCATGCATCAGTCTCGCTGCCGCAGCTCCAGACGGGACATCCCAGGTCACTGAGAAGAAGACTCGTCAGAGTCTGTCTCAGATCATCCAGGAAGGCCGTCTTGCCATGCACATCGCGCTCCGCGCGGCGTGGCGCCGGAGGAGCTTCGCTGAACATCGAAGGCGGGCGGGACTGGAAGCTGGATGCGCTGGCCGCCGAATGGGCTTGAGTCTGGGGTGGCGACCAGAAAGTACTGTAGGAATCAGCCGTCGTGCTAGATGCAGCCCTCCCCGGCGAATCTCCCAGGGAAGAAATACTATCACCGCCCTCAAAGCCTCTCGGTGCTTTCCACTTATCCGAGGAGAGACTTTGGAAGGACGATTTCCGCATCAACGGCGGAACCTCCGCCTGAGGCCGGAGGAATGATTCCGAGCCACGGAAGTTGAAACCAGGGAATGGCGACGGCGTATAAAGGGAATCTTCGCTCGCAATACTGGAAGGACGAATACTAGGCACCGGAGAGATTCCAGGGAAGCCCTTGTTGCTCGGACCCTCGTACTTGGCTCGTTCTTTCTGGAACAGTTCACTGGCCCACAGAACAGGCGTCTCGGCCATGGTGTCTCCCACTAACTTGTTGACACTCGATTTGACTTCGTAGCAGAAGCGATGGATCCGTTCCTCACCGCGGCAGAAATTGTCGATTCCATGATGGGTGAGCCATTTCCGGGTGAGTTCCACCTGCTCGTCGGAAAGCTTGTTGGGCCCGCCCTGGCTACTGGGTGCCTTCATCACGTTCATAACTTGCATTTCGGGCTTTTGAAGAAAAGAGCTGGCCAGATATCGACTTCCATTGCGGCCCCGATATTCATTGGAGGGCTGCCGCTGCAGGCTTGGATACACCATGGTCTTCAAGGCAAGCGCCACGTTCTTTGCATCTTCATAACGCATGGAATTCTTGACGTCGGTCATATACCACATCTTGTTCCGGAGTTTGATCAGAACGGACATTGTGCCTCGAACGGTCTCTTGCAGGTGTTCGACGACAGGGTTGAGCGTCACAAAACTGCTCTCACATTGCCTGATCACGCTATCGCACTGAGAAAGTGAGCTATTACAGGAATTGAACATCGGGCCGAGAATCCACGAGTCGTCCTGAGGCTTTTTAGCCAGCTTGGAGAGACTCTGGCTCAGTTGTTGGGTCGCAGTCCACCAGTAGTGAGCACCAAGAAAGTCTGATCGATTCTCACAGACCGATCGAGCGTGGTCAAACCTTTGTTTCAGCGAAGGGCTGGGGGTCCGCACGGAACGAGTGGGACGGCCATAGACGGACTGCTTGACATGATCAGATTCATTAACCAATTTGACAATGGCCGTCTGCAAGGCCTCGTAATCCTCCTCCGGGTGAATGGTAGCGGAACGAAGACCATCATCGGACAGGTCGTCGGCTATTCCACCAGAAAGGCCTCCATTGGATGAATTCCAGGCCAGTGACTTGCCGTCCTCCGAGATGGCCAGGACGGCCCAATCTTCTGTAGAGGGATGATCCAAACTGGGGCGGTCTTCGGACTCGCCTATATCCGACAGCTCAAAACGGATGACATCTGCATTCCGGCTGTACATGGCACTCTGGGAAAGAGCACTGTTCATGGCACCAGGACGCGACGATTGCTCAAGGACCGCATCGATGCTTCCGGACCAATGGGACGGATCAAAGACGCGAGAAGACCTGGCACTGCTAAATGGGGTATTCAGAGACAGAGGGGGAGAGCCTGGATTCAAGGCGGAATCAGATGAATTGAAATTGGGCCGTGGGAAAAGCGCGTTCAAGAGGGTGATGATATCCATGGCAGACAGCATCACGAAGCGTGACGACGGGTTGGAATCAAATTGCCGGGAGACATCCAGATCAGCGTCCAGAACCTCGGGAGGGTCTAACAGGGTGAATTTAGCAAGCATGCTCTCCACATGCTTTCTGACCTTTGGATGGGCTGTCGAGAACTGAGGCCTACAGAACTCGTCAGTCAGTCTGGGAATGGGATTGACTAATTTCCTCGCGAGGAGAAACGTACGCTGAGTGCAAGACCCGGAAGATCTGCGATTGGGCCCGAAGAGCAATCTGACCGAGGATCTTCTCTCTCGCATCTTTTCCGATGTGGAAATCAAGCAGTAGTCCTTGATTCTGGAAGGGTTGTGATTAGCAGGAATATCCTAATAGTAAAGAGAAAAGGGGAGGGGAGGGAAGAAAACAGCAAGAAATACCTCTGGGAAAGTCAAAGTGTTGTAAAGGAACCTGGAAAAGAACCATTGAACAAAGATATACTCGAGGAAACGATCCTGGCTCTCCGGGGCCCCGATCTTGGTGAGAATGGCATTGCCGAATTCCAGGGTGGCCGACGGGAGACCGGCATCGGCGTCATCCAGGACGTCGAACAAGGTCTGGACTGCAGCATCAAAGAATTCCTCGGCGGCATCTGTTTTCAACGGGTCCGGCGGGTCAACACCAAAACTGCTAGCCACGGGACTCTCGATGTTCTCCAAAAGGAATGCGCCTTTTTGCAGGACGTCCATCAAATACAGTTCCAATTTGGGTTTGGCTTTCCAGTCGCTGCAGAGAGACCAATAGGACAGAACGTGGCCGACAAAGGGATAATGTCTACTGTCTCCATGGGAGATGAGCTTGGCGCACGTCGACGACCAGACGACCAGACGCAAGTGGGCTTCGGCAGAGTCCCAACCTAACGGCACGGCGAATACGTTGAACAGCAAGACAGAGAGAGGGTCGGTACGCTCGAAAGCTAAAGCATAATCTTTGAAGGGAATGGTGTGGGCACTATTGCGCTTGGAGAACAGGGGCTGATTCCTGGATCGCGAGGCAGTGAAGGACAAGACCGAATCGCCCGTGTCCACCGAGATGACTGAAGAGGTCAGAGCCGCGAGTTGGGACGGGGTGAGGCTACTAATGCGGTCAAACAGAAACTGAGGATCGGTGCGAACCAAATTCAAAATCTCAAGGAGATCGCTGCGTGCTTTGGGACTGAGTTGATGCATAAAACCAGAGGAACGAGTCCTTTCCGAATGCAGAGAAAGCGAAGGTTCTTCCAACGGGTCCTGCCGATGGAGAGTGCGACGGAATGCAGAATCACACGCTTCCTGGAGGTCATGGATGGTGCTGTAGATGGTCACGAAACCGGGCTTGTCCCCATGTTTGAAGGCCTCCACCAAGCCCTTCTGGACGGCAGCGGCAACCCTCAACAACCTCGCCGACAGACAGATCGACACCTTGGTGGCCACAAGACGGTGTTCCAAACTCCTTCTCTGAGCCTCCGCATGCTGGCGTCGGCGGTACTGGATCGCAAACTCCTCGAAGGACACCTTGGGTTCTGGCGGCAGAGCATCGTCCTGGGCTGCGGGACGATCGCTGGATCCAGATTCACCTGCAGTCGGAGGATGTCCAGGGTTGGGGTCGACGCCATCAATGGGAACGCGCATGGCGGGCGCAGGAGACAAGTCGGCGACTTGGTGAGCGCATGCTGACTCACTCAAGTCGAAGGGCGAACCGCATCGCGCAGGACGGGCAGCAGGGGACGGAGGCAATGCTGTTGATACATGAATTAGTTTGACAATATAGTACAAGAAACAGGCAATCTATTATCTATAGTATACAGGACGCAACAGAAATGAAAAGAGAGGATTTAAAAGAGTAGATCAAGCAAAATGAAAAGAAAAGAAAAGAAAGAAAAGGACAGAGGCAGAAGAAAAGGGGACTGATATTGCGAACAGGACGAGTTGCGACGTACGGATTGCATATTCCAAGCCGGTTGGTGGAGAACAGGCATGTTGGGCATCGATCATCTTGCCATGGGCAATCTCGCGGCATCTATCCCGAGAAGGCACTCTCGAGACCTGGCGATGCCCGTGGCGGACGACGACGATGGAGGAGTTTTAACGCATGATTCTGCTAGCACATCCGGCGAGGAAGCGAGGAGAGAGTGAAGTTGGCGAGCTGGGGGGAAAGCAGGAAGAGAAAGGAGAGACAGAGAGAGGGTTGTTGAGATAGCTGGATCCCGAGTCGGAGGAGAAGAAACGTGGGGGGCGGATTTAGTAGTAGTAGATCAGTGACTCGGGAGATCAGTAAGCACGAGCGGCACGGCGCGTGCGAGGAACAGCCGGCAGGGCGTGTAATCGAAGGCAGGCAAGAAACAGGAGAGAAGAAAGAAAAGCGAAAGAATTAGCGCTCGTTGGATGAAGTCGAAGGGGAGGCTGGTCACGGCCGGGAGTCGGAGGGGGCGATGACATGCAGCGGCCAGGAGAAGGACAACACAACGCGATGGGGGAAGGGACGCGCTGGCAGCTCAACGAGGCCGCTTTGTTCCCCGACAGGCTGGCTGGCGATGCTGCAGGGCTGCGAGGCGTGGCCTGAATCGGCCAGATGCAGATGCCTAGTCACAGTACGCAGTATACGATGACGCAGAGGATGCGGTGCTGCGAGTGAGGCTGGCAGACCCGCAGCGGAACAGAGGATCAAAAGGCTGGCTGTTTAAAGTTATCTAGTGGTCGACTATGTTTCTTCGTGGTCTTGTGTGTTTTTCGTGATCGTGGTTACTGTGACGGAGCGCCCACGCTGTATTTAACTCTACGATCACAGAGCAAGAGCACACGAACCTACGACAAACTAATTCCTGGCCAGCGGCAAAAATTACGCACCGCCAGGGGAGGGCACTGCAGCGAAACGTCACAGATTCAGCTGGCGCCTGCCCGTGCTGCGATCAGAAACGGCTACCGGCGGGGGATCGCGCTGTTAAGTACGGGACACAGAGGAGGGAGTTGGATGGAGTCAGTCTGCTGCTTGTGGCCGGATCGCCTGCCACGTCGTCCGGGGCGGCGGGCATGGCTGGTGATGCGCTGGCACTGCATGGCCCGGCGCCTGCCTCGCCGCGCCTGATTTGTTCGTGCTCCCCCTCCCCGGCCAGCAGAGCAGAGCCAGATCGCAGCATCGAACGCGTCGAAAGAGGCGCTCAGAGAACCGGACAGAATGGCGCTGTCCGGCCGTCCGTTTCATCTCCCACGCGCCCCATGTCGTACTGGACGAACACCCGGTTTTTACGCCCTAGATGGCGATGCGCTTCTCAGCTTATCAGCATCGATACACAGCACGCTGCCGTCGGATTTGCACGATCTCGCCAGCTGAAACGTGAAACGTGGAGACGCCGGCTTCGCATCCCAGAGGCAGGCCATTCTGCGGATATTATGTGCATGCAGGATGATGGAATCGCTGTCTGTCAACAACGGCTGAGCTGCCACTAACCTGTCCGTAGCCAAGACCTGAACATTGCAGATTACTCTACTCCATCATCCGTAGCCCTGAGATCCCCAGTTCGATTCTCAATCCCAGCCATCGGGATCCCTCATCTAGATCAGTGGATACGGTCCTGTACACTACATACATCCCATCACGGGCACGTGCCCTCGTCCACGTGAGGGCTATCCAGCAGCTCTATCAAAACCAGTGTCCCTCTGTAGCCTTCCAGCAGGCATCAAATCCATCACATATACTAGTATATGGTATACACATAATCCCGTTATGCGCCCATTCCCGAGAAAGACGACCCTAGCGCCCAAGATCAAGACAGATGTATCGAGGATTGCAAATGCCAACAGAATAAAGGAACAACTTGCGATGATCATACCCGCACATGCTTGCTGAGCAATTCACTTGCACACCCATTTCTTCTCCGATTCCTTCTGCCCAACTCGCTCCGCCACCTGATGGAGCGTGTCCTTCAACACGTCCTTCGACACTTTAGGGAACCTATCAGAGAAATTAGCATGCCGTCCACCACCAACACGTCTTCAACCTACCGTTTTTTCAACACCTCGATCAACCCCGTCTTCGTCAGGTCGCTCCCTTCAACAACCTGCTTAAACTCGTCAAGCTGCTCCGGAGGAAACGCCCGTTTAGCCTTCCCCGATGTCGCCGCCTCCGTACTCGCAAGGGAATGCGTAGGGGGCGCAAGGGATGACTGCGGATTCGTGGAGTACGCATGCAGGGTCGTGCGAGCAGATGTCCCCGGCGCTGCCAGGGATCCCTTGGCTGCCGCCTGTTCCACGGCCTTGGGTTTCGGCCAGTAAGCCGTAGAAAATGGATCAATGGGATACCGAACCGTATCTGCGGTCCGAGTTAGAACATGTTGAAAAAATCGGTGAAGGTCTCACGCTTTCTCTGCTTCTTACCTGATATGATCTCCATTCGGTATGCTTGCATCTCCGGGTCCGACTCGCTGTCCTCCTGCCAGCGTATGCCAGTACAGACCGGCTCCAAGTCGCCCACGATGAGCCGTCTTCTTCCGTCGACCTGGGGGTCTTCACTGTCGTCCAGAAACCCTTCCATGTCGTCATCGCCATCCTCGCTGATTTCCTCTTCTCCTTCCGAGTCCAAGTCTTCCCCTTCTTCCGGTTCTTCCCATTCGGCCTCCGAGTCATAGTCATAATTCGTATCCGGCAATGCCCGAGAATTTGGTTTTTTGCACAGTTTCACGGCTGTCGCGGCGGGCAGTGGCTTCGTGAAAGTGCCCTGGTAAGGGGGACGGACGTCTTCCCCGAACTTCAAGGTCTTCATCGTGACCTTTTTGAGTAGCTCCATCGGATTTTGAGTCTTGGAAGACTCCCCGGTCAGGTCAATAGTATTAACATAATTCTGGATTTTTGTAATAATTTCCTTCACCGGCATAACATTCCGCCCCCTGCGACGTCGATACGGAATAATCTTGAACATCTCCGATCCCCGAAAAGAGTGAGGAACTGGAAGACCCTCGACATTGCCTTTCAGCAGTGCATCGAGCTTCCGGCAAATGTGCTCTGTAGCCTCGAGATCACGTTCGAACCGGTGTTGGGGTGCTAGCTTTGTATGCGATTGCACAAAGAACTCTGGAAACTCCTTCTCATAGTCAGACAAGACCTTCTCAGGCTCCTTGTCTGCAGAGGTCGAGCCAGCCGCCTCGCCCGTTGAAGACTCTGCATTACTACTGCTGACGGCGGTGGTGGTGGTAGTAGGTTTCGTAAAGAAAGCACTCAGTTTCATTTGGGCCTGCCAAACGGTTAATCTCGAGTCCTCTCACACACAGCTCAGGAAGCCCATCACTTACCCTTTCTTTCTTCAACTTCTCCTCTTCTTTCCTCCGCTTCTCCTCCTCCTTCGCCATCTTCTCTTCTTCTTTTTGCTTCCTTTTCTCTTCCCTCTTCTTTCGCTCCTCCTCACGCTCGGCCTCCCGTTTCTTCCTCTCCTCTTCTTTTATGCGCTTCTCTTCCTCCTTCCTGGCTTTCTCTTCCTGCTTCAAACGCTCCTTTTCTTCCTTCTCTAGCCGTTTGGCCTCTTTGCTGGCAGGAGAGAGTTTACGCTTCTTAGCGGGGTTGTTCGCACTGCTGGCAGCGGAATGTTGCGGTGTAGAAGGAGTTGGGACCGGCATATTCGTGTCTGCTGCGGATAACGTCGCCAATGCAGAATTCTCAGAACCTTCCTTCTTCTGTTCTGCGCGTGGAGAAGAGGGGGGAGGATGGCCATCTTTGTTGTTCTCCGGCATTACGGTTGATGCAGGCGGGCAGATATCGGTCGGAGCAGGCTTCTCGACAGTCGCTTGATCGTGCTCCGACGGAGCCCAATTCTCCTGATTTTCCTCCTGGTCGGAACGCTGGATCTTTCTGGCTTCTGCACCATCGTCATTGTGGACTTCATCGAACGTCCGCTTCCTCGAATTGGTCGGGGAGGAGGGAAACGACGGGCCCAGGGGGGAGGGAACTGGTGCGCTCGATTCGACTGACACGTCCATTGTCGATGATCACTGAAGAGACGAGTAGCTTATAATTCTCGAGCAGGGAAGGGTTGCTCTCTATCTAGACCTCTACTCTAATCATTAGTAGGACGTGTGGTGGTCTGGTCTAAACACCGTACGGGTTCTCTCTCCAGCGAGAAAACCCCGAGGAAACACGCCAAGGCTCTGTTTCATCAAATATCATTCGGTAATTAAAAAAGAAGATAACAATTGTTTGAAGCAGCAGCGAGCAATCGATTGGCGTGGGCAGGGCAGCTTCGATGGTGGGAATTGGCGGAGTTGGTGTCAACGCAATCGGGACGGCAAGTGCAACTCGTGACACGCGTTAATTATTGAAGTTTCGCGCCCAGGTCGCGTTCCGCTGTGACCGATTCAGGAAGGCACGTGCACGCATAATCGGATTATGTAAGCAGTATCTAACTGCTCTACATACACCCAGATAATCTCACAATTACTTCATTTTCAACTTGAATATGTATCATTGGGTATTATTAAAGCTATTAGTATCCAGTACGGCAAACGGCAAATGCTCAGAGCTGAAATTCCGATACAATGCCCCGTGTCAGGCAGGATACATGCCAATGCAGTCAATCAATCTGTACAGGTAGAGCGTGATGCGAAGATCAGACGAGGAAAAACCATAAGAAAGAGCAGACGTAGGACAAGACGAGATCATCAGCGCCAAAAAAAACCTGGAAGGAAAAAAAAAATTGGATACATGAAAGAAACAGACAACATCGCAGATCGACGCCAGAGAAAAAAACAAGATGTTTCAAACTAATAGTGCAACCCCATCCCAGTGCGATTCCAGGCACCGGTAAAAGAGAGAGAGAGAAAGAAGAAAAAAGACCCTATCGTCCGCGTAAAGATATCCCCAGTATCAAAAACATCAACGCTATGTTCACCCTCGGCAGGTCATCCGACACGCCGTAGATTGAGTAGAATGCACGAGGCTCTCGGAGGCTCGGCCTGGATCCACCTCTTGGAATGCAACCACCATGTCGCCCGCAAAGCTGCGACCTCTGAATCCTCTTTTCTGAAATATCAGAAGCCGTCAATGAGAGGTTGGATAATGGTGGTTGAGTTATGACCAGCTACGGTAGAGGCTGGCTGCAATGTCCATACGACGAATAATGTTCCTCTAACCCAACACGCCCATCACCACCTCCCATTCAATCATCCACATCCGGATTCGCGACAAACAACCTCACTCCGGTCGTCATACTGGTTGTCCGATCATCCACGCTACCGCGACGTCGAAGTTCTTCGGCTTTCTTGGCCCTCTGCATCGCGGCATCGGCCGCAGTGGGTGCCGACATGTCGCCAACGTCTCCGAAGCTGTTCTCTTCTTCTGCGTCCTTGTCGACCGTGGTGGTAGTGGTGTCATCGCCTTTCGATTCGCCGCCCTCGTGATGATTCTGTTTCTCCTCCGGAGGCGCCGTTTCCGTGACTTCAGGAATGTCAGCCTGTTCGTTCGGCGGCGTCTTTCCCTGAGGTCGCTGGTAGCCGCTGGGGTACCGATGGATGCTGCCCATCGAGCTGCGACCGCTGCCGGTTCGACGGTGGAAGCCATCGCTGGAAATTCGTTCATCTTCGTCGTCGTCACCAACCTCGTTCGCACTGAGTCGGACGGGAACGGTTGCTCCCACGAGCGACGCCGGGGAAAAGTCGGTCGCCGATTTGCCGTTGTGTTTGATCTTGCCGCTGCCCAGCGTCCCGGTGCGTCCAGCGCCATTGAGTTCCATATATGCTCGTTGTTTGGCAGCGCGCTTCTGGGCCAGCAGACGGGGGTCTTCGGGCTGTGCGCGGTCACACCAGACGGTGCCTTTCTGCCGCCTCATGAGCGCCACATAGCCGAGTTGGACATTGGCGGATCGCGACGAAGCGCTGCGGTGGATATCGGAGGAGGAAGTGGACATGGTGTAGGTCTGGTAATGGCCGCCTGTCGAGCTGGTCGAGGTCGTAGCGTTGGACAGCCGTCGGGAGGGGGGTTGTTGATGATAATGCGCGGCGTTATTAGCGGACGGCACCGACGGCCCCGCGTGCTGACCGGGACGCTGGAGGTGATAGTTGGGGGAATGGGGGGTAGGATAGGAGCCCATGTACGGGACAGCGGAGGACGACGACGTCCGGCTCCGTTGGGGAGCGACAGGCGAGGTATCGAAGTTGGGGTTGGGTTGTCGGTTGGGACTGGAAGCGTCGGCGGGCTGGTGGAAGTTGAATCCAGCGTGGGTTGTGGCTACGGGCTTCCGCGGTACCTGGTACATGGGGAGCCGGTAGTCGGCGGCCATGTTGTTCTGCACCTGGACCCTCGCTGCCATAATAGAAAACGACTAGACGAGACTGAGGCAGAGTCGCTGCAGCAGGACCCGTACAGGCCGCGTGGAGGTGGTTCAGGCGTCTTAGCTGCCGGTGAGGCGTGGAGAGTGGATACTGATGGCGTCCACTGGTGGAAGTCGAAAGAAGGCAGGCTGGTGCAGAAAATCAACAGAGAAAAGCAATATCATATATCGCAGAGAAGGCTGCTGTCGTAGCTGGACACTCAATCGCAGCAGTCAACATGAAATGGGTGACAGAAGAGTGTAGTCGTGCTGAGCACAGGGCTGTGTACTTTGCAGTGACTCCACGCGCTGATCTTACAGGGGCCAAAACCAGCAGCCGGCGTCGGGTGGTGGGGACTAGGCCTGGCGATGGTGAATTGCGCAGCAGCCGCCAGGATGAAACAATCAACAATGCAGGAGAGCGAAGGGGGTTTGCGATGGACAGGAAGAACGAGGACTGGGAGGGGGAAGGGAGAGGAGAAAAGACTTTATCGTGGTACCATTATCTATCTACAAGGGTCCCGTGGTGTACCATAATTCCCTCTCCTCGCGGCGAGCTGAACGTGGATAGAATTCGCTAGGCTTGTGGAGAGAGAACCATCTGGAGTTGTATTGTCATTACAGTACGGTAATTACGCGATACGATACGTTACAACAAGCCAGGATCATCGAGGATCATGATCATCCAACAACCATTATCTCTACACATCAGTCTCAGCGTCTATTTTCTCTGACGAAATGGCATTGGCAGCAGGATCTGAAATGATATCTGCCTTGGATCAAGAGTAGTATTTTGTAGAACCTCTAGCGAAGATATAATAGCCCCAAGAGACTAAGTTAGCTAAATTACTCCATAATTAAGGCGACAGACACGAGGAGGCGCCTGCGCCCGCGCCTGGGGGCGCCATGCTCCTCGTGTCAGTCAAGTTAGTCAACGTTGATTGCAAATTGACAGGATGCGCTAGGAGTGCTGCGAGGTGGCACGTTAACAAGGTACCCAATCATCACAGACTCCTACACTTCTTGTCAAGTACGGAATATTCATGGATAAAATTAGCCATCTACTGGTAGGTACTCTGATAGTTTCTACAAGTCGATGATGTTTGTCGTCCATCCGGGCTTCCGCATGCAGCCGGCGGGTGACACTGACACCCAAGAATTGGATCTTTTGGATCAGGTTAGGTAAGCGAAGGGAGCACCGAGTACCGAGTACCTCCTAGATACTTCTACTTCCACTGGCTGTGGATGTAGTACTATGTACCACTCTCAAGTAGAGTCAAGTACAACTATGTAGTCCCCTGCTTGTGAAAAGACCCTGGATTCTTGTCTTGTCTTGTCATCCCGTCCGCACGGCCCCTTACGGTGTGAAGGACTATTAACTATTACGCGGGTGGAACGTGGGGGACTCAAAACTAAAACTCAGAAGCAAGGTTGATCGATCGAGGGAGTAAATAATCCTACAGAGTGCAGAGTAAATTAACCAGTATTAGTCCCTGGAAAGAAAGCTCTAGACAAAGTCCTAGTCCTACTCCTACCGAGTCCTACGGAGAGAACGGGATAAATTGATCTGTCTCTCCCAGAATGGTTCCAACTTCCGCAGGAATCAATCCATCCATCCACATCCATCCGCAAACCCCGTTTCTCTTCCGTGACGTTCCCTGTAAGTAATTACATTGAAATACAGCGTATCAATACGCAAGTACTCCCGAGTACATACAGTACATATTACTCTGTCCATCAACGCAACGCTGCTGCGGCAAGCCTTTTCCTGTACTCTCACCGTGTACCCGCGTGTACCACTATTCTAACTAAGACAAGAACGGTGCGAGGTTCCAAAGTTTCCAAAGTTCAGTTCGTATACTCTCACATGGGCTTGCACGTTAATTCCTTTTTTTTCTTTTCTTCCATTTCCAAAAAATTACACTACTCAGATAAGGTCGATCGATGACTCCTCTCTGACGTCGTTTTTCTCCACCTGTGCGGCTGTCTACGAACTGAATTACTAGCATTACTACTACTACTACTACTACTACGACGGAGTACTGACATGATGAGAAGAATCTTTTTATTTCTTTCTTCATTTTCTTTCTTAACGGTAGTTTCTTTCTAATATAGTCGATGTCTACAGAACCCAAATACGATAATTTATTGTCCATGAAAAGCCTTTTTTTTCTCCAATGCTTAAAAAGAAAAAGAGTGACATCAGACTCTATCTCCCGACTGAACAAGCCACAAAACGACAGATCTGCACTGTACAGTATGATATGATGGAATATCGTGGCTGACACTGCAGGAAATGATGTCATTCGCACTGTGCTAGGTGGATGATATCGGTTGCAACGTTGCATCATTCCCGCGCATCCGTCCGGATGTGGCGCAGGCTGCTGCTGCTGCTGATGTGATGCTGCATCCATGTCACCCTCCATCTATGACATTATTGTCAGGTGATAACTTGCCGATTATGACGGGAGAGTTGGCTGAGAGAATTCCAAATCTGAATCTGAATTCGTAGGGCTGAGATTGCTACGTATCTTGTACTGTATGTGTACTGTACATGAGTACTGTCATTATTATTCTGAATCGAATAAATATACTCCTGTCCTGTCCTGTCACGGAACGCCTAACCTGGCCAAGAAGATGAAGATGCAAAGATGCGTCCGTTCAACGACTGAATAACAGACAATATTGACAGAAATAGAAACCCAGCGGGTCGTAAGGAGTATGTCGAGCACGCGCAGCATCCGCAGCGCAGGTATGTACAGTATATATATCCGCTCAGCCAGCTCAATTAAACTGATCGCACTCTCTGGTTTATAATTTTGCATCCGCCTTGACCTTAATCAACGCCCCGTCCTGCTCATCGTATTCCCTCCCCCGTTCCCATCCGAGCCAGCTCCGAAGCGTCTCTTCTCCCCCGTGCCCAGGAACCAGGCCACCGCCCGTCCACCCGCCGTCATCCTGCGCAAAGGCCTTTCCCGGCGTATCGGCCAGGCTCACGGGGAGTCGTTGGTCATACCCGCTCTTCTCCAGCTCGGCCTGCTCCAGCACCGGCGTCGCGCAGGCGTCGGTTCCGTCGAAAATGGCCTCCCATTCCGCACGCGTCTTCTCCTTGAACTTCCTGGCGAATATCTCCCGTAGCGCGGGCCAGTTGGCCTTGTCGTCTCGTGCCGGGAGATCCTCCATCTTCAGACCTAGGCCCTTGAGCAGCGCCGCGTAGAACTGCGGCTCCAGCGCCCCCACCGCAAAGTATTTCCCCGCGTCCTTCGTCTCGTATGTCGTGTAGTACGGACACCCCCCCGTCGAGGAGGTTTTCTCCCCGCCGATCTCCCCACAATGGCGTGTGCAGCGCCAGCCGCGGCATCGTGGCCAGGTACGCGGACCCGTCGACCATGTTGGCCTCGACGACCTGGCCGCGGCCGGTGCGCTGGCGGGTGATCAGCGCCAGCAGGATACCCAGGAAGCACATGGCACCGCCGCCGGCAAAGTCTCCGAGGATGTTGGCGGGCGGATAGGGGTTATCGCCGGCGCGGCCCAGCATGGACAGCACGCCCGAGACGGCGAGGTAGTTGATGTCGTGGCCCGCCATGTCCTTGTACTTCCCATCGCGACGGAACCCCGTCATGCGGGCGACGATGAGCTGCGGGTTCTGCTTCAGCAGGACGTCGGTGGGCGAGAGGCCCAGGCGCTCCAGCACGCCGGGCCGGAAGGGGTCGATGAGCACGTCCGCCTTGGCGAGCAGCGAGAGGAGCACCGCCCGCGACGCCAGGTTCTTCAGGTCCAGACAGATGGAGGTTTTATGTCGCGTGAGCAAGTCGGCTGCGACAGGCGGGATCGGACTCGAGCCCTGCGGCCGGTCGACGCGGAGGACGGAGGCGCCATAATCAGCGAGGAGAAGGCCAGCGAAGGGTCCTAGAAATCAACCAGAAGTCAGAAGTTAGCTGTTATGTCAACGCAATTCGACAGGGGAAGAATAATCATGACAAACCCGGCGCCAACCCGGCTAGCTCGACGACACGGACCCCTGAGAGGGGATAAGAAGTGGCTGTAGCTGTATCCGTAGCCACCATGTGCAGAATATTGCTGAACTGCCTTCACTCGGATTAGATTCTTATTTCTTTGGTACAGATTCCTTGCGTACCACGGTCCCTGTCCGAAGACGTCACGACGCGACGAGAATTAAAGACAGAACAGATATTGACGTGGAATTGAATCGCGAGATAAGATAGGCATTAATCTATTCAGGACATTATGCAAGACAAGAACAAAGAGAAGAAAAGAAAGAATGAAGATAATGCGTTTGAGGTGAACCTAGGTAATTCATGGTTAGAGTTGGTTGTTGTTTGTTCCCCGCGGCGCGGGCCGAGGAAGAGCAATTAATTAATGCGGGGAATAATACTTCGAACGGACTGTCAACACAACGGCAATATTCTACTCCAGAGAAATAATTCTCTATACCCTGGCCAAGGAACATCTATTTCCTAGAGACATAGTATAGTGTAGCTCGTCACGAAATACAGTAGTCAGTATATGCACTCAAGAGAACGAGCAGCATATAATGGCAATCGTATCTGCACAGCTGCAACTGTGTATGTACTTGCTTTACCACCCATCTCGCCCTTCCTCGACACCGGCGTCATAGGCACCCTCGACCTCGTCGCCGAACCGTTCGACCTCGCCGACCTTCTCGCCGACCCATTCGGCCGCCTCCTCGGGGGCGTTTTCCACGTCGTATTTGGCGCGTTCGTAGCCGTATTCCACCTCGCCGACCTGGGAGAAGACGTGATCAGTCAGATATCCAAGACAAGACTATCGGCGGATTGATTTTTGTTTTGGTAGATACCTTCTCGCCAGTCCATTCGGCGGCGTTTTCGGGGAACTCCTCGACATCCTCTTTGATTTCCTCCTTCTTTTCTTCCCACTCGTCATCTACCCCGGTCGTAGATCGTCAGCAACTATTTTCTATGGGAGGAGAGGGACAACGTACGGATCTTCTCTCCCTCGTGCATCAGGATAGCACCACCGATCGCGCCGGCAGCCGCCCCCGCAGCGGCATACAGCATTTTGTGATCCTTTTTGGGCTTCTCCTCCTCGTAGTACTCGCGCTTCTCCACGACCTCCTCCTGCTGGTATCCACCACCGTATCCGCCACCGTATCCGGAGGAGCCGTATCCTGGAGCGCCATACCCTGGACCACCATACCCAGAGCCATACCCTGGGGCGCCGTATCCTGGCCGCTCCCAGGTCCTCTCCCCAGTCTGCTCGTTGACGTAGAACCAGCGTCCATCGGCCTCCGACCAGCGGGCGACCCAGGGCGCGGGCAGCGGCGGGCCAGGAGGCGGCGGGGGAGCGTAGTCGTAGCGGCGCTCTTCAACAACCTCTTCCTCGCGGCCACCGCCGGCGAACTTCTCAACGACTTTCTCGACGAAGTCCATGGTGGTAAGATAAGAGGATTTCTGTCCGACGACAATAAAGAAACGTGTCTTGTTGGTTGGTTGGTAGGTAAGTAATTAAATGAGGTAGAAAGGAGGTATAGGTAGGTAGCTGGGAGAAAGCTCGCAGATGAAGGCTGGAAGGAAGGTCGAGCTATTTTAACTTAACTCCCTGTTTGATTATGAGCTGCACCAACCCCGCCATGATGACTATCTGCTCCTTTTTCGTGACGACTGACCTATTTCCTGGGACTGCCCTGCGGCCCTATCAGCGGCCCCGGCGGCTGCAGCCTCGCAGCCATGAGTGCAGCAGGCAGTGTCAGATCGTATCACCGGAATGGGGTCACTAGTGTAATTAATTACTAGTGGCGTTAGGCAGTGGTTCACCGTTCGAGAAAGTCGCGCAGTAGTCACTAATTTAATGCGTGGAGGTAATAAAATAGCAACAGTCCACTGGCGCCGTCGGGGGAGAATCAGTCGAATCAGTGAAGAAGCCAGACCAGCCAGATGCAACAGAGGCTGCCAAAAATATCCATCAGCCCTGTACTTGGCTCTCCTGCTGATGGAGATGCAGCAGCAGCATGATGCAGGCCGTCTGTTTCGCGTGAATTCATCGCCTCGTGCTCTGGGCATGTGGAGCGTGGCTGTTGGGTCGGGTCGACCCGCAGCGCCAAGGCTGCCGGGCTAAGCTTGGCGGTCGTCGCAGCTGGTGACGATGGTTATGCAGATCGCCATATCTGATGGAGATGGACTTGCTGTAGATCTGGCATGTCCTGACTCCTCCATACGTGTGGTAGGAATCGATGGGAAGACATCCTTCTCTTCACTCCTCAACATGGAAATGAATGCGTTCATGTTAATGATATTGTCTAGATAAACACTATCCTGTCTCTCAGACTGTGTCTATACTCCGTATGCGTGACTACTCGTGGAATATCCTCGCCTTCGCATTGCCCAGTTGAAAGTTCTCCGTCTTGTCTGCCGGTGGCTTGTCCCAGTTCTTCTGCACTCTCCCGCGCACCCAGTCGCCCGCCTTGATGCCATCGCCCTCGCCGTCCTCGTCGTCTTTCTTCAGGCCCAGCCGTCGGAGGAGCGGGCTGTCGACCGTCTTCAGATCCAGCCCATCCTCCGGCCGGACGAAGTAGAGCACTCCCAGACGGTCAATGTGCGCCTGGTCCGGCGGCGGCGCGATCACCCGGTGGATGCTGCTCTTCAGGAACCCGTTGGTCCAGAATTGCAGCGCGTCGGCGATGTTCACCGTGATGGCGTTCTCCAGGGGCTTCACCCACTTCCAGCTGCCGTCCGGCGCCTTGATCTGCAGCGCCGCCACGGGCTGCCGGAACAGCAGCGTCAGACTGCCAAAGTCCGTGTGGCCCCGCGTCATGATGTTGTTGTACTTCTCATTCTCCTCGGGTGTCCGCGCGCGGTAGATCATGTACCGCAGGTGGCAGTCGCTGCTACCCTCGTAGCGGTGGCCGTTGACGAGATAATCTTCCGGCAGCTCGAGCAGAGTGGCGATGATCCGGAGCAGCTTGTAGACGATGTTCTCGTGGACGAACCGATGGAAGCGCTCGATCTCGGCGTAGTGCCGCAGGATGACGTCCGGGTGCGAGCGCTGGTATTTCGGGATGAACTTGAACACGTTGTACAGCTCGACATTGTCCCGGAGGCCTGGGAACAGTTCAATGGCTCCCAGCGGCCGGTAGCCGTTGTAGTTTCCGGCCTCGAGGTCCGCGCGGTGTTTGAGCCGCTCTTCCACAGGCAGTTCGAACAGCTCTTTGCCAATGGCGTACTGCCGGTCGATTTCTTCCTGGCTGAGTCCGAAGTTGGTGATGTAGAAGAATCCTGGCAGAACAAGCGTTCATGAGCGCTGCCGTATATTCATCAAGCTCTACTGATAACACAGTACAAGATTACTTACCTATGTTTTGCACTGCATCTCTCAGCTGTTCCGCCAATTTCTGCTTGCCTCCAGGCACGTCATACAGGGAGAGGTCGAGGGTGACGAGATCAGCCCAGTCGACTAGAATAGTGACGTTAGTACACGTATTGACCTAACAGACTTCTCTTCCAAGTCAAAGAAGCAAGCATGGATGACCCACGATCGTATTTCGTCTCCGGGACATGAACATAAGGCTTCAGGTCGGAAGAACCCGCTTGCGGAGGAAGACCTGGCTGAGTAGCGACTTCGGTCATGGTGTGTGCTGCTGCTGCTGTGTGCACCGTACCTAGCTATCTCAGAGAAAAAAAAATCAAACAGGACTCTGGTATTTGGGGGGTAGTATATATAAGTCTTCAGAATAAATAACACCACCCACCTATTTATTCTTAAACAAGACCGTTCTAAGTCCTAACCAGCGCCGATATCGAATTCTATCGCTCCAACCCGGCCATATTATCGGTTCTTGGCCCGAACAATGGAGGAGGGGCGACAGAGCAGTAATCGAAGCGAGCACGAATCAGAATGCAGTTTTTTTTTTCTCTAATTGAAAAGCCATATCGTGTATGAGGATGATGGTGTCAGTGCCGGTGCTGTGTTGTGGTGGTGGTTGGATGATGACAGACCGGGACGGGATTGCGTGAGAGGAGGAGGGCAAGACGGCATGGCATTATACAATCCTTTTGGGAAAACGAAATTGCTTTTTCGGCACTGTGTTGCTAGTTCTGGGAACTCAGTACGCAGAATAAAAATATGGTGATTATTGAATCTTAATTAATTGATTTTTGATTGAGTGCAGCCTGACTGGAGATAACTATGGACGTTTTATTATTTTCTTCGTCTTCGTCTTCTTCTTCTTCTTCTTCTCTCTTTTTTTTTTAAAAAAAAAAGAAACAAATTTCATTATCTCCCGTACGGAGAAAGGGACATGAGAAATACCATGTTAACAGGAACTGCGATAATTAACTAGCTACACGATATGGACATCATGATTAATAAGAGTCAATCTCATATCCTACCCTACCACCACAAGTCTGAAACAATAAATAAATTTAAAGAATGTACTGTACATACATCAGATCAGGACGTATCGAAGCAGATTAGTAGTTATCAGCGCGTTGTTTGCTTCTGCTGATTGCAAATCCTGGATGTACATACGTACAGCAGAAGAAAATAATAGATAACCGTTAAAATGTCAACAACATTGTCAGATGCTAGGACAGAACATATCTTACTTTCCTTGGGAAATCTTCCATTTTCGATGATCAGATCATCTACAAGAGGCCGAGGATGGTGGTGAAGAGAGTGACCACGGCAAAGATTGGAGTCAAGTTTGCCTGACCGGCGGCTCCGGTGAAAACGGGCGCAGCCCCGGCCTGCGTGCTGCTGGGTTCAACAGGCACGCGCGACGTCTCGACAGAAGGCTTGACAGTCAAGCTCGATGGGCGAAGACCAGTTTCTGTCGGTCGAGCAACTCCGGAGCTGACAGGCTGCGGAACGACCACAACTGTCACCGAGCTCACCTCAGTCGAGGTGACATACTGGGTAGCGCCTACATGAGAACCACCGGATTGCTTGGACCCTTCAGGGAATGAGCTGTTGGAACCGGAACTCTCAGGGTTTCCGGAACCGCCAGAGCCCTGGGATGGATTGCCTGGAGTCGTTCCCGTTGCAGTGGCAGCGGCGGTTGCAGTGATGGGCAGTGTAAGCGTCACTGTTGTCGCGGTTGGTCCACAGTGGTCACACACAGTTACCTTGGTGGTCCATCCCGCTGGTGGTGGTGGATGAGCTTGAGTCACTGGACCACTGGTGGGAACGGTCTGGGTGGTAGTTGCAGAGACTGTACCTGGGCAATATGTCGTCGTGTACGTGGTCGTAATTGTGGTGAAGCCTGTAGGGCATATGTCAACGTACGAAGTGACGACGACAGTGGTGACAGTCTCAGGCACAGAGATCGCGCCAGTAGCAGTTGTAGCCGTTGTCGGAAGAGACACGCCGGACGTGACGATACCAGTAGCGGAATCAGTGACAGTCGAGCCAGAGCCGGGAGCTGTGTAAGTGAGACTGTTCGTTGGAGTCAACTTGGCAGTAGCACTGTGGCTGGACGAGACGTTCTTCCATGGAATTGAAATGCTCACGCCAGGGTTAGGCAATTTGGAACTCGACGCAACTGGGCTTGAGCTGGATGAAGGGCCGCTTTCAGGGCTGGAAGTGACAGAAGAAAGCCCAGAAGACCGGATAGAAGATGGTCTGGTACCTGAGACGGAAGACGAGCTGGTAGAACCTGAAGTGGGAGGTGGACTGGCAGCCGGAATAGAAGATGATTTTGAACCCGGAGTCGACGAAGGGCTGGCGCTAGGCGTGGATGAAGGGCTAGCACCCGGCGTAGAAGATGGCGTAGGAATTCCAACTGGGCTGGAGCTGGGTGACTGACTGGGGGAAACAGTTGTCGCTGAGCTGAAAGCGCTGGACGGTGAAGGAGTGAAAGTTGGCGTTAGCGTGCTAGATGGACTCGAGGAAGGAGTCGGGGTTGGCAGCAGAGGAGCTGCACAGTCATTCAGAATGCTCTTCATGCTGTCTGCATAGCTGGCATTGCCAATCCGGTTCTCGTCAGACGCCGTCGCCTCCCAGAGCATGATGCCTCCAAAGGTATCCGGATAGAGCGTGCTGACCAAGGGCCTGACCTCATCAGGGCTGAGGTAGAAGCCGGGGTTCGCAGCAGCCTCATTCGCAGGCAGACCGACAAGGAGTCGAGCGTTCGGATTAGCACTGTTCTTGACAACGGTGACCCAATCATCGAAGTTGAATCCCGGCGTGCCCTGCGCATAATTACTCGCGGCAAAGCTTGGGGTGTTGTAAAACTGGACCCAGATATAATCAAAGACAGCATTTTTGATGGCGTCACTAAGCTGTGCATCTGGGATCTGGCACTGAGGTGCACCCGAAATATAGAACTTGCGGCCTAGAACTTCATCGAAATGCGAACGCAATTGTTGGATCATCTTGGCATAGCCTAGAGGTGGTCAGCATCCAACGAAATCCAAAACTCTAGATCGCAAGGAGAGCTTGATATCGATGGGTACATACCGAAACCTCCGTTGTTTTCTACATCAAAGTCGAATCCATCGATGACCGCATCTCCAAACGGACGGGAATTGCCAGCCTGGACCCAGTCATGAGTCACCGGACCGAATGCGCTCCAGAGGAAGTCAGCAAACGATTCAGCAGACTCATCGCTGAGGATCTGCTGGTTTTGGGGCTTGCGCCGCCAAGGGAGAGCAAGACTTTCTTGCCAGCAGCCTGGCAGATTGGGATATCCTCGGCGATCTGCGAGCAACCCGAGAGCAGATCAGTCTTCACACCGTTGATCACGTATGTGCTGCCATCGCATTGGTTCTCAAAGTTCGACCCGGGATAGCCGCCAGGACCTTGGTCAGGGAAGACGTTGATGAACGCGAGATTGATGATATCAAGCGATGTCTCCTGGCAGAAGTGGCTCAGGCGTTGTTGATTAGCACCCTGGCCCTAGTCAAGATATCAGAATATTCATCCATCAAGGCTCGAAAATGATTGATCCTACATAGTACACCGCGACATTGGTCAAGGACTGGACATTGAGGGCAGCCGTGGCTGTGAGAAGAGACGTCGCGGGAACTGCAACCATTTTGGCAAATGGAACAAAGTGAATGACCACCGGTGAGGATTGGACAAGGATGACTGTAAGGCTAAAAGAGTGAAGTCTGGCAACGACGGACGATGTGTGACTGGGCTGTCAATGAAAGGACGCAGACAAACGTCTGCTGAGGCAGTCTGCCTTTGAGATGGCGGAAGGAGAGGATGCCTCGAGGATGGAAAATGTGAATAGGGTAAAGGGAAAAGAGGGGGAAGAGGCGTGGTAGAAGAAGAAAAGGATGAGAAGAAAGGTCATGTCGGCTGCCGTCAAAAGGGGAGTTACGCCGTACTCCGATGGTAGCTAGCTGGTGGTGCTGGTGACCCAGCCAAGATTCCACTACTAGAGACCAGGTCAGAAGGCCGAAAAGCCTTTCTAGACACAAGTTAAGGCTAATTGATTTACAAGTTAGACCTGCAGGGATCTTCAAGGCAAATGAGACTGGAGCCCTGAGTGGTGGAGCAGGAACCATTCCCATCGCCGTTTAAGTGCCACGCACAACAGGCACACATGCTAAAGGAATCCACCAAAGTTACTCTGTGTCGAAGTGTTAGCAAAGACCTTACTACAGAGCTCGATTGGAGGAGCAAGGATGCTGCCAAGAGAGAACGAGAGATGACTGAGTGCGGCTATGTTGGTGCAGCTGGGACGAGCAGGCTCGCTACACTAGTCTCTCTCCACTGTAATAGAAAAAGCCAGTCTACTGATGGAGAACCTTGGAATCAGAACGCCATGGTGCATCTATCGGATTTCATTTGTTGCATACTGGAAGTAAAGACTTGATGCTGCCGTGCAGGCTTGCAGGCTCAGAACATCCATTCTCCTGATTTTGTCCACGATCTGTACAAAACCTCAACCACAGCAAAAGAAAGAGAGACCCCACGTTGTCGATAACGTTGATATGAGTTGTGGCCCAGGGAAACATTCCATCAACAGCATCCGGTCCACCGTGATAAGAGCGCCAAGGCGCGTCGGGGTCTGCCAGGCACAGGTTGCCTGATATGGCAAGAGTCAAAAACGCACTTGCCAATGACAGCGTGGACGGCATGCTGCCAGTGTTGGAGGAAAGACCGACTGAGGGAAATCACGGCCGCAGAGCCTCAATTGGCCAGACCCATCGTAGGGCAGTTCGGAACTTCGGCTCCTGTGCGATCGTCCCTCGCACCTGCCTGTTCCTGCCAGCGGCTCTGTCGCTCTTTCCGTTTTCCTGAGATCCTCCGCATGTCTTCTCACCTTATCGAGATCTGGCATACGTCATACACATCACTCGTCCTTGATTCCGTCCTCAACTTATTGAGTCGGAACATTTTTCGATCAACTACGCGAAATCCAAGATCCAGTCTCTTCTTACCTGATGGGCATGTTACATGCACTGTCTCTAAGTCGGGCACAATCTGGACTGGCCGATGGAGTCTCAGCCTTGGCTGTTGGGCTGAACACGCTCCTCATTCCTCGACGGCTTTTGGCGGCGCTTGCGAAACCAACGGCTCACTGGAGGGCGAGAGACTGTGGGTCTTGATGCTGACCCTGGTCCCGGACTGTTGGTGAAGTTTGCGGAGCGATAAAATCACCCTAATGCGTCATTCACGCCGACTAAACTTCGAATATTATTAGGCAGACACCTGGAACACTGGAAGACACCAGATACCTTCCTACAAAGGAAGGAAGGATTCATAACGTCAGTTGATACTCCAAGACCAATTCGGATAGTGACAGGTTCCTCCACGCAATTTCCGTGTTCGATTTTTTTTCCTTTTTTTTTTCGTTTTATTCTTCCCCCCTCTTTTATTATTCTTATCGCCACGAAATTAAATTAAGTAACTGACGCATTGTGAGTGGATACTTCGCAGAGAGTTTAAACGATCATGTCCGTGGCAGCCTACGCGCTAGGCTAGAAGGTGCCGCTAGCAAGTCTCTTGCCAGCCAGACCGCGGAGGGGTACTCTGCAGGAGAGGTCGGCGATAATTTCAGGGGAACTTCCGACGTGCAAAGTACAGTTTATTTTTAACATTATTCAGTGAGAAATGTTCAGCGCTGTTGATGAAGGCTATCAGCCTCTGCAGAATACCTGATATTTTTCGAGGCTTAGTATGCCGAAGCCAAGCTGCGACGGACACTCGCATTCATGTACCTTTCATCGCTCTCGATCGAGAGACTGTATACTCGAACCCTTTCATATGACGTGTGCTAATGCACCCACAAGATTATCACGTCAGATTCTTCACTCCATTCCCTCCTTGATTAATTGACGAACAAGACTTGTGAGAATGGCAGGTTTCACTCACCACGCAAGGATCAGCTAGAGGGAATTCGCAGAACAGCGAATGGAGCATTAAAGGGAGAATACAGTCTTCACCGAAAGATCTAGATATTCTTAGAAATTGCCATGATCATTTTTTGAATTGTCTCATGGGTACAGGCTTCGATAAGATGTTCCTTATCGGGAAGGAGCGATCCGCAGGGCTTGACCCCGCTGGGTTAGTCTAGGGCTGGCAGTCACGGGCAGCGTCCATCCCTCTATCCCTCCGTCCAGCATCCCTTGCTGTTACGCCTCCTCGTGGGATGATGTCTTCAGATGCTCGGTCCTTGATGATGCATGGAAGTCTAGCACGAGTCTCCTGCATAATGGATCCCTTCAATATGTCTCAGTCTAAGCGATGTAGATCTGGGTTCTTCAACCTTAAACCGCGATGATCCTGTCCTGCGCAAATTCCACTGCTATCCCTTTCTGCCTCTGACGGCGTGCCTCTATTGGAGTCAGGACATCTTCGTCTCCTCCACTAAATGATTTTCCGTTTCGTCACAGGGTTCTAGCTATCTTACCAATCTGTGTCTTTCCCAGCTGGTGAGTCGCGTCGAGGTATGCGTTTCACGCGCGTCCCTGCAGACTCTGGCATGCAATACCATCACCAGCATTCCAGAAGACATCATGTGTCCACGAACTCTTTCTTATCAATCTAGGCCTGGCCAGGTCAACTCGAGCCTTTCTTCATGCCCGCCACGTCTGAGGATGCATTCCCTCCCCTCCTTTCCGCGGCGCGTTTGACGCGTCCAGCCCTGATGACATTTCTCATTTTAGTTCACCATGCTCCCATCTGAAGAACTTCAATTGCTTCTGTTTTCTCTTCTTCTTCTCTGGGGTGTCATCTCCAGTGCAAAGGCTATGATTCCTGGCCTGCTCTCTTTTCTCTGACAAGTTCTGCATTGCTCTGTCTCTTCCGTTGTGCTTGACATTCCATTCAAGGCAGTGCTTGCATAAAGAGCTTCTTGATGCTTGCATTTGCGCCTGATCTTTGAAGCTGGAAAGACAGCAGGACGATAAAGATGGCCGGCATAACCATGGCCGCTGCCCGGGGCCGCCGGGGGTGGATACGCCTGGTTATCTTTGTGGCTCTTTATCTGATGCTTTTGCAGTCGTTGTCCGAATGCGTGCTGGTCACATATTTGTATGGAACGGGACGTGTCGATGGAACCATGACCCCAAGTTTAATTCTGGGTCTCGTGGCAGTATGTTTTTTTTTCTTCTGGCGCTACTCGACTTTTCGAAGCTGACCATTCTTTTGACATAGTCCTTTCTTTCGGTCCCCTTCGTAGTTTTTCACTCCATCCTTTCCTGGCAGTACAAAAAGATGCGTGGATTCAATATTCCAAGAACCCCGCTGCATACAGCGTGCTCCTACTTGCCTCGCATCATGATCGTCGTGTGGTTGGCGTCATCTGTGGCAGGCTTGGTGGTAGTCTCGAAGCAAGCGACGTGTCACTCGCGCCTAGGAACACACCATCTGTGGCAGGCTGGAATTAGCTGTTCCCTCCATCGAGTTGCGATTGTGATTGCCGTACTGGCATTGTAAGCTGTCCCTGGACGAGCACCTGAATCGCCAATTGCTCTATGCTAACTATCTTCAGTATCACTGCCTGTGCTCTTTTCTTTTCTTTCCAAGTGTGTGAACGGCCTTATGATGCTTCGTTATTGGGCCTATATGCGCCGCAACGACCACCACGGGACGGAAGTATCTTATCGGAGTCTACTTGGGAAAGCGAGACGCTCAAGCACGAGATCTTCTATCTTTGCCGCCACCCCGACGCAGGCCCAGGCAACGGCGAATTGTACTGGTCACCAAACCACAGTTCCATCTTCGAGCAACCTGTTCGTCCTCCAAGCATTCGGTATCCGGGTGCTGCCCGGTTACGCCCACAACTGTCTGTCAACACGAACCCGGCCTCAATTCGACCAGAGATTGCATCATCACCGGTCGACAGCTCACCCAAGACGTCTCCAGTGGGAGACTCGTCCGAGGGATCGAACAGTGTGGGAAACGGCGTCTCGCCTCTCTCCCGAAACCCCTCGATGTCCTCGAGCTGGCAGCTGGGCACTGAGTCCGCGTTGACCAAAGCTTCCCCTCCAGAATTACCAGACGTACCAGAAGTTCCGGCAAAGCCCAAGCATGAGCGACAAAAATCATCCGTTTCTTCTCGCAAATTCCTCCCCAAGACGTTGACAAACTTTGTTGCTCTCTCTGAAGATCCGGAAATCCGCGCCCTGTCGTCTCCCCCATTGTCTGCCGATACCGACTCCGAGACGCAGGGTAGTGACGATTCCTCTGCAACGGCCGCAGTCTCGGAGCCGAACACTGACTCGTCACCGACTTCTGCCGCGAACATGGACTCAAATCAAGGGAACAATCTGCCCTCAAGCAATTCAAGTCCTCGAGATCCAGCCCCTGTCCTCCCCCCTCAACCTCTGGTTGTGCGCAAATCTCGTACTTCTTATATTGAACCGCCTCCCCGATCTATCCATCATCCTCACCACCCCAACTACATCCCGCCCCCTCCAAGGCCCATGGGACACGGACATGGTCACGGCCGCCCGATGACGCCTGATAATGGCATCATCAAACGTCGAAACACTAATCATCCGATCGGCTACCACCCCCACCACAGCGTTCGTCCTCCTCGGCCCCGGTATCCTCGAGTTGAACCATCTCACCTGCCGCGGCACACCCAAAGTCACCACTACAACCATCGTCCTCGACGCCCGCTGCCGGACTATCCTCGAAGATTCCATTCCCACCACCAATATCCTCGCTTTGATCCATCCAGGACCCTGCCTCCAATCCCCCGCTGCGACGACTTCGCGATTGTCTACCCAAGTACACGGCGACCGCGAAGCAGCACGTACGGTGGCATTAGCACTCTGGCCGAGACCGGGCTCGGCGCCAGCAAGAAGGCCGCACGAACGTCACTGAACCTGGCATCGGGCATATCGATCGAAGAAGACCACGATTTAGAAACGAACACCTACCGGGGTGCGGAGCGGACAAGTATGCATGGACTGTGAGAGCAAAAAGACAAAATACCCAAGGTTCCCAGAAATCCTTCTAGTTCAAAGTCTTAAGTTCTCCTTCTCTGTCTTTTCTGTCTTTTCATGATATGAGCCCATAGCAGGGGTCGAAACGACGTCGATTTCGTTTTTGTTTTTTCTTATCAGCACAAAACAGTAGTATAGTACACTGTATGTATGATATGGATATTACAAATGGACTTGACAAGAAGGGGGCTATTCTTTTTTTTCCTTTTTTTTTCTTTTCAACGACGAAGATGAGGATGAGTATTGATTAATTGTAATTGTTTGTTGAGCAAGCCAGCCAGCAGCCTTACGGTCTTACGGCTGGCATTGGAAAGTATGCCATGCTATTACGGAGTATACAGTAATGAATTTTTCTTCTCTATTACTTATTAAGCAAAGAGTACTCCAAAAAAAAAGCAAATGGGTTGCATTTCTCAGACATAATGCTTTTAATACACCGTACCCAGACCTAATGTACAGTACCGTACACGAATGTACGCATATACAAACGAATATTCATTCTTTCACGTCGAATGACGAACAACATACTTGTACCGATACCCCTGTTTGGGCCCACGGGAATCATCACCAGGACCGGGCTCTTTCGTCTTTCCGACTTCTTTCTCCCCCCAGGCCCACAGCAGCGCTTTGCTCATCTTGTCCCGCTCCTTCAGGAGGAGGTCAATCCGGCGCTCCCATTCTCGCTCGCGCTTCTCTATCGACCGGGCGATCCGTCGGTCCGCGTCGGCGGCGGCTTCTTCCTTGATTGCCAGGACGGACTCGAGTCTCTTTACCTCCGCTTTGAGGGCGGCGACTTCGCGCTCGTGCGAGGACGTCGAGTCGCGGAGGGCGCGGAGTTCCGATCGAAGGTCTGCCTCGCGTTGCTCTGATTCGGCCAGAAGGGCACGCAGGTTCTCCGCGGTCCCCGTGTAGGATTTTCGCAAGGTGGAGATGGCGCTGGCATGCGCGTCCTGCAGGCTCTTGATCTCGACTTGATGCGCCTCCTGGATGGCGCGATACTTCTGCTCATCCGATTCCTGCGGTAAGGTAGTAGGGGTTTTTGAACGGGCCGGGCTTGGCGGTCGGGCTGCTGTGCTCTTGCGAAGACGCTCAATGGTCTCCAGAGCGCTAGAACGCTCTTCCTTGACGCGCTGCAATTCTTCTCGAGCCTCGGCAAGATTGGCGTTGAGTTCGTGCAGTCGTGATGTCAGCCGGATGTTTTCGCTCTCGATAGTTGTGATGAGGGCCCGGGACTCGGTGACTAATTCCTGAGAACGTTTTAATTCCAGCTCGAGGGATTCCTTCGCCGAGGCTGTTTCCTTTGATTCCGCCTGAAGCTGGGTAATCTGCGTTCGCAGCTCGTCCGTCTCTTTCTGTGCTGTAGAGGCTTCCTGCAAAGCGGCATCAGAGGTCTTCTTTAACTGGCACCACGCTTTGAGCGAATCGAGGATTTCGTGGTATGTCTTGCCATTCGTTTCGATTGACAAGTCTGCGGCCAGGGTAGATAAGGCATTTTTCTGTGAGACGACTTCGGTTTTGGCCCGGTTGGCTTCGGCTTCCAACACGATATTCTTCTCCTCCAGCGGTCTATTCCGGTTTTCCAGCATACCAAGCCTCTCTTCAAGTGTATCGTATTCGCGGTTGACCTCGGCCAGATTTTCCACCAGTTGGCATACTTCCAGCACTCGGTCATCTAACTGAGCCTTGAGGTTTTCGATCTCGGTATTCTTTTGCCGAAGCTGAAGTTCTGTGTTGGACGCCATTTCGCGCAACTTGGACGTGCTGTCTTCCAGGGCTTCATCCCTCTTTTTCAGTTGCTCGCGTGCATCACTTAATTGCTGACGGAGGGACGCGAGCTCTTTGTCATCATTGGACGCTCGTTCATCTCGCTTTCGGAGTTCGGCCTTGAGATCGTCGATCTGCTGCTGAAGTGCTTCTGAGCTGTCGCTCGATTTCTGGAGAAGCCTATCTTTCTCGTCATTTTGCTCCTGCAACGCTTGAATCTGCTCTCGCAGCGTTTCTGCTTCATCACGTTTGGCATGTAACTCAGATAATAACGCGTCTTTCCTTTGCAGCTCTGCTCGTAGATATTGGATCTCCTCAGCGGCGGATTCTGCTTCCAAGGCTCTTTCTTGATTCGCTCGAATTTTCTCGTCCCTATCACGTAGCTCATCCTGGAGATGCTCAATTTCCCGGAGAACCGTGGCATATGTGTCGTCTTCGGGGTGCTGTTCCTCTACCGGCTTCGCTGGCGTCCCAGGCTGATCCGGACTATCGGCAAAGTTCTCTTCGATGTCTTCCAAGTGCGTTCCTTCTTTCCCTGTGCTGGTATTCTTTCCCCGCCAAAGGTGTGAGGGAGTGGACATGTCAACTGGAGGGCCGAATTCACTGTAGTCACCCTCCTCCGCGCGGGAGTCGAGACGCTGGTGCTCCTGCTTCCCGACAAGGTCCTCCTTCCGCCGGTCTGTTGCATCTCCACTTCCCAGGATATACTTCTCTATGTTCATGGTAAAGTCTTCCGGTCCACCAATCTCCGAGTCTTTGTCGTCGTCCTCGGGCACGTCCAGCGGATGCGGATCACGGTTCTTGCCTCCATCTGGAAGCTTGCTCCAATCGATGGTGTACTGCGCGAGTCGCTTGTCGAGGTCGTTTTGTGCCGGCCGCGGATTTGCGGACGTGTTCTTGGAAGGGCCTTGGACGTCGGCGTCTCTCGATGAGCGACGGGTGGCTGGTCGTTCGCGGTTCTCGGCTGCTGAGTTCTGACGCGTCCGAACCACCTGGGGAGGAGAGGATGGGATAGCAGGACTTCCTAGAGTGGAAGTGCCTATAGTGTCGTGCGATGTCGGAAACGGCGACGTGAACACCGGCATGGTGCCGACGCGTAGAGCTCCAGGAAGCTGCTTGCTTGCTGTTTGTTTGGAAGGTCAACAAGGTCTAAAAATGCGAGTAGATATATTTTTCAATTCTGTATGCCTGCTGTCATAGTAGACGTTGGACAATACAGAATGACCGGGGCTCGAGAGTGCTAGGAATAGAAGCAATCATACAAGAATAACCTCTATCGAATAACGTTCGCCGGCGCGCGGCGGGTTGATTCGCGGCCGTTGTTTATGGCAGCCCGATGCGGCCTAGCGCGGTCGGCCGCGGTTCCGGTGACGTAAAACGCCGAATCAATTCATGACATTCATACAATCATAGCATAACTATAGACTACACAAGACAGTGCATCTATCTACATTCTTGCTTTGAAGAACACAAAATTCCTGAGGCCTGTTCACTCTTCCCTAAATGGGTTCTGACTGCGCGCTATCCCTCCCTTCCTCCCCGCCTGTCGAGCCCTTTCACTCCCTTTCTGGAACGAGGCGCCCGAGGCACGTCCACCTTTGGAAGCGATTGCGCGCTGATGGATTATGCCAGAGTTAAATCGAGATCAATTGCCAAAGAAAAAAAACAGGGGAGAAGAATGATCCAACTAGGTAGGTAGGTAGGTAGATGGTGCTCCTTACCTGCTTCCCCGGGTCCATGTTATGAAACCCCCCGACGCCTCTCGCCTTTCCACCTTTCTGGCCTCCCTTGCGGGCGATCTCCCTCATTTCATCTTTCGGCCGGTTGATGAAGTTTCCGGGATTCGGGTGCTTGTACTGCTTTGTTGGCGGCGTGATGGTGGTCGCCAGGCTTCTCCAGATCCTACCAGCGCCCCTGGGCGCGATGGAAGAAGAAGGGAAGAAGAGGAGAGACCCGAAACTGCTGCTGCTGCTGCTGGGACTGCTGAGCAGATGCATACTTGTACGACAGCGAGATATGACAAGCGAATTCATCATGATGGGTAGCATAAACCTGTCTGTATATTTTTTTTCGAAATGCGGAGAAATTCCTTAAAAAACAGGGTACGAAGAATTGAAAGAAGAGGAGAAAAATATGAGACATTCAGGAAATACGCCTCGAGTCTGCTGAGAACATCAACATGTGGCTGATTTGGAAGAAATGTGCCACTTGTGGCTGAGATTGGGTCATCGTGCTATCAGGATGTCGTCACGTACCATCTAATGACAGTGCTGCTAGCAACGATAGGCAGAGATCAGGTCGTGTGAAATCTTGTTATTATTGTCAGCAGTAACCACCTATGTAACGAAGAAGGCGGGTAACGCGAGAGATCCACGGATTTGGTCTAATCGAATTACTAGTTACTTGGGGTGGAAGTTGTAAAGTTACCTAGGCCGGGGAAGGATGATGTCCAGATAAGAATTCTGATCGTCCTGCCGTAGTTGCATAATTCTAATTGGGTGCAACCCTGTCAGGCGTGCCGATAGCAGGGGATTGCAGGTATGAATATTCCTTCTTTGGGCGCTCTGCGTGTTTAGGTGCGTGATTGCTGTCGATCTTGTTTTAGCGGTTGCAATGGATTAAGTATACAGGATATCGACCTCATGTCCGCCCCAAAGGGTGGGTGTATGAGGTTCCCCCTGAGTAGAGTGTAAAGAGAGGCGCCTCTATTTGGTTGACTGTCTATTGTGGCATTAATTATCTCTCGAGATGCGGTGGATTGATTCTTTCCTCGTCACCGTTCAAACTCTCGTGACGCCTGCTCTCTCTCAAGACACGACTTCGACTGCTGTCGCGCAGTCTCAGCTGGATTCTCTGGCCAGCTATGCCTACAACATCACCATTGCTTCTCTAAACAACAGCACACTCAACTGCACGCTGGATAGCCTGCAAACTCGAAAAGAATGGTGAACGCTCTTCTGTAGAAATGCCATTCCTTTTCCAATATCCAGCCTAACGAATCGAATCAGGTCTACATACTCGACAGCCGAGAAAAAGGAATACGTCAACGCCGTGCTCTGCCTCCAGAGCAAGCCATCGATTACGCCCTCCAACCTGGCGCCCGGAACCAGGACGCGCTACGACGATTTCATAGCCACCCATATCAACCAGACGCTGGGAATCCATTGCACGGTCCCTAAAGGAGGGGGGGGGAAACCAAAATCTACTCCATAAATCAATGAGACGGTTAGCCAGCTGCCAGAAACGGCGACATTCGACGCCGTTTTTCGCGTCGCTCTAACCACCCGTTCCCACCACGCCCATCCCCTCTTCTTGCCACGCACCCTCACCCATCACGTGACCCATTGGCTGCCCCTTAGTGCCTGGCCCAGCCCGCGCTTGCTCGCGCACGGCTGCTCCCTCAGGACCCGTTCATCCATTTCATCTACTCACCTCACACTCACC